CACATTAACAACATCATATGCAGGAAGAATAAGAGATTTGTCCGTATCAAACTTAATACGGCCCGTTAAACCAACAATATCACTCTGCAATATGTTATTCAGCAGAAGTTTTCCGTCATCAAAGATGCTCATTGCCTCAAGGTGGAGACTACTACTTTCCTCAGAAAGTAACTTGGAATCATTAGAAAATGAGATAATACCACCCTGGTTAAAAAATGCATCAATAGCATGAGCAATTAGCCAAACAGAATCATAAGCATAAAGCCCATAAGAATTAAGCCCCAAAGCACCTCCAGTCAATTTGCGCCACCTAGAGGAAAAGGCTTTCTTTCGGTCCGAATCTGGTGTATGTTGACGCAAAACAAGAACTCCTTGCATTGAGTCCATGGTCTCTGATGGGAAAGGAGAAGCAGAATCCAAAACAGTCGAAAGCCAATCTGTGGCAATCCACACCCACTCATTTCCCATCATTTCGAGATGGTTAGCCACAGAAAAGATCTCGAAACCCATGTCAGGATTTACATGGAGAATTACAACTCGAGATTCCATTAATGCAACCTTAACAAGAATATCTGTAATGTCACCCTTATTAACTCCAGAATTTGGGGGAATCCCCACCTTGTAAGATATTCTACAGCGCCTCTCTGCAAGTTTATCACCCAGAGCTGACACGCCATTTCGTCCGTAATCATCATCAATATAAATGGCAGTTACCTGCTTCCAACCATAATGATCGACTACCTCCGATATTGCTGCCATTTGGTGCAAATCGCTCCGCGTGGTCCTAACAAAAAAGGGGAACTGCAGCGAGTTAAGAGTGGGGTCTGTTGCTGCAAATGACAACAGGGGAACTTGAAGTTCATTCGCAACATGAGATATCATATGGGCAACAACGGAAGTTTGCGGGCCGATAATGGCAATGATATCAGTCTCCATGAATTGCAAAGCTGTCACAGACATGATGATTTGAGTACATAATTAAAAATCCAATCTTGTCCATGATACACTGCTAAACGCACAAAGTATAATCAGCAGCTAACATTGATAACATGAGGGGAAGAAGTAGCAGTAAATTACCTTCAACCATGCCTAGAAACCCACTGCAGTTAGAGTTTCCCAGTTGAATTTTGAGTTTGGTACCACGAAGAATGCTAGAATTTGCATTTACATCTTTGACAGCTTCCTGAATAGCAACCTTGGCAACTTTTCCAATCGAAGATTCAAATGTAAAAATAGCTCCAATATTCACAACAGCAGGCCTCGAGGTCACATTCCTACTATATCCACTTGTTGAAAACAGTACACAGAAGAGAAAAAGACACGAAACAAACCTAATAGCATTCATTTCAATTCAATAGCACAATTATCCTCCCCTCCAAAACGAACCCGCAGGCACAAAATCGATTCTGAAGGGCTCTGAACCATGTGTAAAAAAAACCAGACCTTGATCAGAAGTTTTAACAACAGAAACTTCAAAATCAGAACTTAATTGACTTAACAAGTAAGCAATGGTCTCTTTGTGCAAATATGCAAGATAAAGAAATCTGTAAAAACTGAATTTCTAAATAACTTGTCAACCACTGTATTACACTCTTCTCTGCTTAGAGAAAACATAGAACTAGAATCCAAACAAAAGCATCAACTCAGCCAAAGCAATTACAAAAGCAACTTCGCTTCTTTTGCCATAAACAATGAGAGCTAGCTGGCAGAACCAAGAATCAGATTCTGTGTCATAAAAAAAGAAAAGAAAAATCCACAAAAGCCCATGTTCGAGGAATTACCAGGAAAAAATCCCACCAACGAAGCCAAGAATAGTTCTTTGAAACCAAAAGCCGTGTGTTTTATGATGCTAGCAAAAACCCTTGACTCCAATACTATGAATGTTGAATGGAAGAGAGGAGGCAGCCAAGAAAACATACCTGAAACAAGAAAAATCCAAGCCCAACATGTGAAATGAGTGGAGGAGCAATCACACCAAACTCTCTCTTCTGGTCAATGATCACATAAGGAATGTTGAATGGCACTTAAATGTAAAGAAGTAACTCGTTGTTCACATGGGCAGAAGGCGGCATCATTTGTAGCTTACTTTCGGATGGAGCGAGAGAGACAAGTTGCCTACTTTTTCTTGTTCTTTGTTTGAAATTTGAGGTTACCGATAGATGAGATTCTCTACGTTGTTGATATTTTTCGGTATGGTAGAAGAACTCCAAGCACAGCTTCTTCGCAAATAATTATACACTAAAATATACATTAATTCCTCTAATTTTGAAAAATAAATTAATTAATCCTTTATTTTTAAAAAATTGATTGTTTAATCTTTTGATGATCATGGTTAATTCATATTATTTTCTTCCAAAAAAATCTTCTTTTCTTATCAATATTGTCACATTTTTTACTTATTTTTTTATTATATTTTTTAAATAAAAAATCAAAATAAATTAGAAAAGAACAAAAAGAATCAAGTTATAAGTAAATTAGAAGTATAGGAATTAAATTATTATTTTTAAAAATAAAGGGACTGATAATTTGTTTTTCGAAACTAAAGGGACTGATTTATAATTTACTCTTACAAATAATTATTTTTTTAAAAGCAAAGGTTTGACTTCATTAATTCTCGGGGGGAATCTCATGGGATAAACAAGACGTGTGGTTTCAAATTTTCTTTAATTTATTAAATTTTACTTCAACTCAAGAAACTCGTGGGAATTAACACTCATGTATTTTTTTTTTAAATCTTTTTTAGGAACAATAATAATGTATACTTCCTAACACATAAAACTTCATTGTTTTGGCTTAATATATTATATTACATTATACTATAAATAATTGAATTTTCCATGGAGAGTGGTACCTTTATAAATAAGTATGTTTTCGCCTATAATGATACTTATTATATAAGAGAGATATAAACATTAAAAAAAAATAAGAATAAAAAATATAATAAATGGGCCTAAAATAAAATATTTATTTTTATTATTTTATTGATTTGGATTTCATTTTTTGTCTCTTTTCTCGAAATAAACCTACGAGTAAATGTTAATAATGATTTGTTGAATTTTTTAAAAAATTAACGGATTTGAAGTGACAAAATGCATCATTTGATTGAGAAATTGGTGGGAATAGACACTTGATTTGATTCCTGCTATAGAATAACTTTCTTTAATTAGGTATCTCCCCCTATAAATAATAGAATTTTAGACTGGTCCCTGGTTTAAAATAATATATATATATATATATATATGTGTGTGTGTGTTAAATTATTGAACTGATCGATAAAAGCAAAAAAATAATTATTTTATATCATACAGACTATGAAAATTTGAAAAATATTGGAAGACAATCCAATGGCTAAAAGCTAGATTTTATATAAACGATGGATCTGGAAGTAACTTTGCATCGGGAACAATAACATAAATTATAGTATTATATTTTGCAAGATGATCAGACGGCTAAAATGTTGTAAGATGATCCAACGGCTAAAAACTAGATTTGAAGGGACAATCAGATTAGATCAGGAAAAAATCTAAGATGACAAGTGGATCAAAAGGTAGCCCCAGTGTAAGGTATCAGTACTATAGTACTCCCGTACATAGCGTGACATGTGAATCGGGTTCGGGTTGATGGAATGCTATGGATCTGATGAAGGAAAGAATAAAGTGACGTGGAATAATATTTGAGGAATTACGAATACAAAGCAAGCTAAATGGTCGCAGCCTCTTATCTATAACATATTTTCAAAACTCATGAATATTTTATTTTTTCTCTTCAACCCTTGTGCTTCTTTTTTTTTTTTTTTAAATTTTAGAGCATAAAAATACAATTTTTTTTAAAATATAAAATATCTACAAAGTTTGACATGAAAAACTATAAAAAAAAAGCTCTTGTAAGTTACATTTTATTTAATTTTAATAATATAACTACACGGAACTTGCATACGATTAACTTTTGAATTTTCTTAATAATTAAAAATATAATAAAACTCACGAATATTTTGTGTTTCTTAAAATATTTTTTTTTAACGTTTAGAATTAAAAATACAAATTTAAAAGGAAATATAAAATATTTATAAAATTTGACATGAAAACTACCAAAAACTGCACTTGTAAGTTAGATTTAACAAAAATCTAATATAAAAATCCAATTTTAAATGAAAAAATGAAAAAAAATATAACTCAAAATTAAAAATTAAAAAATTAATTCTTAAATAACTTCAAATTTAAAAGAATTTTGTATCGTTCGGACTTTAGTATAAGAGTACCATGGAATCAACATGGAAGCGAGTGTGTGTGTGTGAGAGAGAGAGAGATGAATACAAGTGGATTAGCATATTATCCTTCTTTGGATGTCGTTATCCTAACCCATGTGACCGCTATTCCACCCCAACCCCACCAATGGAGGATTGGTCTTTGATTTTGAAGACATAGCTTATAGACTTTTATAGCTGTAATCAGCCACTTAAACACAATCCTTGCCTCTTTCCCTTTCGTTTTTTTTTGTTTTACACTTGGCCTGTGCTATTAGTCTTCAATAATTTGGATGTAAACTTCTACGAAGATTCCACAATTCATGAAATATACATGCATTCTTTTTTTCTTTTTTCTTCTGATAACATGAGTGTCCGAGCTAGCTTACGTGTACTTTAACTAATCCTGTAGGTCCTAAAATTAACAATCATGTAAGCCTCTAGTGGCCATCAAAAAAATAATCAAGACTCGAATCTGAGACTACAAGATGAGCAAACCTTTTAGTATTAAGTTCTTATCGTTGCGCCACCTCCTAGTAGTTAATATACATGCGTTCTTATCCGAGCGAAAAGCATCAATTAAATTAAATCCAATATTTCACGTCGGTTAAGATCGAAAATCTAAAAAAACTAATCAACTTCGGATATCACTTCATTCTCAAAAATGTATTTTTTTCAGAATAAAACCATTACAAAATCACAAAAATACGTTACGTAGCAGATTGGAGCCAAAATCGGATAAAGCCGGTGACGATAAATGGCTTATACCTACTCCTGTTTCGTTCATGTGGGCAAGTTGCGTGAGCAAGTTGGATGTCACAGGTCTAGCCTAGATCAGCTGGGCATCTTTTTCTGTCGCATATCTGGTTAAAGCTTTGGGCTTGCATATGATGTAATGATGGCAACCCACAATTTGGATTTGTGACTGATCATGATTCTGTCGAGCCCTAGGCCCCTAGCCATGGCTATCTATACCCACCGGAGTAAATTATAAATTAGTCCCTCTTGTTTTAAGAAATAAATTTATTAATCCTCTTTAGTTGAAAAACTAATTATTTCATCTTTCACGGTTTAATTTCATCAATAAATTAATCATTTTATCAGTTTTTCATTAGATTTGTGATTTTTTTTCAAATGTCTCTTCATTTGATATCTTACTTCTCTTCTTCACCTCCTCTATTTCTCTCTCCTTGATTAAAAATAAAAAAAATAACAATTTAATAAAAAAAAGATGAAATAACTAAATTATTGATGAAAATAAAACATGAAGAATCCAATGATCAGTTTTTTAAATGAAAAAGACTAATTAATCTGTTTTTCTAAAGCAAATGGACTAATTTATAGTTTACTCAGATCCGCTGGCCAGTGGGCTCGTATGGCATGCAAATGGTCATTCTGATCGTCGATGTTCTCTTAATTGATGCGAGAAAGGATCGATCATCATGACGATCATGCAAGGGTTCATGGTAAGAAGCAAGACTGCGACTTCATTTAAACCTTTCTCTTGCTGAGAAAAATGATAAAATTCGCACGTGCCAAAAACTATGATTGCAGCCGTCGGCAATACCCTCCATAATCAGCACAATAAAAGCCCATGCAAATGTACTGCAATGACAAAACAACCTCGTTAAAATCAGAGCAATTATACGAGTAAATTATATTAGTCCTTATAGGTTTGAGAAATAAATTAATTAGTCCTTTTTTGTTTTAAAAACTAGTTATTCAGTCTATGCATTTTTTAATTTTCTTATAACTTAATCAGTTTTGTTCTTTTTCAATTTATTTTGATTTTTTATTTTAAAAAATAAAAAAAGTAAAAGATATTATAGAGTTGATAAAAAATAATATTAAATTAATTATGATCAACACTAATTGAAAGACTAAATAATTAAGCTTAAACAACCTTGTTAAAATCGAGCAATTGTACGTTTAAATTATATTAGTCCTTGTAGGTTTGAGAAATGAATTAATTAGTTATTTTTTTTAAAAAAACTAGTTATTCAGTCTATGCATTTTTTTTAATTTTCTTATAACTTAATCAGTTTTGTTTTTGTTTTTTTCAATTTATTTTGATTTTTTATTTTAAAAAATAAAAAATAAGTAAAAGATATTATAGAGTTGATAAAAAAATAATATTAAATTAATTATGATCAACACTAATTGAAAGAGTAAATAATTAAGCTTAAAAAAAGCAATTAATTAATTTTCCAAAATAAAAGAGCTAATTTATAATTTACTTGTAATTGTATCGTTCTGCATTTTCATATGGATAGATTAAAAAAAAAAAATGAAGGAAACGTAGGACCATATCAATCCATCATCTATCTCTTTGTCCTTAAATTTATAATGTACAATCATTACTTTTTAATTGATATGATTTATTTGTTGCGTGTGATCTAGCCTTTAAAATACAAAATATTATTATTTTTAAATAATACAAGATACAAATTAGTTTTCATCATATATTATTTACAAATATGTTAAAGTCAAGGGGAATATTTAAATATATTTTAAAGTCAAGCGATGAGTGGTTAAGGAAATATATTTTTTAAAAAATTTTGAGTTTGAATCTTGATGCTATCCTATAATTACGTTGTATCAAAACAATTTTTTTTGTCAAAAAAATAATGTTCTATTCTATAATAATTCTCACAATTAAGCAGCAATCTTTCATGTTAAAAAATAAAAATAAAGCGCTTGAGGTCGTAGCCTAGCGGTTGAGGGTTTGCTCGATGATCATCTCGATTCGACTCTCTTTGTGCATGTCTATCACCCCCTCGGTGTCTTACTTGTCCATTGGGATTGCAAAATGTTTAATGAGTCCAGGGATTAGTCGTAGTGCGCATAAGCTGATCCGGACAGCCTAGGGTATCAAAAAAAATAAAAATAAAAAATCAAGCATTAACTAAAAAGAAAAGGAAACTGATAAAAGCAAAAGAGAATCAAACCGCCCATTAATCAGTTCAAAGATCCAACGGCTGGGACACAATGGCGGTACCAATCCACGAACTACCAAAAGAACCATCAATCCATACAGAAAACCCACCAACCAAAAAAAACCACGTGTCATCAATCCCATCTCCACAAGGACAGCTGGTTAGATCCACCAGATTACCTGGAATCGCCAGCATCCAACCAAACACAAACTCTCTCTCTGTCTCTCTCTCTCTCTCTCTCTCTCTCCTCCAACTTTCCCCTCCATCATCATAATCATCTTCCATTTTCTTCAAACTTTCAGATTCTCCTCCTCCCCTTTTCTCCCAAATTCCTCTCCTTTTCTCTCTAGGGTTTGTCCCCATCACCACATCTCCGCGTTGAATTATTATTGTTATGATCGAGGAGAAGACATGGCAGCGGGCATGGATTTTTCGCCACCATTTACAGTACTAGAAGGCGGTTGTAATAAAGACAGCAATAATAAAATCACCACCAATGTGTCAGAGAATCAAAACGCTGAGAATTTAGACACTCTTAAACAATCTACCAATGGTAAACCTCCAAGACATCTCCGTCAAAGTATGGACTCCATCCGATTGCTGAACGCCGCTGATCTGGTAAGAAAGAAAGAAGTTAATAATTGATTTTTTTTTAATAATTATTATTCGAAGAAGATTATGGATTGAATGGTTTCTGTTTAGGCGCTTGATGTTGGGGTTGGAGTCGTGATTAGTAATTCACCGGCTGATGAAAAATCGGAGTTTTTGCCGTTGTTTCGATCGGGAAGTTGTGCTGAAGGAGGGCCAAAACAGTATATGGAAGATGAACATGTTTGTATAGATAATCTTGTTGATCATCTAGATGCCACGGAGACCGCGGCCGCCATGGCGAACTGCCCTTCTCCCGGAGCTTTTTATGGGGTGAGTATTCAAAACATTTGATCTCTGACTCTGGGAATTTCAAGAAGTTGTTGATAATTTCTTGTGTTAGCTGGAAATGGGTTTTGATTGATGTTTGTGGGCAGGTGTTTGATGGGCACGGAGGGACAGATGCGGCGTCGTTCGTGAAAAATAATATTCTGAGGTTTATAGTTGAGGACTCTCATTTTCCGATTTGTGTGGAGAAGGCGATTAAGAGTGCTTTTCTGAAAGCTGATTATGCATTTGCAGATGATAGTGCACTTGACATCTCTTCTGGCACCACTGCGTTAACTGCTCTTATATTTGGAAGGTAAGAGAGATGTATCTTCTTTTAGATTTAGAATATTTTTAGGAGGTTTTTATTGCCAAAATTTTCTTATTTAGGACTAAGGTGTAGCTCCCAAGCTTCCTTTTATTCAACAATTGGCCATTGACCTTTATAAGTAGTTAATTTGAGGATGGCTTAGTTCTTCTGTTGAGGGCTCCTGTAAGGTAATAAGAAGAGAATAAAAGAGGAAAAAAGTTGGAGAGTGTTAAGAGTGGTAGAGGAGATGACGATAGAAATGGGAGCGATGTTGATCAGTTTTGTCTGAAGTTTTAGATTATGTTGAACTGGGTTCATTTGTATGCAATACAAATAAATAGCCTTTATAAGTTGAGGATTAAGTGTTGGATAGCGTCAAAATACATAATGAAACTAGGGCCTTTTGTTGTTTTTGTCTAGGAACTCCTATGTGCAAACATGTCTTTCTGATAAGTTTACCTCCTCCTCCGGGTTCTGGATGTCGGGAACGCTAGTTTTATCCTTAAATGCTTCTCATTTAGGTTTTGAGTTTCATTTCTCTGAAATAATTCTACTCTTTTGCAGGACATTAATAATCGCCAATGCTGGGGATTGTCGAGCAGTGCTGGGGAGGCGAGGTAGAGCAATTGAGATGTCCAAAGACCACAAACCTAACTGCACATCAGAAAGACTAAGAATTGAGAAACTTGGGGGTGTCATCTATGATGGCTACCTCAATGGCCAATTATCTGTTGCACGTGCCCTTGGTGACTGGCACATGAAGGGCCCTAAAGGTTCGGCCTGCCCTTTAAGTGCTGAGCCTGAATTGCAGGAAACAAATTTGAGTGAAGATGATGAGTTCTTGATCATGGGCTGTGATGGCCTGTGGGATGTAATGAGCAGCCAGGGTGCTGTGACAATTGCTAGGAAAGAACTGATGCTCCATAATGATCCCGAAAGATGCTCAAGAGAGCTGGTCAGGGAGGCACTCAGACGCAATGCATGTGATAATCTAACGGTGATTGTTATTTGTTTCTCCCCAGATCCACCTCCTCGGATAGAAATCCTGCAATCCCGAGTTCGGAGGAGCATATCAGCCGAAGGCTTGAACTTACTGAAGGGTGTTCTGGATAGTAACTCATGAAGAAAGTGATGGTTTGATCACGTCTGTACAAATACATTCAAGGTCGGAATCAGCAAGAACATCTTTTTCTCCAGGCTGCTCCTGATATCCACAAGGCCATGGCTGACATTCAGCTTTCTTCAGGTAATAAATATGGCATAGAATGTGATTCTTTCGAGCTTTCAAAACCCTGTACATCTAAGATAATTTATGTTGTAACATTTGGAGTTCATCGTTCAACTTCTTAGTTGCATGCACCTCCCTCTCATTCTTTATTGCTCCTTTGTACATAATTTGGGGAAAGACTTGAGAGGTGGGATCTAACACTGTTCTTTTAAATAGTTGATCTCTACGTTTTCCATTCAATGAATTAATTGATTGTTAGGGATTTCCATGGATGCAAAAACTGGTATTTTTCATACTGTGTCAGTTTTCAGATATTGATTGCCTGAAAAAGGCTGAACCGATTTGAGCGGTGGAATCGACTTTAGACTCACTGAGTACCTATAACACGATAGTAAATGATGGAATTTCATGCTAGAATCTTCTATAACGTGCTTGGTGTTGTGCTTTTTTAAAATCTTTTCTACCAACTTTCCCTGTTTTAAAACTTTTTTTTATGAAAGGGAATCAGCACGATATCGCTTAAAAGATAAGAAAAAACGGTAAAAGTTTCTTTTTTTTTCTTTTTAAATATGTGAACATGTAATACAGAAGGCGCAAAGCTGTCCCATCAAAACGAAAATGTTAAACCTTACGGAACACCAGCTTCCACGGTGCTGATGCTAATCTTGATCCAGATGGCATTTTCTTTTTCTTGGATGCCACAAATAGAAAAAGAGATTCAAAACAGCAAGTAACAAGATCCAGTTAACAAGTCATGTACTTGACAATGAAGTAGAAATAGAAATGCAAATAAATGTTTTAGTTCTCTTTCATGATTGTTATTGCTACTCTGCTCAATTTCTTGGAGCATAATTTAACATTAGTTCTTTTCTTTTCTGATGAACCAAAAAAAAAAAATTGGAAAATTTTTTTCCAGGATTAATTGGTTTTTGTAAAAATCACAGCAGTTACTCAGAGTTCTCGATCTGGTTCGTCATCATCAGCATCCGCTTGATAGGAGCCACTGCATGAACAAATGAAGTTTTTTGTTAATATATATACGAGAGCATGACAATTTATACCCTTTTTTAGGTTGACAACCAGCGGTTATGCATGATTAAACTGCATTCAGGTAATTTACGATCAACAAACAAAACAATATTGAAGAAATACCAAAGTGAAAATTGTATTTTTCTCGTTTAAGTAGGTGTGGATTTTGAATGCTGCTCAAGTCAGTGAAAGGCTATTGATTCTTCCAAGTTATGTTTAACCTAACTTGGTGGTCCTTTAAAGACAAGTCCCCGGGTTAATAGAGACTGCAAGCATTGACATTATCTCAAGCACCAAGCATGGTAAATCTCTAATGGCGGTAACTTAACCAGCTGGTTTGCTTAAAGCAGATATACCTGGCTTCAGATTCAACATTACCTTGATTGCTTACAGTGCTTGCTCAAATCCTGGCATAGAATCTTGCTCACACCGCCTACTTTAACGGATCCTTTCTTTATCTGTTCTGCCAACTGCAATATTAACCGTCCTTAGTAGCCTGAATTGTCAGCATGTAATAAAATAACATAAATGACCAGTAAACTTAGAAACGGCCAAGCATGATATGAAAACTCACCTCATCTTCAGTTTCCTCCAATAACCTGTCCCATTTTAAACATAAGGGTTAGACTTGGCAAGCTATAAACTAGCTGGCATTTAACATCCTAGGAATATAAGTGCAAATCACAAAATCATAGGTGTAGTTTGCAATGCGAGAAACTGAGAGTAATGACCAAAACATTTTCCATCTCACCTTCCACAATAAGATGATATATCTTTTGAATATGCCTTGGCTTCTTGCTTGTCTATCAACAAATAGAAATAGAAATCGACTTAAAAAAGTGGCAGTAGTTGAGTTGAAAATAAAAGTTCAAAGACGAAGAAATAACAAACGTATAACAAAATATGCTGAGGTAGGGCCAGCCATTGGCATCACAACTGATAACGGTGACCCAGTTTACCACGGAAAAGGGCGTAATTCCAAATCCTAGAAAAGCAAGGATAAGACACTTTTTTGGTTTGCTGTGACAGTGATATCAAGATCTATCTTTTCATCTTTCCATCAAAATTTAAACTCACAACAATTCAACTAAGGTTAGTAGACATCACAATTAAGCTACCAATTCTTTTGCAAGCGTAAGATCCTAACCCTACCATCATTTGCATTGTCTTAGATCAAGCATGAACAAGCCCAGTCAATCTACCATTTGAAATTAAATGAACCAATAAAAAGCATGACTTATTCAAATCAGACCTCAAGTTTAATATCAGAAAAGGAGGAACGTCGTATCACTGGGAGGGGCAAAATGGTTATAGCACCGTAGCCAAACAAGAAGACAAGAATATTGCTAAGAATAGGTAATACGAACAAATACTCACTAATTGTAAGATTGTCCCAGCTATCCACTCTAACCCATTCATATCTTTTCAAATCTACCTGCAAAAATAATGAAGCAAATATTGAAATGTGCTTGCAAGAGGTTATGAAATTACTGTACATGCAACTGCAAAGACAATATTTATTGGCAACATGCTTAAGGATTACCAGATATCACGGTTAATAGAAACTACAAATAGTCAAGCACAAATTTCTTCAAGACTCCGACTAAAAAACTCAAAAGTACTATATCAAACACGCATCAAAAAGCAAAGAACACAACCGATGAAGAGCTCAATTCAACCGATAATTACCTTCTGAAGAGTATAATCTTGCATTTTATCACAAAGCCCATCTAATAATTCAACAACCCTAAGCTCACTGACTCTGTTCGGAAAAAAAAAAAAAAAAAAAACAAAAATACCCAAGAGATTAGACATATTAACAAGAAACTCCCAACACAGATACTATAAGGAACGGCATGGCACAGAGCACAATAGATAACACAAAGTTGAAAGGAAACATTGAAGTTACCTGTAATCAATTACCTTTCCTTTACGTTGACCTTTAGAATCCAATCTATGTCTCATATCCAAATGATTCCTCGGTTTTTCCTACACAAGAATTACCAAACCGTATTATAACATTGAAAAACGAACCAGAGGTTAAAAAAAAATGAAAAGCAAAGGACTAAAAAATCCTTACATTGGAAAGTCCATACTCTATCTCCTCCTGCAAAAGCAATTATTACCGCATTCAGTTAATGAATTAAGCTCAATTCACCTCATAAGGATGCTTGAATAATTAAAACCCAATGATCATCGAGAGGAAACAAAAAAATGTACATAGAGAATTAGAAGATCTAAAAAATGCGAAAAATGGAGAAATAAAGATATGGAAGAAAGTACCGCAACGGCATTACAAGCGGCACATTTGTCATCGATGCCGGAAACAAATGTGAATGTCAAAACGACGAGAATCAGCACAAGCGACGCCATGGACTCCGCCATCTTAATCATTTTCGTCTTCGTCTTCGTCTTCTCCGATTTCACCTCTCTCTCTCTCTCTCTCTCTCTCTCTCTTCTTCGCTATGGACTGTTGAGTCTAATTTAAAGAAAGCGTGTCTTAATTTCTTAAACATCATGTAATGTCAAAATGACAGGCCCCGGCCCATGTTTCTGACAAGGCCCACTTGTGATGGAGAGGCTTATGCGAACGCAAATAAGTGAGATTTCAACGCCCAATGTTTGTCTCACCTTTTTTTCTTTTTTATAATCATTTTTAAATTAATATGTTAAAAAAATCAATTTTAAATTCACTGAATCAGGTGGTACATTGGATAAATGTGTTCATGCAAGGCCCATGTTAAGAAAAAAATATATATAACAATAATAAAAATGAACGGCACATGAAATTCGATATTTTCTACAAAATCTATCCGGTTTTGATCTTTATATAATTATGAATTTTTTTTAATGACTTAAGTCATTTGGTCTAACACGTCTACTATATTCTATATTTTCCATAGTAAAAAAAGAGCTTTTCTTTCATTAAATACATTTTCAACATTTTTTACATCATTTTAGAGAGTCAGTTCTCTCTCTAGTGTCCACACGGTATGCTAAATTACTGATTTAATTATTAATCATGTTTGCATGGTATATCAAATTATCGATTTAATTATTAATCAGTAGTTTTGTTAATGGTTATGATACTTATTTTTCTTATTCATGAGACTTGAAAAGATATCAACATTATTTTTTTCAATTATTAAAAAAATAAATAAATACTAATTACAATCAATATAATTACCTAAAATCTCAAACATAGTTGAGAATCACTTTTAATTATTAATAAGTAGTTTCGTTAATGGTTCTGATGCTTATTCTTCATATTCGTGAGACTTAAAAAGATATCAACATTATTTTTTTTAATTCTTAAAAAAGAAAATAAATATTAATCACAATCGATATAATTACCTAAAATCTCAAACATAGTTGAAAATCACTTTTAAATGCTGTTTGACAATCAATGATGAAGTAGTGAGGACGAAAATAAATGTTTTATTCGTACTTGATAGTTGTTTGATTGAAAAAAATAAAGTAAAAATGAAAATAAAAATTACACACAACTTTATTTCCATTTAAAACGTAGGAATAAAAAACAAGAAATGAAAATGAATTTTTTTTTCAAAACAATAATATATTTTATTTATTTATTGTACATTGACTATTTTTACTACCACCACCATCACTATAACCAATGCCACAACCATAACCACCACTATCACTTTTGTTATTTTTATAACTATGATAGTTTGATAAAATTATTTTTTAATTATTATTTCTATTCGTATAAAAATCAGATATTAAAAAATTTAAATTATATTTTGATTACTCGTTAGTATTTCAAACACAATATAGGAATATAAATACGATTTTGATTTTCTTATTTTCATTCTAACCTTTTATTCCTAATAACTAAATTACACCTTTAGGTTTGGATTATGTGTATTATTTGCTCACGTTTTTTTAGTTTTATGGCTTAGACTTGAAAACATTTTTGGACGAGTGGTTGAATGTCGGAGACTATCATCCAAGATCATGAAGATTTATCTATATTTTGAATACAGAGTCAATTCAATATTGTCCATTCATCCATTTTTCTTCGTGGTGGGGGAGATATCTCAATTCTCAACAGATTTGGTAACAAATTGTAGCCACTATAATATTGGATGTTTTGGGCAAATGGAGGGATGGGATTGGAGAATTGAGAATATGGGCATTATTCATACATAACGAAAGTCATCCCTGTGGTCCAAAAAAGCAAGGTTGTTCATCATTTTTTCTAAGTTTCCAAGTCATGATGCACGAGTAAATTATAAATCAATCCCTCTTCTTTTAAAAAACATATCAATCAGTCCCTTATATTTCAAAAACTAATTATGCAATCCTTTATTTCTATTTTACGTTCTTTTTTTTTCTTGTTTAAAAAAGAAAAAAAGAAATATATATTATGAAAAAATTAACGAGAAATAAAATAATATTAAATTAACTTATCAAGATGGACTAATTAATTCAATTTTCAAAATCAAAGGACTTAATTTATAATTTTACTCATTAACACATTTTGTAAATAGTTATTCCCTCTCTTTCTCTGGTGTCTATCCGTTCATAAATCCATCACTAGTGCATGAAATGAAAAGGGTGCACATGCTCATTAATCAAGGGCACTTGTATATCAATTAATGAGACAGTTTGCTTTTGTTGTCAGAGAGTTAGGTGGCAGCACGACATCATTAAAGATAGTACAGTTCGATGTATCCGTTTTGACATTTTTAAAAATTTTCCTTTTTTTTTTTTTCACTCACAATGATATGATTTTGCACCATAAATAGAATAGCAACTTATTGAATTAATCACAGCTTAGTCTCCTTAGTTTATAAATATCAGTTGGTTAATATTCACAGTATCACAAATAACTAAACAATCCCTAAATTAGTATTTTTTTTTATTTTTTAATATTTTTTTTAACTCATACACCTAAAACTTTTAGTAAAACTAATCTGTAAAAATTTGAATCCGTAATATCTTGTTAGAATAGATCACTATTACTGAATTATAAGCTTTTCGATTTCTTAAATTAGTATTTACTATTTTCAATTCAGTCATTTTTTTTCACTAAATTATAAAACTTTCTTTTTGAAAAAAAAAAACCCTCGTGAACTTGAGAGGAAAAAAAAAAACCTTAATGGACTAAAAAAAATTCTTAATTTTTTTCTCTACAATATAAATTTTTAGATTTATCCTTTTTCTTATAATTTTATTGAAAAATCGACCGAAGACCCTAAAAATCCTCTCACCTTTCCCTTTTTTCTCTATTATAAAATATGTTCTTCCAAGTGAGTATAAATAAAATAGAAATTAAAAAGATTTTTATGGGTTTTTCAGTCAATTTCTAACTGAATCCTAACGAAAGTAGCAACTTCAAAAATCATATTATTTAAAGAGTAAAAATCGATGATTTTTTAATCCATGAGGTTATTTGTTTTTTGTTCAAGTTCAGTAAGATATTTTACAATCAAGCCAATTCTTTTTGTTTTATTTTTCAAGAAACTACAAGGACTATTAATTAGTTTTATCAAACTTAAGGAACTAAAAGTTATAACTTATTTTAGCAAGTAGTGTCTGATGAGTGGCGAGAGCCATGACACTGGTAAATGGAAGTAGGTAATGACATCATCAATAATCTTCTTGACTTATGAGGCTCATGGGGTCCACATTACTAACCTACCCCCGAAAATTTGTGTCACACGCCACAGGGCTTCCACGACGTCGTATTCCACTTCGTTCCTAGAGCCCCGAGCCCCACGCCACACTCAAAATCAACCAGACACGGCTCGACCTCGAGATCCGATTCAAACAACCAACGGCTCTGGTAAAGGCTACACGATAAAGCTTCAATTCAGATTCGTACCCAACCAAACAGCCAAAAAAAATAAACATGAAAAAGGTGAAAAAACAAAAGAAAGAATGACAAATGGGAAAAAAGAGCTGATGCGTCGCTTTTTTTTAAAAAAATTAATATTATTATAAATATTAAGTGGTAGTAAATTATAAATCAGTCCTTCTAGGTTGAAAAATAAATTAATTAGTATATTTTGTTTCAAAAAATAACTATTTAGTCTTTAAGTTTTTAAATTTCTAACTTAATTCTTTTTTTTTAAATTTATTTTGATTTTTTGTTTTAAGAATAAAAAACGATAAAATAATTAAAAATTGTATAAGGATTATGAGAAAATATGATATTTTATGAAATAAAATAATATTAAACTAAGTGGGATCAATAAGATTAAGGGATTTAAGGGATTAGTTTTTGAAATAAAAAAGACTAATTAATTATTTATTGAAAATAAAGGGACTAGTTTATAATTTTCTCGTGAAGTGGTGAGTCGCTTTACTAAATGCAGACCGCCCAAAAAATAAAAACTACTGACAAACATTTTTTTTCGCTGGATCCAAATTCCATTTCTCTGAAGTCTTTGTTGCTCCAATCTCATCTTCAAGATTGTAATCTTTGCTCCAATCTACGGACAAACATTTTCAGATTCTGGGGGTTTATTTTTTTCCTGCTGCTCAAATTTTTGCAATGTAAGTAACTGTGTGTCATTCTTCTCTTTATCTTTGTTTCTTGGCTTTGAATTTTCCGTATAATGCTAGTACGAGTGTTTGATGACTGAGAAATTTGGGGAAATGGAAAGAAGATGTTGTTTTTATGCTAAAAATGGTTGGTTAGGCTTTCCTTTTTTGTCTTTGAAATGGATCACTTTCCTTTTTTTCAGGCTTGTGTTTTCTATGATTGGTCTTGCTGGTTTGTTTGGGAAATAGGTGGATTTTGTGTTTTTCTTTAAAGCTGCAGCAAGGGTTGCCTGCTTGTTGTAGATTTTAGGTTAATCTATTTTTTTTTTTTTTTATGATTTATGGTTATGATTTTTAGTGATGTGGGATCTGATTTATTGAAAAAACGTGGTATGGATCTGAAACATTGATAGTAAAGTTGATATTTTTTTAGTTTTTGTTGTTCTTTTTTTCTATGAGGATTATTGGGGATGATCTTATTTTTTTTTTTTTTTTTTGGTAGATGATAGAAGTTGAGTAATGCTGCTTACTAGATGGGTATGGGGTATAAATTGTCGTGTGGAAAGTAGTAGAGGACGAGGGCGCGGAATGTTTTCTGAGAGACTAACCGGAGAGGCATCTCTTCACCGGGAATTCGAGGCTTTGAGTGTGTCGCAACGGCTAGTGAGAAGTGTTAGCCAGAAGTTGAGGAAGAAGAATCATAGAGGTGAAGGAGAGGAAGAGGATGATTCAAGGGGAGTTTCGCTGAAATGTCTTACTTTGTATGGTATGGGTGGGGGTTGCAAAGTTGGTGCTGACACAGGTGATGAATTTGGGTATCCGAGTGGTAGGAGGAGGTCATCGAGTGCCAGTGAAGAAGGAAAGGGATATAAACCAATATGTGGAAATGAGGAGACAGGGTTTGATTGTTTCTCATATGGGGTGAGGGAGAAGTTTTGGAAGAAAAACAGTAGAAAGGATTTAGAGCTTGAAGATTCGATTCAAACTAGCAGGTTGCACATGTTTCTTCCAGATGATGTACTGGAATTGTGTTTGGTGAGACTCCCGTTGACCAGTCTGATGAATGCCCGCCTTGTATGCAAGAAATGGAGATACTTGACTACCAGTCCCCGGTTCCTGCAGATGAGACGGGAAGGTCTGTATCTGAATCCGTGGCTGTTTCTGTTTGGAGCTGTTAAAGATGGATATTGTTCTGGGGATATATATGCATTGGATGTATCTGAGGACCAGTGGCATAGGATTGATTCTGACATTCTAAAAGGGAGGTTCATGTTTTCTGTTGCCAGTATTCAAGATGATATTTATGTTGTTGGAGGTTGTTCTAGCTTGACTCACTTTGGGAGGGTGGATAGGAGCTCTTTTAGGACACACAAAGGGGTCTGGGTTTTTAGCCCTTTAACTAAATCTTGGCGTAAAATTGCTTCCATGAGGTATGCAAGATCAATGCCTGTTTTAGGAATTTCTGAGGTTCGTTCAGACTTTTCAGTGGTTCACAGTCATCATCATCGGCAAGACAGACGTTTTCCTAGGTCACGTGTTGGTGGGGTGTCAGATGTTTACGAAGATCCTCACAGGCTTTCAATAAGGCGACAATATAGAAATGCTTTTGATGAATATGAGCCTTCATTGTTGCCCAATAGAAAGTCACACAGGTTCATCAGACAAAAAAGTGATCAATCAAATATGAAGGACTATAAGAGGTTTGTATTGATTGCTGTAGGAGGTCTTGGATCCTGGGATGAGCCATTGGATTCTGGAGAAATTTACGATCCCATGTCAAATAAATGGACAGAAATCCAGAGGTTGCCTGTGGATTTTGGGGTTGTTTGTTCTGGAGTTATTTGTAATGGAATTTTTTATGTGTACTCCGAGACAGACAAGCTCATGGGATATGACATTGAAAGGGGATTCTGGATGGCAATCCAAACCTCTCCATTCCCTCCTCGTGTTCATGAGTATTACCCTAAACTTGTATCTTGTAACGGCCAGCTATTTATGCTTTCAGTCTCCTGGTGTGAAGGGGATGGCCGAATCGGCCAGAGAAACAAAGCTGTTAGAAAGTTGTGGGAGCTTGATCTCATGTATCTTAACTGGACTGAAGTTTCAGTACATCCTGATGCCCCAATGGATTGGAATGCTGCATTTGTTGCAGATAAAAACCTAATATTTGGGGTTGAAATGTTCAAAATATTTGGCCAAGTTCTGGACTTCTTGACCGTATGTGATGTGTCTGACATGAGGGCAAACTGGAGCCACATTGCTAGGAATCACATAACTCAAGAATTGGACGCTTCCTCGTGCATGACTAAATCATTGGCTGTCTTGCATCTTTGAAATCTCCCTTGAATGCTGATCTTTGCAGATAATTTCAGCCATTTATTTACCCACAATAGATTTTGAGCACAGATTGTGACCTCCGAATTTCATATTGAATTCTTTGGACATAATCAATTTCCTAGTCGGCACTTTTGTCTGTTTTTTCTTCGCCACTGTTCATATAATTCTTCCTGTATTCCTGATCTTGTTTATTGTTCATTAATAATGAATTCGATTTCTTGTTCATCCAGTATTCCAATTAGGCAGGGATTTGCTCTAATTATATCATTTTTATCACAGTTTCTACTTCTTTGCTCATACTAACTTCGTCGGTACCCCCTTTTTGTCTTAAATGCTGACGCTTGAATAATGAATATTGATTATTGAAGGTGGCAATTGCAGGGCAGGCCTTGACGCTAGCAGTGTGGACAATTGATTTGTCGATTTTTTTTTGCAAAAACCCTGCAGTTCTACTCGTGCACAAGTCCTTTCCTTTTGAGGATATTGTTCAAAACTTGTAAAAGGATCACAATTTACTGAAGCTATTCTTAAAGGTTATACGACACTAGATATTTCACGAGCAGAAAACTTTATATCTCTGCAATCCGGGCTTCATGAGGTTATAAATGGTTTATTTATCTCAGAAAATATCTCACTCTTGGTACTAGAACAATACATACGATCGTATAAAAAATGAAAAAAAAAAAGAAAAGGAAAAAGAAAAGAAAAAAGCAGCATCATTAAAAACAAATGAACTCCTTTTCAAAATCCTCTACAAATGAGAGATCTGTTTACAACAATATCTACCTGCAGCTAAACGCTGCCATAACCAGAAATAGCTCGGAACAAAGGTTGAATTAGATACAGCTCCTGGATCAGTACGCAGCCTAGCAGCGCTAGCCCATGTTTGGGAAGACACCGGAGAAATTGGGTATCTTATCGACATGTTTCAGGGCACGCTCCGCAATCTGTCGTGTCCGATAGTCAGCATGCTGGAAGGCATCAACAAGTGCAGTACTCATGTTTGGATCTCCCGAAACTTCATATGCTATGTCATCAGTCCGTAAGAGTCTCTCAACGGCCCAAACTGCCCTCCTTCTCAGATTCTCAGTCCTTTTCTCCACTAAAATGTCAAGTATAGGTCTAACTCCCTCTGCCTCACACAACACGGCCACCCCTTGTTCAATGTCAACCCCATCATCCAACACCGTAGAAATTGCAGCAAGTGCTGCCTCAACCACTTTCTCATTTGTGTGATCTAAAAGAGCTACAAGCTTCTCAACAGCCTGTCCTTCCAAAAGACAAAATGTTTCTTTTAGGGAACATGTTCCTCGGTGGAGCCGACACAATCCAGTTATGACAGGCTGTTTGCCAAAACATGGAAAAATTGAGGCACAGAAAGGAGGAGGAGGCAACTCAGGCAATCTCGTTAAATTTTTGGACTCTTGAGCCAAGTTCTCTAATGCCATGGCAGAGAACATCTGTACATTGTCGAGTCCATTTGACTGGAGCAATTCGATGAAAAGAGCAGTGAGATTGTGCTCACGGGAGAGCTTAATGGCATCTGGCTCTTCAGCCAACACAAATGTAACCCTTGCAAGAACCCGCACTAATCCTTCTAAAAATGGTGTCATAAAGCGTGAACCCCTAATCTCCCCCTGTTTGATCTTTACCACTCTGGAGATGATTAGTGCAAAGGCACTTTCATCTAGCATCTGTCGAGTGAGGCCCAAATCCCTCTCTGGGAGCTCAGCTAAAAGGCCAACAGCAGCTGCCTGCTCTTCTGTGATTCCTATGTTTTCTGCTACAACTTTAATTAGGCTTCCAAGCTGGCCAACTGTGCCACGGAGAGCATCAGCTAACTCCTGGCCCATATGTGGAGAGACATTCTGGAGAAGTTTTATGCTAGCTACACGCAAATCCCTCTGGGGGGCCTCAACAAACTGAACCAAACTGATAATAGCACCTGAGCTTTTAATGGCAGAAACAACGTTTAAAACAGTAGATGGAGAACTAGTCAGTCCAACAAGAACCTGCAGGAGTTTGCATTCGATAGCTGGACCAGTGTTGCTAATTAGATGGAGTAGGTTATGAACTATGTCTTCCGAAACAAGAGTCTGATGGTCAGGTCCAACAGGAATCAAATCAAAGTCATTGCCTGAATTAACAACATTGGCGAGAATTGTGGCCGAGACCTCTTTGAGACGCATGGGAAGCTGATTGGGCCCAACAGCAAAGAGGTCTTTGACAAGAGGAGGAAGAATTCCAGCCTCAATCAAGACCTTTGCACTTGCCTCATAAGAAGACATTTGATTCAAAGCTTTCAAAGCAGCTTCTCTTGATTGCACATCGCCACTTCTCATAATATTGATTAGAGATGAACCAACAGTTCTAGCAACAAGGACTTTCACATCATTGTTCAAGACCAGCTCGCCCAGGTATGAAGCCATAGACAGTTTAGTTTCTGGTGGGCCTGCAACATTTCCATTCTGGTTCCATTAATCAGAGCAATATGTCATTTGTATGATCAGATGAATGCATTTGGGTCCAAATATCGAGGGTAACACAATTTTGAGTACAAACACGCCACCAACTTTTTTAAGTACTGGATCGAACTTTTTTTTTTAAAAAGAAAAAATAAACAAAAAGAAAATTGGTGGACAAAGTAAAGTAGGTACTTAAGTAGTGCCATCGGTGGATCTACAAAATACCAATTAACAAGCATGAGGTGTAATAAAAGAAAGGGTAAAGGCAGAAAAAGTTGCAATTACAATGGTTTCTTACTACCTCCAGACTACAGATTTTTATGTAAATAGCACAGGTGCATTAGAAAAGGACCCCCTAATGTTTGCATGAAATTCAAAAATCATAAAAATGTTAGCTCAAAGGAGGTACCTTCAAGAATTTGATTTAGAAGAGGTTGCAGTCTACCATTTTCAGCCATCTGCCGTACATTGTTCTCACACTTCTCCAGATTTTCCAGTGTTTGATCAGCCTTCTCAACAGTTAAAAGATTTTCTGATTTGCTGCTAGTCATTCCAACCAATATAAGAATTGCTCCATTGATTGAACCAATCTTCTCACACAAGGCTTCGGATTTTGAGAGCTCAAGCAGCAACGAGACAGCTTCCTCCCTCTCTATGGATTGCTCATGCGACAAAAACTTAACTATGGTCCGCACAGTGTCGCCCTCAGCCAGTATTTCCTGCAAAACAAGGAGGACGCATTACAAGGAGATAGACAATGCACAACTCTGTTGATTTCATGGAAGCTATACAACAATAGCAAGCAAACCTGGCACAACCTTATTATCAGCATCTCCCTCGACCACAATTCGAAGGGTTTCCAAAGCTTTGCACCGGACTCTACGACTGGTACTCTTCAACATTTCAACAACCATAGGTATTAAATCGGCATTGCGCACGACATGCTTATTCGATCGGCTCTTATGGCACATGTATTGAATATACTTCAAAGAATGCAAAACATCACTTTCTGGACTGCTCGGATTTAGAAATCTGCGTGCCATATCAAGTTGAACAGCTTCATTCCTAGCAGTCCACTCTTCAATGGTGTTCCGCAAAGCCATGCTGGGGTTTAGGTCTGCACTTTTCAACTCTTTTTGCGTCAAGGGGCAAACCAACTTTCTTCCACTCTCCCTGCATTCCTTGAACCACTTCTCTATTGCTTCACGTTCAAAAGTGTGACCATTTTCTAAAGTGACAGGATCACGCATAACTTGCTTGGTTAAAGGGCAAACAAAGGCATCATAAATAGGCTCTACGTGGAGTCTCTCAAAATGATAACTATCGTCCGATTGGCTACCAGGATCATAACTTCCATCCCAGCTTTCAGCCATTTGATCTAAATAAACCTGCTGCAACAAAGCAGCGTCAAGTCAGAGAACACTAAACTTAGTTTCGCACATGGCCATATCATTCCTCGATATAGCCATGATAAAAGCACAATGAGAATATTAAATTGGCCTGATTTCAAGAAAAAACAGATAAAGCACAATTAAAGAAAGCAACCAATCATACCAAGTAACCTTTTCCTTCCTATCCAGTGATAATAGCGAATAATTACGGTAGAATTGGCAATCCAAATCTCAAAAATTTCATTTCTCAAGCCAATTATCCAGTCTAGCAGCTAACTAGTTCAACAATTGCAAAGATAGAAAAACGTGGAGATACATAGTGCACAAGCAAGTGTTGATGACTTGCACAAAGCAATAACTAACCTTTCCCTCCCAATATTTTAGCAATAAATGTGAATAATTCTGTCGTAAAATTACCAATTCTGAGTCTCCAAATTTGCTCAATTATCTAATCTAGCAGCTAACACTTGCAGCAAACATGAAAAAGGAAAAAAGCCAAGTGGAAACAGAGAGTACACCAAGAAGTACAATCGCTAAGAAGGGCAATAAAGGTGTATAAATGCACTACAGATTAGCAAAACATATTAAAAGAATAATCAAGATTAACGATTAATTGATGATCCAAACAAAATAATAGAATTCACAAATTAAACAGCAGAGTACAACCATACCTATCTATCTGCCGTTAACTATCAAAAGGACTCCAATTACCAGGATTCGAAAAACCCTTTTCCCTACTTCTAATTTGACAATTCAACAAGTAGGTCCTGAAGAATTGGGCAATCCATGTGGGGGATTCAACCTCAATTATTAGGGCTTATTTCTCTTCTTCGAAATGGGAAAACTATAATAGTACGAAACAGAGAGGAAGGAGAAGGAGAGAAAGAAAATAAAAGGGGAGTTTTGTTTTTTTATTTATTAATTTGTAATTGAATATTGGTAGGAGAAAGAAGAAACCAACAAGAAGAACAAAACAAGAAACGAGTGAAAATGATCGGCGTAGGGGTCGAAAAAGGTTGACCAGAACAAAATTAGTCGCCATTGTTTTTTATACAGTTTTTTTTTAAAAAAAAAAAACTTTTAGCTGACGAAAGAGGGTGTTCTAGGCTTCTAGCAGTTTTAACCATGAAGTTTAACCTTAACCATCGACGGGATGTGGGTCCCACTTAATTAGTGTCCGAAAACAGCCTGGTTTTCTAGGATTCTTGCCGGTTTATTGTTCGACAATAAACTATGATTAGAGGAGGTCAGCCTAAGCAACCACCATAACAACCGCTTATGTTAATTAAGCAATAAGCGGGAAAATTAAAAAATCGTTGTTTTTTTTTTTTTGTTTAGAATATAAGGCCTAACCGTACAATTTTTTTTTACAATTTTAATTCTTTAGCAAGTGGGTCTTTCAACTTTTAATTTTATATTGAATCTTTTTCTAATTATTTTTATTTAAAATTAATTGTTCTATTAGATTTTTGTCGACAATTAGAAACATATCGAAAGGTTTGGATATTTTGCTTTTTTTATTTTTCTGAACTTTTTTTTTCTAAATGCTAAGAAAGAAGCAATTAAAAAATATATTTTTTTAAAAACAAGTTTTGTTTTTTAGAGAAAAGTAATTCACTCGTAAGTTTTAACCTATTTTTAGCAATTGAAAAAATTATAAAATTATCTATATGCAAGTCAAGTATATTTTTACTATTAAAATTAATAAAAAAAAAACTAAAAGAAAAACTCAAATTTAAATGAAAACTAATTAGAAAAAAGTCCAATCCGAAATTCTAGATTGAAGGACTAATTCTCAATTGACTTAAAGTTTAAAAGAAATTTGGACCATTAAGTCAAAAATGGAATTATGGCTTTTATTAATAATAAACATTTTGAATTGATGTATTAAGTTCGTATTTCTTAAATAAAATCCCCTATTTACATGAAGACAAGTAGTTTTTGCCGAATATTTTATGGATGCAGATTAATTGGATAATGGTTGATAGATGGGGATTCAATTAAAAATTCTATTTGATTGATGACTCATTTGAGAATCAAGAAATAGTTGGGGGACTTTTTCTATAAATTGAAATAGCGTACTTTTCTATTTTTCTTGTATTAAAAAAAAAAAAAAAGGTTTCTCGTGTACACATACGACTGTTTATTCTAATGGAGTGTTCTTGAATGAATTTTACCGCTGTGTTTTGGAGAGTTAGTTATAAATCAGTCCTTCTATCTTCAAGAAACAAATTAATTAGTCATTCTTATTTTAAAAATTAATTATTTATTCTCTTCATCAGTGTTAATCATACTTATTTTAATATTATTTTATTTCAAAAAAATCATCAGTATTTTTTATAATATCTATTTTTATTTTTCTATTTTTTAAATCAAAAAATAAAATAATTATAAAATAACATAAAATAAAAAAATGACTAAATAGTTAATTTTTAAACACAAAAATGACAAATTAGAAATGCAAAGAATTAATTTATAATTTACTCGATTTAGGCTATGGGCTGGATATTTTTTATAACTAAAATTAATTTTATCCTTATCATATATTTTAATGTATGGAACTACCATCATAGTTAGGAAAACTATATATATTTTTTTCATGTGTTTTGAAAAAAATGTGACAATAAATATTGTAAGCAGTAATTTATTTGAAATTAAATTTATGATTTTAATCCCATTATACTGATATCGGCGAGGAGCTGAGAAAGCTGGTGGGGTAGTTGCCACCCCAACCATTTTCAAAGCTGGTGCTTCTTTCTTGTAGACAAAAACAATTGGAAAAGTAATTGGGCCAAAGGTTTATTGGTTGGTTGGGTTTGTGTTAATCCAGTTTAGCCTGTCCTTTTCGGTTCTAATTAACCATATTGAATGAAATCTTTTCAGAAAGTATAATCATTAAGATTTGAATTTTATTTGTGTTATGAAAAAAAACTATCAATTATATAGAAATTGAGATTTGGATAATTTTAAATTGTTTTAATTAGACTCTTTATTTTATTTTATTTTATCTTGATTAAAATCCTTTATACTTTAAAATTTTTATCTTTATATCTTTCGTTATGACGTCATTAATAAGTAATCGTCAAACTATTTTTATTTTTAAAAATTTCTTAACGTGTATAAATCAATAATAGATATTATTAAAAATAAATTAAAAATTGTATTTTTAGTTTCGAGAAACAAATTAATTAGCTCTCTTTGTTTCAAAAACTAATTATTTAATCTGTTGATCATTATTGATTATACTTTAAGTTAAAATTATTTTCTTTTTTTAAAAAAATTCCCCTTTAATCTTTTCATAGTATTTATTTATTGATTAAAAAATATTAGAAAATTAATTTTTTAAAATTAAAGGGACTAATTATTTTGTTTATCAAAACCAGAGAGATTAATTTGTAATATACACGCCTGGTTAACAGAGCATGATTGTATTTTATCACAATCTATGTTATTACTGATATGGTAAAAGCCATCATCTCTTGCCGAACTTTGCTACATTGACCTATCTCTTTATGCATGATGGTAGATTCTCGAGAACCTATTAAAAATGGGCCCCTCAACTATTGGATTGTTATGGATTTCCACCCCCAAACAAGTTTTTTTTTCCTTATCAATTATGTTCTTGAACAATTTTGATTTCTCGATTAGATATTTATGTTCAAATTCCTTAACAAAAAACACTAATCTCTCAGCAAAACAACATCATTTTACCCAAAAAGAAAACTACAATTTATGATCAAATATTAATAGGAAAACTTAATTACGAATTTTTGAAACATAAAAAACAAAATTACTATAAAATTTTATTTGGTGATAAAATTCAAATCATCGTAGGTTTATATATATATATTTTTTAGGTTTTCCATATAACATATAATAAAACCCAATTTTCAAGCAAGTAAATTATAAATTAATCTTTTTAGTTTTGAAAAATGAATTAACTAGTCTATTTTGTTTCAAACACTAATTATTTAGTCAATTTTGTTCACTTATATTGTTTCTATTTTTTTATTTTAAAAAAAGAAAAAAAGATGCTATGAGAAAAAAAGACACTTTTGCACTAAAGCAAGTATGATAAACACTAGTGAAGGACTAAATAATTATTTTTAAATAAGAGAAATAATTAATTCGTTTATCAAAACTAGAAGGACTGGTTTATAATTTACTCCTTTTTAAGCAGGCTGCATTCCAGTATTTCGATTTTGGGCCTTAACGAAGTCTCATGTCTTTGTGAAAAAGGCTTCAAACGCACTAAGGGGTCGCGTTTCGAGAAAGGCGGGACGCCAACTTCGTCTCCCTCCTCTCCCGTTTCGCCAAACCCTAACATTTAAATAAAAACAGAGCAGTGGTGGTTAGCCACCAATCCACCATGAACAAAACCAGAAACCAGAAAACCACCACTTCAATTTCGGTCCTAAACCTGCCATCAGATTGCCCACCAATCCATCATCTACTGCCGTCGCGTATGCAAGTCCCTAGGAACCATAATCACAGCAAGCCCGCAATTCGCTCAACTCCATAGTTCCTCCTTAGAGGTAGTGGAAATTTCGATACCCTACAGTTATACGAGTTTGAGGAACTAGACGCAATGGAACACTGCACAAGAGCACCTTGGAATGTCTGAGTACTATCGCCCCATTCTTTTTTCCTGGATTAAATTTAAACTTACTAGTAGTAATCGCATTGTTCTTAATTCCTGTGATGTTTTATGTTTGGGTGATTCGTAGTTTTTTTTAATCCTCTTGTGATTTTTTATCCGGTTACTGGTGAGTATGTTGATTTACAGAGGAACGGGGTCGATGAAGACATTGAAGATGAAGTTGTTTCGGGATTCGGTTATAGTTCTGCAACTGAACAATACAAGGTGGTGCGGTTGGTGGGGATGTGGATGTGTTGGTTAGGGTGACTGATGTTTATGCATTGGGTGAGAAATCGTGGAGGAAGATTGGTAGTGCGCCTGAGTTGCTGTGCTCATGAGATTCGAATCGTGGCAGTTTCTTAGATATGTATAAGCCTGTTTATTCTAATGGAGTGTTTTTGAATGGATTTTTCCATCGGATTTCGGATGACAAACGTAGTAATTTTCATATAATTAGATTGATTTTGAGAGTGAGAAGTTTGATTTTATGCAGTCGCTGAAGCATTTTGCGGAGAGTTATAGAAGAATGAGGTATTTGTTTTTGGATGATTGTATATCCATGGGAGTGCTAGGAGGTTGTTTTTACGTATGTGATGAAAATGGGCTGTGGATGATGAAAGAAAATAGTGTTCAAGAATCTTGGACTGAATTCTGCCGTATGATTAGGTCTCCAATGAGTTTAAACCAACTGATTAAGTATTTGGTTGGTGGTGAAGTAGTGGTGAATCACGATAACAAGTGCCTGAAGTTGTGTAATCCTGCAAACAAATTTTGGGGTTGGGCTTTGCCTTTAGAAAAAGATGACAAACTTTGGTCTGAGGATTGCTTTTCTTTTCCTGGGTTGCAAAATAGCATCAGGACAGTTGCTCATGCCTCAAGCCTTTTCCTATTCAAAGATAACATGAAGGGGAATAAGGATGGTCAATGTGATATCAAGGTAAATAATTTCACCTTCAAAATTTGATTCCATTCTTTTATAAATCAGATGCTGATACGAAGAAATCATGTGGACATAATCAAATGGTATGGTTCATTTTTTCTGCTTTTAAATGTCCCTAATACTGATAATAATCCTTAGGTATGTGTTCTATTGTTTCGAATGAAATGAAATGTGTGCACAATTGTATATATATGTTATTTGTTTCATGTTGTGATAGGTATCTTGTGCAGCTACAATGATAATGTCAACTTCTTTGATAAATTCCTGTATGTTGTGTATTACTACTAGATAGATATGGTGGAAGTTGTCTCTTGCAGATACTGTTTGTTTAAGCACCATAGCAGTATTATACGCTTAGGAGAAATCATAACAGTTGCATGAGTTGGAAACGATCTTTTGTGTTGCACTGTGTTTTTACAGCAGTTATACTCCATATTGTATTGGCATAAATATGCTGTAGAAAAGTAGTGATTTTGTGGGGTTGGGGAGCAAGTAGTTATTATTGCAATCATTTTGAGGCCAAGGTCTATGCTACTCTTTGTTCAAGGGATGTATTACTCTATGCATAAAATTCTATAAATTTTATTTTAGGTGTTTCAAAATTTTTATTTTAAACGGAAGTGATCCAAATCAAGTCTACTATATTTTGGATTGTGAAAGATGGGAATCGATGCAGTTTTTTAGTTTTGGAGCTTGCAGTTGTCACTTGTCATCATTTATTTTGGCAGAAATTTCAGATGCTCACATTATCATGGTGTAGGATTTTCTGAAACTTCAAGGTTTTCCTCAAAAAGACTATGCTGTTTCTTGATTTCATTTAGTTGCGAATGAATATTTTGTTTCTTCTATTTCTGTATCAGATTGTCTACATATTAGCTGACATTATTCATATTCAGAGAGATAACTATAAACTCCTTCTAACCATATCAACCGGGGAAATTCGATAGTTAAAGCGTGAGCAATGTCTTTGATGATGCTCACTCTTTTCATTCAATTTAATTCCACAGCTTCAGCATCATTTCTCAAGGTACAAATCAAGCTTCCCCTTTCCATGTACTCGTAAACAAGAAACATGCATCGTTGGTGCAAACAGAATCCATAAAGCTTGACAATACTCATGTGTCGTATTTGTGTGAGTAGTTTCACCTCATTCTTGAAACTCTTGTCAAAACCTAGCTCCTCTGCCCCTCAATGATGAAGATCAGTAGACAATTTTCCTCACCTTGTCACTGTGACATAGAGGTTAGTCCTTCTGCTAATATTAGAGGAAATTATTGACCGTAATCAAAATCAGTGACGATAATATCATTGAACCTCTATTTTAAAGGAGGTACTGCAATAGCTCAAGGGCATGCACTGAAGTTCTGTTGAACCACCAGAGTCAGACTACATGCCAATTTGTGTGACCCTTTATGATGAGCTTAACTGGTAACTTAACTGACTCAAGTCCCTTTGTTTCTACATTGGGAATCCATTTTGAAATGCGTTCCCAAATCCAAGTTCTGCCAAAAGGTGAGACCAAAACTCAAGGCACCGCACAATTTTCCTTTTTTTTTTTTTTTTGTAACAAAAACATTTCTGAACATAAATTGGTTCAGAATTTGTTTTTAAGTATTTAGCAAATGAGATAATAATATTTGTAGAAGTGATCATTTTGTACAGAATGAAACTGTAATGAAATTGCCAGTTTATTTCTGGTACAAGAAATATTGAATCTTTTCGACAAACACAAAAATCTCTTCTGCTACAGATTTTTATCACTACAGAGTTCAGATACACGTAAATGGAGGAAGGACAGCTCAATTCTCATCCTTTGAAGTCAAAGTTTGGTTCAAAACATGAAACATAAATCTTGAACTGATCTTCTCTAGGATGTTGGATTGAAAGTTCCACCTTTGGTTTGATAAATGATTGAAGTTCAGTATGAGGTGGAAGTTGATGTTTTCAACAAGGGACTGTGATCTCACCATTTGTGTGCATGCCACAGTTTTGCAGCTCCAGCAAAGAAATCTCAAGACCTACCAATGGTCTTTTGGGATTGATAAATTCTTGAGACACGAATTTCATTGAAGGTCGAGATTCTGGCTTCGAATGTAAGCAAGAAAATGCTAGGGTTGCAATAATACATATGTTTTGTCTGATAATTTCATTTGTTGGCTTTGACAATCGAGGATCTAACACTTCTTTCAATTGAATGGCCTGAGCAGATGATGATAGGATATCTCCTGGATGTCTTCCCATTAATGTTTCTAGTGCCACAACTCCGAAGCTATAAACATCACATTTCTCTGTCACTGTCATTGTATAAGCAAACTCTGTCCATAAGAAAAACAAAATTAAAATCTTGGTGTGAATGAGTGGCAAAGAAGATGTATGTTAAGAAGAGATTTTCTTACCCGGGGCAATGTATCCATAGGTACCAGCAAGCACAGTGTTGTTGGACGAATCAGGATCAAGAAGTCTAGCCACTCCAAAATCAGCAACAAAAGACTTCAACTCTGAGTTCAACAGAACATTGCTGCTCGATATGTCTCGATGAACGATTGGTGGATTGCAATCATGATGCAAATAAGATATGGCATGAGCAATGTCTTTGATGATGTTCACTCTTTTCATCCAATTCAATTCCACAGCTTCAGCATCATTTCTCAAGTCACAAAACAAGCTTCCCCTCTCCATGTACTCATAAACGAGAAACATGCATCGTTGGTGCAAACAGAATCCATAAAGCTTGATAATACTCCTGTGTCGTATTTGTGTGAGCAGTTTCACCTCATTCTTGAAACTCTTGTCAGAAGTTGGCTCCTCTGCCTCTTGATGATGAAGTTTCTTCAAGGCAACTACTCTTTCACTCGGAAGTTGTGCCTTGTAGACACTCCCATAACCACCGGATCCGACACGATATTTGAGGTCAAAGTCCTCCGTCGCTGTAATGATGTCTTGGCATGCAATCTTCCCATCATAATTCCATATGGAGAATATGTCTCCATTCGTCAGTGATGTTGCCTTAACTTGGGTAGCCTTAACCTTACATCGAGATAGAGAATAACATCCGAAGATAAAGAGACAAATTGAAATGGTGATGGGAAGATATATTTTGATGGAATGAATATGTCTCTTGGTTTTTAAAGGTGAGCAGTTTGAGAAATCAGGGTGTAAATTTTTGTTGCCCTCGAATGAAGTAGCTTGAAAAATTTCAGGATTGTTGACTCTTTGCTCATGACGAGAATCGCAGGTTAAATGAGTATCAAAGGGGGTGGCAAATAGAAGGGAACAAATCCTGATAGATTATTGTAACTAAAATTCACAGAAAGTAAAGAAGTCAATTTATATAGTTGGGAAGGTATCCCTTCGCTTAAATTATTGTAGCTCAAAACCAAAAAGTTTAAATTATAACAATTCTTCAAAGATGAAGGGATGGATCCATTGATTTGGTTGCGAGAAAGATCTAAAGCTATCAACTTGTTTAAATTACCCAGAGTAGTGGGAATTGAGCCACTGATATTGTTTAAACTGAGATCTAACGTAACCAAATTTGCCAAGTTTCCTATTTCCACAGGGATAGATTCATTGATTTGGTTGGCAGAAAGATCAAGATATCTCAAGTTTATTAATTTACCTAAGGCAAAAGGAATCAAACCAGTGATGCAGTTGGAATTGAGATATAATCTAATTAGTATCTTAAAATTCTCAATTTCTGAAGGGATCAAACCAGTGATCTTGTTGTTACTAAAAAAGAGTTCAGATAAATTTTTCAAATTTTTTATTTCTGAGGGGATCAAACCAGTGATTTTGTTGTTATTGAGAGACAATTTAGACAGATTCTTTAAATTTCCTATGTCTGAAGGGATGGATCCATTGATTTGGTTGTTAGAAAGATCTAAAAAATTCAAACCGGATAAAAAACCAAGCGTAGAAGGAATTGAATCAAGTATGTTATTGAAACCAAGATTTAAATCATTTATATTCGTCAAATTTCCTATTTCTGAAGGAATGGATCCATTGATTTGATTGTTAGAAAGATCTAGAAAATTCAAACTGGATAAAAGACCAAGGGTAGAAGGAATTGAACCAACTAGATTATTAAAACAAAGATTTAAATCTTTTAGATTCGTCAAATGCCCTATCTCTGAAGGAATGGATCCATTGATGTGGTTCTCTTGAAGGTTCAAAGACCTCAACTTGGTTAAACTACCCAAAGTTTGAGGGATTGGACCGTTAAGGTCATTATAACGGAGGTCGAAGATCTCTAGATTTTTAAGATTGCCTAGTTCTGACGGGATGGAATTGAAGAAATGATTGAAAGAAAAAACGAGCTCAACTAATTGGCTGAGGTTTCCAAGCGAAGAAGGTAACTCACCTGTTAGATGATTTGAAGACAGGTCGAGGTACCTGAGTTTTGGAAGGGTAGAAATTTTAGGAGGGATGGTCCCATTGAGCTGATGTTCGGCGAGGTCGAGACGGACAAGGTTTGAGAAGCAAGAAAAGTTCATCTTTCCGAACTTATCTCTAACCTTGAGAGACTCTGAAGGTGGAGAAATCTCAACGACGCTTCCAGCTTGATTACAAACTATACCAGGCCACGTGCATCGATTCAAATTAGTGAGGTCGTCATAGCTGCTCCACCATCCACTCTCAAGCAAAGCCTTGCCTTCTGATGCAAGTAAGGCTGAGTCAAGGGCGGCAACAAGACCAGTACAAGCAACAACAATGCTGGACACTAAAACTAAAAATAAGATGGTTGCATTTGCAAGAAGTTTCGGGTAATGACAGATGGACGCCATGTTTATCTTTAATGCTTGCCTTCAATGATAATGCTAGATTTATAAATGGAGTGCATGGCATTCTCATAGGCTGGTTCCAAGTCAAGTTCGTCTGGCCTTTCTTGTGTAATTTCGTACTGTCTTTCCAAGCCAAAGCTGATGCATGGGTCCATATTCTATCCATTCCAATGCTTAAAGGAAGTTTCAGGTTGTCTTTTTTTCCACAGAGATAAAAAAGTTGACCGATAGGGGCATTTGGAAATTAAGAAGCCAATCAGCTATATATGCTCCTTCATTTCATGGAAAGAGACCGAGTAGAAATAATAGTGCTAATACGTACAGCTATTCAGATTTGATTCGATTGCTTCCATCTTCCAAGAACATGAAAAAAGGGTAATGGAACGATGCTTGATTTGAATTGGTGAATTTTCTTTGTAATTCAGCCGAGATTGTTAGTATTGGGAGACTTGGAAAATTATGGTCTTCAACTTGCACCCACGCCACGCATGGGTTAATGACATGATAAAATGGTCCAAAGCATTTCATGGTCTCATCAGAACTAATGGCCCTTCCTCCTCAAGTAGAGAGTTAATATGTTTATAAAAATAAAATAAAATAAATGATATATTGGAGAGACTCAATCATTTATATAAAAAAGATCAGAGATTTATCATATTAAGCTAAAATATATTTTTTCATAAATAAATAAAAAGAAATTATAGACAGATCATTTTACAGTTTTAAATGTTTTAATTGAAAAAATTGACTAGAATAATAGATGAAAATTTGCTTAAATAATATGAAAATAATTAACTAATTTTAAGATATAAAGACAAAATAAAAATTCAACCCTATTATATAAGAACAAACCAAACCTCAGCCCAACTTCTCTCTTGGGCTGTCTGTATGAAATATACTCAAAACGCAGCACGGGGTCGAAAGGCCTAACACTTGAAAAAACGGGAGCAGCAGTGGTTCACCACCATAAGCAAAATAAAGAGAAAGATAAGAGGTGCCTGATGTTGTGTGATCTTGCAGACAAATTTTGGGGCTGGGCTTTGCCTTTAGAAAAAGATGACAAACCAAGTCTGGGGATTGCCTTTCTTTTCCTGGCTTGCCAGATAACATCAGGACAGTTGCTCATGCGCCAAGCCTTTTCTTATTCAAAGTTATCACCTTTGAATAAGGATGGTCAATATGTAAAGATTTTCACCTTCAAAATTTGATTTCAGTCTTTTATTAATCAGATGCTGATACGAAGAAATCATGTGGACATAATCGGATGCTCTGACACACTTTTGTTGTTATTAAAATGACTCAAATACTGAAAATAATCTTTAGGGATCTGTTATAATGTTCTGAATGAAATGAACTGTGTTTGCAATTGTATATATATATATATGTTATTTGTTTCGTGTTGTCATAGGCGTCTTATTGAGATACACACAAATGCGGGAGGACAGCTCAATTCACATCCCTTGAAGTTCAGAACATGAAGCATAAATATTGAAATCATCTTCTCTGGCATACAATATACAAGAACTTGTCAACAACCAATTAAGTTAACAGATTTCTTCCTCAAATATAAATTGCAGTTGATTACAGAACTAGAAATTTGTCAGCGGAAATGTTTTGAGATGAGAAACAACAAGTTTTATTATGCAAAAAGGAAACAGATTCTGTTTTCAGAACTTTAGCATCTGAAGCTTCAGATCAACATAAATAAATAAGGAAAAGGAAAGAAAAAACATCTAAACAAAATGGTTCAATACTTGAGTATCAAACATGCTATTTGAGGCTATCTTTGAAGTTCTGTATGAGGGAAGTTGACGTTCTCAACGAGGGATATCTCACCATCTGTGCCACGATTTTGCAGCTCCAGCAAAGAAATTTCAAGACCTACCAATGATCTTTTGGGATTGAGAAATTCTTGAGACACGAATTTCATGGAAGGTCGAGAGTTTGGCTTCGAATGTAAGCAAGAAAATGCCAGAGTTGCAATAATACAGATGTTTTGTCTGATAATTTCATTTGTTGGAGGTGACAAACGAGGATCTAACACTTCTTTCAATTGAATGGCTTGAGCAGATGATAATAGGATATCTCCTGGATGTCTTCCCATCAATGTTTCTAGTGCCACAACTCCGAAGCTATAAACATCACATTTCTCTGTCACCGTCATTGTATAAGCAAATTCTGTCCATAAGCAAAACGAAATTAAAATCTTGGTGTGAATGAGTGGTAAAGAAGATGTATGTTAAGAAGAGATTTTCTTACCTGGGGCAATGTATCCATAGGTACCAACAAGTACAGTGTTGTTGGACGAATCAGGATCAAGAAGTCTAGCCACTCCAAAATCAGCAACGAAGGACTTCAACTCTGAGTTCAACAGAACATTGCTGCTCGATATGTCTCGATGAACGATTGGTGGATTACAATCATGATGCAAGTAAGATAAGGCATGAGCAATGTCTTTGATGATGCTCACTCTTTTCATCCAACTCAATTCCACAGCTTCAGCATCATTTCTCAAGGCACAAAACAAGCTTCCCCTTTCCATGTACTCGTAAACAAGAAACATGCATCGTTGGTGCAAACAGAATCCATAAAGCTTTACAATACTCATGTGCCGTATTTGTGTGAGCAGTTTCACCTCATTCTTGAAACTCTTGTCAAAAGCTGGCTGCTCTGCCTCTCGATGATGAAGTTTCTTCAAGGCAACTACTTTTTCACTTGGAAGTTGTGCCTTGTAGACACTCCCATAACCGCCGGACCCGATACAATATTTGAGGTCAAAGTCCTCCGTCGCTGCAATGATGTCTTCGTATGCAATCTTCCCATCATAATTCCATATGGAGAACAAGTCTCCATTCTTCAGTGATGTTGCCTTAACTTGGGTAGTCTTAACCTTACATCGATACAGAGAATAACACCCAAGAAACAAAAGACAAATTGACATAGTGATGGGAAGATATATTTTGATGGAATGAATATGTCTCTTGGTTTTTGTTTTGATGGAATGACTATCTCTCTTGGTTTTTAAAGGTGAGCAGTTTGAGAAATTAGGGTATAAATTTTTGTTTCCCTCAAATGAAGTAGCTTGAAAAATTTCAAGACTATTGACCCTTTGCTCATGAAGAGAATCACAGGTTAAATGAGTGTCAAAGGGTGGTGGCAAATCAAAAGGAACAGATCCTGATAGATTATTGTAACTAAAATTCACAGAAAGTAAAAAGGCCAGTTTATATAGTTCTGAAGGGATGGATCCATTGATTTGGTTGTAAGAAAGGTTTAGATATCTCAAATTGGTTAAAGTACCTAGCATTGTAGGAATCGACCCACTGATATTGTTGCTAGAGAGGTCAAGATTTCTCAACTCTCTTAAATTACCAAAGGCAGAAGGAATCGAACTAGTGATGTAGTTGAAATTGAGATATAGCATATACAGATTCTTCAAATTCCTTATTTCTGAAGGGATTGAACCAGTGATCTTGTTGTTATTGAGATCCAAAAACATCAAATTCTTCAAAACTCCTAATTCTGAAGGAATTAAACCAACTAGATTATTAGAACCAAGATCTAAAGATTCTAAATTAGTCAAATTCTCTATTTCTGAAGGAATTAAACCAACTAGAATATTAAAACTAAGATATAAAGTGCTTAGATTATTCAAATTTCCTATTTCTGAAGGGATGGATCCATTGAATTGGTTGGAAGAAAGATCTAGACTATTCAAATTAGTTAAAAGACCAAGCGTAGAAGGAATCAAACCAATTAGATTATTAGAGTAAAGATATAAAACTTCTAAACGTGTTAAATTCCCTATTTCTGAAGGGATGGATCCACTGATTTGATTGTAAGAAAGATCTAAAAATTCTAGATTAGTCAAATTCCCTAATTCTGAAGGAATTAAACTAACTATATTATTAAAAAAAAGATTTAAAGAGTCTAGATTAGTCAGATTTCCTATTTCTGAAGGGATGGATTCGTTTAATTGGTTGTTAGAAAGATCTAGAAAATTCAAATTGGTTAAAAGACTAAGCATAGAAGGAATCGAACCAATTAGATTATTAGAATCAAGATCTAAATATTCTAAATGAGTTAAATTCCCTATTTCTAAAGAGATGGATCCACTAATTCGATTGTGAGAAAGATCTAGAAAAATCAAATTGGATAAAAGACTAAAGGTAGAAGGAATTGAACCAACTAGATCATTAACACCAATATCTAAATTTTCTAGATTTGTCAAACTTCCTAATTCTAAAGGGATGGATCCGTTGATTTGGTTGAAATGAAGGTTTAAATACCTCAACTTGGCTAAACTACCCAAAGTTTGAGAGATTGGACCGTTAAGCTTATTATGACTCATGTCCAAAATCTCTAGATTTTTAAGGTTGCCTAGTTTTGGAGGGATGGAATTGAAGAAATTATTGACAGAAACATCAAGCTCAACCAATCGGCTGAGGTTTCCAAGTGAAGAAGGCAACTCACCCGTTAGACAATTTTTGGACAGGTTGAGGTACCTGAGTTTTGGAAGGGTAGAAATTTGAGGAGGGATGGTCCCATTGAGCTCATGGTTGGCCAGGTCGAGACGGACAAGGTTAGAGAAGCAAGAAAAGTTCATCTTTCCGAACTTATCTCTAACCTTGTGGAACTCTGAAGATGGAGAAATCTCAATGACGCTTCCAGCGTGATTACAAACTATACCAGGCCACGTGCAACGATGTGAAATAGTGAGGTTGTCATAGCTACTCCACCATCCACTATCAAGTAAAGCCTTGCCTTCTGATGCAAGTAAGGCCGAGTCAAGGGCGGCAACAAGACCAGTACAAGAAACAACAATGCTGGACACTAAAACTAAAAATAAGATGGTTGCATTTGCAAGAAGTTTCGGGTCATAACAGATGGAAGCCATGTTTGTGTTTAATGCTTGCCTTCGATGATAACGCTAGATTTATAATAAATGGAGTGCATGGCATTCTCATAGGCTAGTTCCAAGTCAAGTTCGTCTGGTCTTTCTTGTGTAGTTTCGTACTGTCTTTCCAAGCCAAAGCTGATGCATGGGTCCATATTCTATCCAGTCCAATGCTTAAAGGAAGTTTCAGGTTGTCATTTTTTCCACAAAGAAAAGAAGAGGTTGACCAATAGGGGCATTTGGAAATTAAGAAGCCAATCAGTTATCTATGCTACTTCATTTCCTGGAAAGAGACGGAGTAGAAATAATAATGCCAATACATACAGCTATTCAGATTTGATTCGATGGCTTCCGTCTTCCAAAAACGTGAAAAATTGGGAACAAAAGGGTAATGAAACGATGTTCGATTTGAATTGGTGAATTTTCTTTGTAATTAAGCCAAGATTGTGAGTATTGGGAGACTTGAAAAATTATGGTCTTCAACTTGCACCGACGCCACGCATGGGTTAATGACATGATAAAATGTCCAAAGCATTTCATGGTCTCATCAGAACTAATGGCCCTTCCTCAATTAGAGAGTTAATAGATTAAAAAAAAAAAAAACTAAATAATATATTGGAGAGACTCAATCCACTATAAAAAGACAGATTAGAGACTTAACATGTTAAGCTAAAGCGAGATAATTTCACAAATAAATAAAAAGAGATTATATATAGATCATGTGATGTTTTCAAAGGATTTAATTAAAAAAATCGACTAGAATGATAGATTAAAAATTTACTTAAATAATATGAAAGTAATTAACTAATTTTAAGATATAAAGACAAAATAAAAATTCAACCCATTATATAAAAACAAATGAAATCATTTCCTCTATTTTATTTTTTATTTTTTGTTGTTAAAAATCTAAAGTATTTTTTATAAACTTTAATTACAACCGTGATCTTTTTTGTAAGACATAAGAGTGAAACACCAATCTATTGGCTTCATGATTAGTTTTTTTTATTTTTTCCAGGTTGTATTTAAAAAGCTCTTCTTCTTCGTCTTCTTTCCCTTACAATTGAATTCCTCGACATCATCCACAACCACGATCTGTGATAGATCCACCAACCACCTGATGGTAGATTCTCGCGAAACTTATTCAAAATTTCCCTCAACTATTGGATTGGTATTGATTTCCACCCATACACGTTTTTTTTCCTTATCAATTATGTCCTTAAACAATTTTGATTTTTCAATTGGATAGTGTTTGGAGGTCTCTTAAAAACTGATCAAAATATTGATCGGCAATTCAATGTGAATACAAAGAACTAGTATTGTATCTTATAAAAATAATGATCAAACAGCCAAACAAAAAAAACATAAGTAGTGAGAGACGTAGAATGAGTAGATATGGTTAATAAGGTGCAAGTCAAGTTATTGGCAAGTCGATGATGAAAGTTCTAACAAATAGAGCTTTACGTGCATACTGTCTAGTGTGTGAGTGAGAGAGTTATGAGAGATGGAGAGTTTAAAGATTTTTGCTACAGATTAAAAGTTAGAATCGTCTTACAATGATATAAAGTTGGCATTTATAGTGAAACGAGAGCAAACAAATTGATCACTATGATTGTGTTGCTTTATCTATGTTTGGATGATCATATTTGAAATAGAGAAAATAATTTTTTTAAGCTAAACTACTTCAATTTGCTAGCAAATATTTAAAAAAAAAAAAATTGAGCCTTTGGATCCTACTTTTAGCCCACCAAGCTAATCTTTCAAATGCATCTTAATGTCAAAGCATAGATACTAACTTTGTTAGAATATTTAAGTCCATTATTGTAGTCCAAGGCATTTTGCTGAGCAAAGTCTATCATCGAGTCCAATCTATTTATTTTAAAGATTAAATCCATGTCAAATATATATATATATTAGCACCTAATAAAAATTAGCTCAATTAATTAATTTTAGAAAAAAATTGAGCATACACGGATATTTATGGTTAAAATTTCTTAACAAAAACATTAATTTCTTTGCTAACAACATCATCATTTTACCCAAAAAAAAAAAAAAAAAAAGTAAAAATAAAGAGTACAATTTAGATGAAATCCGTGATCATTTATGAATAAAAAAATAATAATTAAAATTTTTTAAAAGGGACTAGATAATTCAATTGCTTCCTTCAAATCCTCTTGCAATTAATTCGTTGATTTGATTCTCAGCTACTCGGTATTGCGACATGGTGTAGGTCCTTAGCTTCATAAAGGGAGTAGATAATTCAATTGCTTCCAAGAAGATGGGGGGAAAACAAAGAAAGATTGGAATCGGTTCTGAACTTTCTCCGTAACTGAGTCAAGATTGTCAGCATTGAGAAGTTAGAAAATTTAGGCCTTGAAGTTACACCCACGCATGGGTTAATGACCTTGGAAAAACATCTAACACGCCTATGGTAACGAAAAGAAGGCTCATTTATGTGAAAAACAGCGAATGTTAGCCCAGAATAATCACAACGGCAAACATCCCAGACAAGAGACTTGTGATTTGTTTCGGTTCTCACTCACCTTTTCAATTGATTGGAGAAAGGAACTGGATTTTCGGACAAGTAGATTGCAAATTAACTTATCAGGTTAACAACTATGATGATGCTGGCCATTTTGCTACCTGTAGCTTGGCCTTCCAGTACAGATTCTATCACCAAATTCAGATTGTATGATAAGATCCTTTACATTTCTCAGTTTTCGACAATATTAACTCTATCATCTCCAGCTTTCAGTGAAGTTACAAGAATCGCTGCTTTTAGCTGTCCATTTCCTGCAGAAGATAGTTTGCACACAGTAACAAACATATATATTATTAAACTGGATAGAAATAGATTCATATTTGATTTATTTATTAAATGAGCTAACGGATTCAAATTATAACTAAACTCAGATGATAAAAACTTTATATTAGATTTATTTAATTACATTGAAATAAGATCCGATCTATTGACAATATATATATTTTTAAGTAAATAAGGTTTGTTTGTCATTAACAATCAACTTTTGGACTAAGATCATGCTATTTCTAGCGAATCCGCTTTACATATTATTAATGTACATTTACTAAAACTACACAGGTTTTTAATGTAGCTAAGCTCTTTTTTTCTTTTAGTAATTTTTTTGTTTTAGTCCTATTTTGCGATTTTATTTATTTATTTATTTATTTTTTTGGCCATTGAAGTTTTAATATATTTGAGTTTTGTCTCTATAAAGAACTTTTTTGTTTTTTTGCTTTTAGGAAATTTTTGTTTTTATTTTGATATTTGTTTTGTGACCTTTTAATTGTTTTGGCTATTAAAATTTTAATATTTTTTTATCCTTACTATACTAAAACTAAATATAGTTTCATATCCTAATTATTTTTTTTAGTGAAAATTCTTTCTATTTTAGTTTAGTTTTTTTTTTTTTTGTTAAAGTTTAATCATGTTTGGTTTTTTGTTCATGCCTTATGCATAATGGATTTTTTTAGCCTTATTGTTCCGAAGCTATTTTTGACTTTTCATAAAAGTTTGTTTTTTTTTTTTTTTATTATTATTAGCCCTTATTTTGATCATTTAAGCTTTATTGTATGTCTAAATGCAATGGCATGCATTGCCTACTTCCATATTGGTTTTCATTCCTTTTACAGGTACCTTAAATCTTATGCATTTCCAAGTTTCTAACTACTTCATCAACAATCAGCAAGTACAATCTGGGGAGAAGGATTGTCCTCGTGGTGACCAGTGAGCTATGTCATCACCATGGAGCAAACTACCTGTTTCGAATCTCATGAATTAGGAAAGCAAAAGAAGAAGAAAAGGAAGAAACAAATCAGGTGCCGCTGTTGCATCAAGCCAGTGATTTACCAAAAGATCGGTAGACAATTTTCCTCGCCTTTTCGCTAGGTTATAGAGGTTAGTCCTTCTGCTTGTATTGGAGGAAATTGTCGACTATGGAATCAGAGATGATAATATCACTCAACCTCTATTTTAAAGGAGGTACTGCAATAGCTCAAGGGCATGCACTAGAGTTCTTTTGAACCACCAGAGTCGGACTACATGCCAGTTTGTGCGACCCTTTCTGATGAGCTTAACCGGTAACATTACAGGCATAGCTCTCCCCTTCTCAAGTCCCACTATTTCTACGTTGGGAATCTGTTTCCGAATGCGTTCCCAAATCCAAGTTCTGGCGAAAGGCGAGACAGAAATTCAAGGCACCGTACAATTTTCTTTTTTGGAAACAAAAACATTCCTGAACAGAAAAATTAGTTCAGAATTTGTTTTTATGTATTTAGCAAATGAGATAATAATATTTGTAGAAGTGTTCATTTTGTACAGAATGTAACTGTAGTGAAATTGCCGGTTCATTTCTGGTACAAGAAATATTAAATCTTGTCGACAACGACAAAAATCTCTTCTGCTACAGGTTTTTATCACTACGGAGTTCAGATACGCATTATTGGAGGGAGGGCAGCTCAATTCTCATCCTTTGAAGTAAAAGTTTGGTTCAAAACATGAAACATAAATCTTAAACTGATCTTCTCTGGGAAGTTGGATTGAAAGTTCCACCTTTGGTTTGATAAAAGATAAGGTACATCATTCAGAAAAATTTGAGCAAACATGTTACTCCCAGGAGTGAAGACAGAGAGTAGATCTAAACACTGCTTTCAGGCATTCAATATTCAAGATCTTCTCAGCAACCGATTAAGTTAACAGATTTCTTCCTCAAATGTAAACTGCAGTGCATTACAGAAACAGAAATTTTTTGGGATGAGAAATTGTGAAAAACCACCCATGCTTGGTGGATATTCTCAACTAAACACAAAAGATACAAGGGCTAGGTAGCAAGAGTTTACCATTCTGACATGGTTTGATTATGCAAAACAAGTTTCAGAAGGAAACAGATGCTGTTTTCAGAACTTTAGTATCAGAAGCTTCATATCACCACAACTTAAACAAAAAAGGCAATAGAGAATTATCATCGAGCAATCTAACTTCAGTGTCTTCCATTTTGAAGTTTTCACCCTGTTTCCGAATATCGAACAAACAAAAGTCTCCTTTTGAAGTTCAGTATGAGGTCAAAGTTGACTTTTTCAACAAGGGACTGTGATCTCACCATTTATGTGCATGCCACGATTTTGCAGCTCCAGCAAAGAAATCTCAAGACCTACCAATGATCTCTTGGGATTGAGAAATTCTTGAGACACGAATTTCATTGAAGGTCGAGATTCTGGCTTCGAATGTAAGCAAGAAAATGCTAGAGTAGCAATAATACATATGTTTTGTCTGATAATTTCATTTGTTGGAGGTGACAAACGAGGATCTAACACTTCTTTCAATTGAATGGCCTGAGCAGATGATGATAGGATGTCTCCTGGATGTCTTCCCATCAATGTTTCTAGTGCCACAACTCCGAAACTATAGGCATCACATTTCTCTGTCACCGTCATTGTATAAGCAAACTCTGTCCATAAGCAAAACAAAATTAAAATCTTGGTGTGAATGAGTGGCAAAGAAGATGTATGTTAAGAAGAGATTTTCTTACCCGGGGCAATGTATCCATAGGTACCAGCAAGTACAGTGTTGTTGGACGAATCAGGATCAAGAAGTCTAGCCACTCCAAAATCAGCAACAAAAGACTTCAACTCTGAGTTCAACAGAACATTGCTGCTCGATATGTCTCGATGAACGATTGGTGGATTGCAATCATGATGCAAATAAGATACGGCATGAGCAATGTCTTTGATGATGTTCACTCTTTTCATCCAATTCAATTCCACAGCTTCAGCATCATTTCTCAAGGCACAAAACAAGCTTCCCCTCTCCATGTACTCATAAACGAGAAACATGCATCGTTGGTGCAAACAGAATCCATAAAGCTTGACAATACTCCTGTGCCGTATTTGTGTGAGCAGTTTCACCTCATTCTTGAAACTCTTGCTAGAAGCTGGCTCCTCTGCCTCTCGATGATGAAGTTTCTTCAAGGCAACTACTTTTTCCCTTGGAAGTTGTGCCTTGTAGACACTCCCATAACCACCGGATCCGATACAATATTTGAGGTCAAAGTCCTCCGTCGCTGCAATGATATCTTCGTACGCAATCTTGCCATCATAATTCCATATGGAGAATAAGTCTCCATTCTTCAATGGTGTTGACTTAACTTGGGTAACCTTAACCTTGCATCGAGATAGAGAAAAACATGCCAGAAGGAAGAGACAAATCGAAATGGTGATGGGAAGATATATTTTGATGGAACGAATATTTCTCCTGGTTCTTGAAGGTATCTCTTCGCTTAAATTACTGCAGCCCAATTTCAGGAAGTTTAAATTATTATTATTCTTCAAAGATGAAGGGATGGATCCATTGATTTGGTTACAAGAAAGGTCTAGATATCTCAAATTGGTTAAACTACCCAATATTGTAGGAATCGAACCACTAATCTTGTTTAAACTGAGATCTAATGAAACCAAATTTGCCAAGTTCCCTATTTCCACAGGGATAGATCCATCGATTTGGTTGCGAGAAAGGTCTATATCTTTCAAATAGCTTAAACTACCCAATGTAGTAGGAATTGAACCACTGATTCTGTTTGAACATAGATCTAACACAATCAAATTTGTTAAGTTCATTATTTCCAAAGGAATGGATCCGTTGATTTGGTTTCTAGAGAGGCCAAAAAATCTCAAGTTTCTTAAATTACCTAAGGCAAAAGGAATTGAACCAGTGATGTAGTTGGAATTGAGATATAGACTATCTAGGTTCTTCAAATTTCCTATTTCCGAAGGGATTGGACCAGTGATCCTATTGTAACTAAGATACAGTATATACAGATTCGTCAAATGTTCTATTTTTGAAGGTATCGAATCAATGATGTTATTGGAATAGAGATACAGGCCATGCAAGTTCTTCAAATTCCATATTGCTAAAGGGATCGAACCAGTAATCTTGTTGCTATTGAGATACAGTTCAGATAGATTCTTCAAATTCCCTATCTCTGAAGGGATGGATCCATTGATTTGGTTGTTAGAAAGATCTAGAAAATTCAAATTGGATAAATGACCAAGTGTAGAAGGAATTGAGCCAACTAAGTTATTAAAACCAAGATCTAAATTTTCTAGATTCGTCAAGTTTCCTATTTCTGAAGGAATGGACCCATTGATTCGGTTGATAGAAAAATTTAGAAACCTCAAATTTGATAAACGACCCAACATAGGACGAATTGAACCAACTAGTTTATTAGAACCAAGATCCAAATTTTCTAGATTTGTCAAACTTCCTATTTCTGAAGGGATGGGTCCATTGATTTGGTTGCGATGAAGGTTCAAAGACCTCAACTTGGCTAAACTACCCAATGTTTGAGAGATTGGACCATTAAGCTTATTATAACTCACGTCCAAAATCTCTAGATTTTTAAGGTTGCCTAGTTCTGGAGGGATGGAAGTGAAGAAATGATTGAAAGAAAAATCAAGCTCAACTAATCGGCTGAGGTTTCCAAGTGAAGTAGGTAACTCGCCAGTCAGATTATTTGAGGACAGGTTGAGGTACCTGAGTTTTGGAAGGCTATAGATTTGAGATGGGATGGTCCCATTGAGCTCATGGTTGGCCAGTTCGAGCCGGACAAGGTTTGAGAAGCAAGAAAAGTTCATCTCCCCAAACTTATTTCTCACCTTGAGGAACTCTGAAGGTGGAGAAATCTCAATAACGCTTCCAGCATGATTACAAAATATACCAGGCCACCTGCAACGACGTGAAGTGAAGTTGTCATAGCCATTCCACCATCCACTCTCAAGCAAAGCCTTGCCTTCTGATGCAAGTAAGGCTGAGTCAAGGGCAGCCACAAGACCAGTACAAGAAACAACAACGTAGGACACTAAATATAAAAATAAGATGCTTATAGTTGCTATAAGTTTTGGGTCATAGTAGATGGACGCCATGTTTGTGCTTATTGCTTGCCTTCAATGATAATGCTAGATTTATTAATGGATGAAGTGCATAGCATTCTCATAGGCTAATTCCAAGTCAAGTTCGTCTGGTCTTTCTTGCGTGCTTTTCTTACTTTCTTTCCAAACCAAAGCTGACGCATGGGTCCATAGTCTATCCACTCCAATGCCTGAGGCCAAAGCTTCAGATTGTGTGGCTCTTTTTTTCCAACAAAGAAAAAAAGGTTCCCCAACCAGTTTATCTATCCTCATTCATTTCATCGAAAGAGACCCAGTAGAAATAATATAGCTATTCAGATCCTCTTGCAATTGATGTGTGGGTTTGATTCTTAGTCCTTCCTTATTCTTCAAATAAAGTTATTTGAGCGTTAGGATCAATATTGACAATTGCTGGAATCAATGGAATCTCAGAAAAAAAACAATAAGAGAAGAGTAAGAGTCAAACTATTGAAGCCTCTAGCTATTTCGGTTCTGTTAAATAACATAATGATCGTTATCTAAAATTGCATTCAAATCCTCTTGCAATTAATTCGTGGATTTGATTCTTAGCTAATCCGAATTGCGACATGGTGGAGGCCCCTTAGTTTCATAAAGGGAGTAGATAATTCAATTGCTTCCGAGAAGATGGGGACAAAAACAAAGAAAGAAAGTTGAAGGAACCGTGTTTGATTGGAACCGGCACTGAACTTTCTCTGTAACTAAGTCAAGATTGTCAGCATTGAGAAGCTAGAAAATTTAGGCCTTGAACTTGCACCCAAACATGGGTTAATGACCTAGGAAAAATATCCAACACGCCTATGGTAATCAAAAGAAGGCTCATTTATGTGAAAAAAACAGTTAAACGTTAGCCCAGAATAATTACAATGGCAAACATCCCAGACAAGAGACTTCTGATTTGTTTCGGTTCTCACTCACCTTTCTAATTGATTGGAGAAAGGAACTGGATTTTCGGACAAGTTGATTGCAAATTAACTCATCAGGTTAACAACTATGATGATGCTGGCCTCCCAGTACAGATTCTATCAACAATTTCAGATTGTATGATCAGATCCTTTACATTTCTCAGTTTTCAACGATATTAATTCTATCATCTCCAGCTTTTAGTGAAGTTACAGGAATTGCCGCTTTTCGCGGTCCATTTCCTGCAGAAGATAGTTTGCATACAGTAACACACACATATATTTTCGGATGGGATCGAAATAGATTAATATTTGATTTATTAATTAAATGAGTTAACGGATTCTAACTAGACTTAGATGATAAAAACTATATATTAGATTTATTTAATTACAATGAAATCGGATCCGATCAATTGACAATATATATATATATTTTTAAGCAAATAAGGTTTGTTTGTCATTAACGATCAACTTTTGGACTAAGATCATGCTCTTTCTAGCAACTTTTGATTTTTTTTCCCATCTATTTATGTTCTTTTTTTTATCTAACTGAGTGTTAAAATTTTAAAAAATCAATCATTATTTTTTTTCAAATAAACTAATGATTATATAATATATACAATATATTTTTAGATTTTAGAATAAATATATACTATTTTTATTGTTGAAAATTGATCTTTTCAATTTATTATAAAAATTGACATCAATTTAATTTTTATTCTTATTTTTATATTAAAAATTAACTATACATCTTCCGACATAATACAAATTATTTACTATGAATATTTTTTTAATATTATAGAACCAATTTATTTGAAATAAAATAATTGAAATAATTTTTTAAATGAACCAACCAATTATTCAAATACGTTTTTTATGCTAATTTTATTGATTATTTTATAAATAAATATATATAGATCAAATGTATATACTTGAAAAAAAATCTTCTCACCAACATTAAATAAGAATAAAATGTTATTTTTTCATTGGTTAATTTTTATGCAAGTCTATACATTAATTATAACTTTATTTTTTGGATACATTCTTATAAAAAAATATAATTTTAAAGTATTTTTTTAATTCTTAATTAATATTTCAAGTTTAAATTATTATATGTTTTTATTTAAAGAATCCTTGAATAAAAAAGAATAAATCATGTTTTTTAAGTAGAAATTTTATGAAAAACACACAAAAAAATAGTTATGATGAAATAAAAAATTAATAAAAAAATTATGAATTTTGAAATGATTTTGTTCTATCTACCTATAGCGTTGCGTGGATAATTTCAAAAACTAATCTTCTCATCGGCATTAAATAAGAATTTTTTTTTCATTTATTAATTTATGTAAAAGTTTGACTATTAATTAAAACTTTATTTTTTTTGGAATATAATATTATGAAAATTATATTTTTAAAGTTTTTTTAATTCTTGATTAATATTTTAGTTAAAATTATTATAATTTTTTATGTTAAAATCAATCCATAAAGAAGAATAATTTTTATTTTTTTAAGCAAAAAATTTATAAAAAAAAATTAGAAACAATTAATTAAATAAAAAATTTAAAATTTTTAAAATGATTTTGTTCTACGGGACTCACGGCGTAGGACAAGCAATCGGCTAGTACTTGTACTAAAACTATACAGAGTTTTTACTATAACTAAGCCCTTTTTTATTTTTGTTTTGGTCCCTATTTTATGATATTTTTATTTTGATCATTGAAGTTTTATTATGTTTGATTTTTGTTTCTATAAAGAACCTTTTTTTTTTTTTTTTTTGCTTTTAGGAAATTTTTAGTTTTATTTTGATCTTTGTTTTGTGATCTTTTCTTTATTTTGCCTATTAAAGTTTTAATATATTTTTTTATCCTTACTATACTAAAATTAAATACAATTTCACCATCTTAAGTTCTTTTTTTTTTAGTGAAATTTCTTTCTATTTTAGTTTTTTCTTTCTTTTGTTGTTAAAATTTTATCATATTTGGTTTTTGTTCATGCCTTATGCATAATGGATTTTTTAGCTTTGTTGTTCGTAAGCTATTTTTGTCTTTTAATAAAAGTTTTTTTTTCTATCTTAGTCCTTATTCTGTAATGTTTACTTTTTGTTTTTTAAGTTTTGTTGTATACAATTTTTGCCCTACCTTTTACCAAATAAATTTTGAAATATTTCAATTTCTTCTTGATTTAACAGTTTTTTCATCTTTTTATTTTGGATAATCTCTTTACGTCTCATTAACAAACTACAAATAAAAAAATGCATGATAAAAGCTAATCATTCAAGATTCAAAAAGCTGACACATCACTATTTTAATTATCAATTATCATCTATATTTCTAATAAAATACCTATTTGTATTAAGTAACATCTAATTAACAAATATTATATCCCTCAATTTTGAAGCTTTTTTTTTTTACTAACCTCGCAGCAACAAGCAAAATATATATTTTGATTCCTCTATTTTCTGAATTTTTTTCTAATGATTCCTTTAAATAAGAATATTTAACTTTATATTTTATATGAATAAATACATATGGCTAATCCTGCAGTAACTCACGAAATATATGTTAATGACCACTACAGTTTGATAGGTGGGAAAGTAAACTCCAGTGAAAAAACAATACAATCACCGCTGTCCCCGAGCAATATCAGAGAATACTTGAGAGAAGCAATCTAGTGCATACGCGCGTCAACAACTGCCCTTGATAGTTAGTTAATTAGAGGCACTGGTGGTTAGCAAGAAGCGGGAAAATCGATTATTACCACTCTCAGTAGCTTTTAGGATTCTGTCCGTAGTATAATGGTCACGTGATTCTAAAAGCCCTCTGTTTCCTCCTCTTCTATAAGGATTCTTCTTTTTCTTCCCATCTGTTTATCTGATTTTATTTCAGTTCTTATCCTACTTTGCCAATAACTTGACTCAGATATTTCTGATTCTTCTGCAAAAAAATATTTGCATATCTTCTGTTTAAATTGCCTACAAATTAATCGACATAGTATCGAAGGTAGAGTATTTCTAATACAAGAAAATCGAAAGCAAGTAAACCTGTGTCGGTGCATTCGCATCTTCTACCATCATTTGCATTGTAGGAGAGGGAATGCGCTCAGGCAAGACGAAAGTCCTAAGTTTGCCTTTCTCTTGAACCCAGAAGCTTCGGTTTAAAATGTGAGAACATAAATCTGGAATTGGTTTTCTTTGGGATGATGGATCGAATTTTCCATCCATGCTTTGATGGATGACAAGTTACATGATTTGGAAGATGGAGACTCCCGTGTCTCCATCTACATGCTGCTTCCGGGTTGTCCAACACAAAGACTCTTGTCAGCAACCACAAAGAGAGTTAACAGATATCTTCTGCAAAAACAATTTCAAAGATGACTTGCACTGCATAAAAGAAACAGCAACTAGTCAGCGGAAATATTTTATAATGCGAAATACTAGCAATTATGATGCTTATGGAGTAAGAGTTGAGCATCGATAAAAGTGGAAACACTATGAGCAAGTCGCCTCAGTAGATGTTCTTAACTAAATAAAAGGGCTAGGTAGCAGGACTTCTCGTTTTTAATGCAAAACCAATCATCAGATTAACGTGATTAATCTTTGCTAAAACTGTTTATCTGCCACTAAACCTAAAAGAATATGGATAATGATTGTACAGTTCTGAGATCCAACTGGCAATATCATCCTGGCCACTTATCAGCGTCTCAGTTTTTACCACAATGTTTGGCTTAATATTTCATGAATTGATTTCTCATATATATACTAATTCCTTTTGGTGGATACAGTTAGAATTATCAACAATTAGCTTTGAAAAAAAAGGCAGAAGCTAAAATTAATCATATTATATATACAGCGAGAGATGGAGAGAGAGGACAAAATTACATTAGACTAATGAAACTTAAGTACATACTTCATTATATGCTGCCTACCTTCCACTTTGGGGATATTAGGCTGATCAATCAAGAGTTGCTGCAGTGCACCGAGATCACTGGAACTGCAATAAGCCAATATTGTTTATAACCCTTGGAATGTGAAGTCATTGAATTACTTGCTGCATACACCCATGCATGCATGAACATACACACACACACACAAAGAACACAAACAAATGCTCAGAAAAAATGTTATAAATCTACCATATTATAGACTAGGAAGTAATGACCAATCTTACGTGAATCTGGAAGATGGGGAACAAGGACCAATCTTAGGGAAGGACATATCAGCAATTTCTTCTTGTCTGTTTGAGTTCTATAAAAGCTCAAAAGTGACAAAAATTTAACGCAAAGTATATTTTCCCACTGAGATTTCATAGCTATTCAGAATCGTAATTCATAGCAGAAGTTTCCCAAGAATTTAAGAGAAATCATTTTCAAGAAATGAATCTCAATGTACTTGAGTAAATGCAATTCATAACAGAAATTCCCTAAGAATTGAACAGAAATACAGTTCTCATTTTAAAGAAATGGAACTCAGCATACCTGGGTTTCAAAGTGAGTGCTGAAAGTGCTGAAACAATTGATGATTTAAGCAGGTATCTGCCAGAAAATTCGACAAAATATTCAGATTTCACCAATACCACTACTCCAAACACTGTAATACAACACATTGTTGGATGCTGATTAAATGATTGTCATAGCAAGATAAATCATGCTTACTGATTGTTATAACTGATCTATTATCAATACTTACAATAATCTAGGATTGAAACTTCAAATCAACCCAAAAACTGATCCTAATTATATTGCATTAACATTGATATAAAAGAGTTTTGTCATATAAATCGCCACTCGAACCCAAAATCTACTACTTGACCAAGTACTCACACAAGAATGAATGGCCAAAACAATTGTAAAGATTTTAGACAAAATCAAAGTTTGTCACATACTCAGCTTGATGCATATCATGAAGAATGATAAGCCCATCTAAACAATCAGCAAGACATGGTTTAATCCCTATTCGTTGCCGCAATTGTTTCGCATTCAGCTGATTAGAACCTCCACCACCTTTAACTAACTGTCTACCATCACGATTCATCCTCTCGATACCCAAAACCAAACCGCGAAACTCCTCACTGACAAATATAAATAAATAAATTCACCCCAATAACTCAAATTTCTACCAACAAGAAAACCGAAGAAATTGAAAAGAAAAAAAAAAAAAAAGAAGAGAAAAGGAAAGAAAAATACAGTGTCTTATTCATGGAAAGCAAAAGGGTCTGCAAAGACTCCATCTGCTTTCTCACCACTGCATCTACAATGCCATCCACACTCTTCAAATTCCCATAATTGTTACCATCTTGAATCACCTAATCACCATAATTAAAACCAGTTAATTCCAAATTTCTAATCCAATTCTAACAATAATAAACAAACTAATTATTATAATAATAAAAATAATAATTACCTTTAACCTCTCAATAATAACAGAAGCGTTACGAAATTTCTCAATTAATCGAGATTGAAGCTCCTCCCATTCATCCATTATTTCTCTTACTTTTCTAAATCTTTGCTGGTATTTCTTCACCAATCCCTCCATTGCTAAAACCCCAGGAAGACGACGAGGGCGGCGTTTTAAACCAGAGTAAATTATAAATTACTCCCTTTTTTTACAAAAGTATCTATTTGTCCCTCATTTTCAAAAAATTAATTATTTAGACTCTAATTTGTAAATTTGTTTGTAAGTTAATCCTTTTTCTTCTTTTTCAATTTATTTTTATTTTTATTTTTTAATATATATATATATATATATGAGAAAGAAATAATGAGAAAATTTTGATCATTTTTAAATAAAATAATGTTAAATTAAGAGTGATTAACACTATTAAGGAACTAAATAATTAATGTTTTTTAAAAAGAAGCTAATTAATTTATTTTTTGAAATATAGGAATTATTTTGTAATTTACTAGAATAACCTTTCAAACAACGCCGGCATTTAGGTTTATGTTTATGAATATCACAATATATCCCCTGAACTTTTTAAAATTGCAATAACTTCCACAAAATTTAGATAGCATTTTAGCTTTGGCGCGATCTAGAATCCAATCATAAAGAATTAGAACAGTCAGAAACTGAGCAAGCTCCTTCCAATGGAAGAACAAGAAGAAGCGACGGGCGTTGAAATTGATGAACGACGAGTCGTAGGAGATGAAGATGTTTTGCGATTTATGGATTCCGCAGATGGCTACTTGACTCTGTTAGATTCCTTATCTTCTACTCTTCGCCAGGTAAACTGGATTTTTTTTTTTTTGTAATATATTTATCATTAATCCAGAGTTTTTTTTTTTTTTTTGGATGGTGATTAAATTTCTGCCAAATTTGGATAATTGGTGTGCTGTAAAAAATAAGTAATTATTGATGATCTTGAATGGTTGTATTTCTGATTAGATATGCAATTTCTGTATTAAAAAAAAAATTAAAAAAAAAATTGAGAAATGAAATTATGCTGGTTTAAGGGATGGCTGGATTTAGCGATTGCTCGGCATTCGATGGGAGCTTCAAGAATCAATGGTGCTATATTGGACCATAAATTGCACTCTGCTGCCACTTCAGTTCAAGTAGACCAAGAAGATGGTATGATATAGTAGTTAATTTTTTATCTTCAATAATTATCGCATGTTGATTTTTATTTATAAAGAGCTTATTTAGTGTATACAATTTGGTGTAGTTGATTCCTTGGAGGGGCAACCCCGGTTTATCTTGCATAAATGGGCATCGGTGGGTGATGGAAAACAGTGTTATGAGGAGCAGGAATGGAAAGAGGATAAGTTGCTAGGGAAATCTGGCAGTTTACAGCTCCGACATCGTGGCGATTCCCAGCTTTATGGTATTTTGTTTTTGCTGTACAAGGAAGTTGGTTGTGGTTGTGGTTGTTTTTTGTGAGCAATGTACATATGCGCATGTTGAAAGTGTTTCTTTACTGGTTATGGGGGATAATTATCTTTTTAATGATATCTCCTTGGTGGGCTGTCTCTTACTTGTTCTTTCAATTTGTGTGCGACAGAAGAAAAACCCTTTGAGAATGGAGCTGAACTTGATGTTGATGACCAAGTGGGTGTCCTATAAATTTTGTTTTTTTGGAATGAATTTGGTGATATAATTCGATATCTGCTGCTTATGAGATGTAAATGAGTTCAAAGGAGCCACTTTAGGTTTTTGATTTATTTTCTTGTAGGTCCAAAAGGAGCGAGCAAAATCATTGTCTATGTTTGGGACTCTGGTTTCCCCAAAGCTTCGAGCTGCCCAGTTATCGTTTGAGACAGGTGCATGACTAAACACAAATGGTCTATGGCAATAGTGAAAACTAAGAGTCTGACCTATTCTAAATGCTCTATTTTTATGCAGCACTGGAGATGCTTGTGGAAATAGCAAACATGCGATCGGCGATGCTATCCTCATTTGATAAAGTCCACAAAGAACTAGATCACCAAAAAGGATGACACGGTGTCTGTTCCTTCAGGTATATGTAATTCTGACTTCGAAATTATTGATTGCTCTTTGCCCCTGGAAACTTGCATTGCCTATACCCTTGGATATCTGGCCAATGTTAGTATTAAAGAAATGCCCGTGACACTTGTCGGTGTCCAACACCCAAAATCACAGCGGGGGTGCACAATTTACACACCATTTGGCCCAGTAGCCATGCACTTACTTCTTCCCCTCGCCAAGAGTTAATGGAAAGTCTTGCTTCTAAAGGCTGCCCTCATCCAGCCTACTACGTATCCAGCAACCTAACCTTAAAAAGGGCATCAAAACCCCTTCCTTGTATAGGTTGGAGCTTATTATTAGTGAAAGGGGAAGGGGCAAACTCAATTTTTTTCTAACGTTCCTCTCAGAGTTTTTGGTGATTACACTCTTACCTTGTGTTTCCGTAGGTAGTCTATAGTTCTGAAAGATGTGGAACTAAGGGGTCCTTTGGGTTGCCAATGGATGCGTGATTGAAGGATTCAATTGCCCTAGGTAATGACCAAGGACTGCAGAAGTGGGTTTTTCAGGAAGAAAGCACCAACGAGAGGAGGAGGTGGAGAATCCTACTGGAGTTTTCTTTCTTCCAAGTTGACGCAGAATTGAATTCTTTGAACTTCATCCTTGGTGGCTCCTTTTACACCCATATTTTAACATTTTGTAGTTGATCTCAATAATCTCAATTTTGTTTTTTGTTTTTTCTTGTTTTCATAGATGTAATAGTCTAAGAAATTTAGCTTTTGTAGTGAGAGTTGCTGCCCAAAAATCACTTGTACAAGAGCATGTCTAAATATAGTGCACCTTTATCTCTCTCGCCATTTCTTGTACTATGTGTGTGACCAGAAGAAACGTAATGCTCCCAGCTATTAATATTAGTACTTTTTCCATATTTTTAAACAAAGGATCTAATTAATTCATTTCTCAAAAGTAAAAGGACTAATATATAATTTACTCTGATTCATAAAAAGCTCTCTGTGCTCAATGCATCCAAATCAAGGTGTGAGCGTTACGTTTATCAGAAGTGTGCTCGATGCTCCAGCAAATTTTGTACGCATGGGAGTATATGCAATTCTAATATTTATTGATCTTATCTGCCCCAGACCTATATGTAACTTTTTATTTCCCTCAGAAATAAACCGGAATCAACTTTTAACATTTGTTCATTATACCAGGAATAGCAAGCAATTTACCTAATAACGTATAGATAAAATAGATTCATCAAAAAAAAAAAAAAAAAAAAAAAAAAAAAAATCATCAAATAAGAGCCAAATCCAGCATGTAAAACCCAACAAGTCCAGAATGGGCCCATGTGAAAAAGCCCGGCTAAAGAGACCCAATCTCTTTCAAATATAGCCAGGTAGTTGAGCCCCACTGTGCTAGACTAGATGACAGAAACATCCAAGGAAGCGCGTAGTCATTGAGACCATAAAGAAGGCCACGCGCCACCCAACTGGGGTTTATTGTCATGCTTGCAGTGCTAATCAATTCATAGCACCAAAAATTTTAAAAAAACAAATGAATGAAAAAGGGAAAGCCAAATAACTTATACAGAGCAATTTGAACCATAAGAACATGAAATTTCACTGCCATTGTTTTCTCATACTTCCCAGTTTTTATTGGTTTCAAGAAACTGCCACTCGAAAGAAGAAGCATTATATTTTCGATCTGGATGGCCCAGAAACAGTAACATGTTTTTTTTTCTTTTACCTCAGCACAAAAATGAAGCAACGCCATAATGAATAACTTTACAACAATACAGCTTTTTAACACAATCTATACATCACAAACAAAAAAATTGGCAACCATGAAAAAACCCTAAACAAAATGGAGAAACTTGACGAGTGAGAGAAACCGCTAGAAAGAACTCCAGTTGTCAGAACTTTTTTTGGGAGTTTGATTGTCTGATGAAACCTTAAAGGGGCCACTGGAGCCAAAAGGATCTGAGTCATCAAACGAAGAGAATGCACGACTGTGGCCAAAATCTTTCGAGCTGTTTATGGAGTCGAACCTTGAAAGCTTTTCTCGTGGTGAAAATCCACCTTCAGTCATGCTGAAGGAATCAAATCTCGAGAAATTGTCAAAATGATCCCCTGCTTCGCTGTACCTTGGAGAGTTGCCAAATCTTGACATTGGGGAGCCTGCAACAGATTCTTCAAAAAATATACTCTTTTTCTGAAAAGTATTCCCAGTGGACGTGGATTCCGTTCTTATAGGCTTTAGACCAAAATCATCAGATCCAAAGAAATCTCTCTCGTTCTCAGAAGAGTCCTGCTATTAAACAAAGTGTGTGAATTAACATTTGCAAGCTACCAAACTCCATTGGCAACCAATTGATTTGATATTGTATCAAATCAACAAGCTTCAAAAACAATAGGAGGTAAGGGAGAAAAAATACAATCACAGAAAACAGAGAGCGATATGAAATCTTGATGAAATAGAAAATAAAGTATGAAATATGTCCCTAATTTAAGGATAATGTTAGAGATACCAAAATTTTAACAGAACTGACAGTTTGACTTTCATCTAACCACAAACCTATCGTATCATTTAACTGATCACTATAACACCCATTATAGCAACCACGTCAATCCTTCAAATAATTTTGATCAAAATATTTGTACCTTTAGCACTGTTTATTCTTCAATGGTTTCAGCACCAACTCTCTAACAGCACATGGCATATATTACAAAGCTCAACCCACTATATCAACCACGAATAAGCATCTGGATATCTCATATCTCATTGGATGCTAAAACCTGAGAACTGGTCAATAGGTTCACTCCCACCAGAGTGCCAAATCATGTCTGAAAACATGGAAACCTAAGGATAGTGGCATGGGCTAAGGTATGCACCCAACGGGCAAATATGATGGTGATAACAAGAATATGCCTTAAATTGTAAGAGCATGCCAACGATCATGATGTGTGGCTTAAATCAATATCAGGTACAATTCCATAATAAAGTGATCTATAAAGAAGTTATAGCTGCATAGAATGTGCTTCAGCAAGCTACAGATTTGGATATCCAAAATGTATCCATGCTCAACTGCAGAAGATAAAAGAGTGCTTCAGGAATTTTGGACTCACCTTGTTGCCTGCAGGGTTAAATCCCCAGACTGAGTCCACATCATCATTTGTGTCAAAAGCACCCCAAGTCGATTCATCAAAACTTCTATTGCCAGAAATATAAAAGTTCATTATCATCATGAAGTAGGTCCACAATCAGCACTGAAGTCAGAGATATGTAGGTCAAAAACATAGAAACAAATCGATGACTGTACCTGTGTGTATCTACATCTGTTTCAGTATTCTTGGCAAAAACATCAGAAAATTCTTGAGATGGACTTTCTGAAGCAGTCCTGCCAGCTGGACTACCTTGAGGACTTCTTGCCATTTCATCTCCACTGTGGTTATATGCAGATTCACTCTCAAACACATGTTCACCAGTAAAAATCCCTGATCTCCCATCACCATTTGACAATGAATCAGGGGTTAAACTACCATCTGCAGATGATCTCTCCTTTTGAGCAGGAGCACTTTTCACATCAACAGTGAGCTCATTGGAAAACCCTGAAAATGGATTTGATATGTTGCACAAATAAATTTCAACTGATAAGGTTCAATATTCATGAGAAAAATCCCCTCAATTCATGGCATTTATTTGAGATGAGAAAAGGAGAAAGGAAGCGTGAGCTATGATAAATAGTTCTATATATGGAAGGTAGAGCATACCTTCATCTTCAAACTTGTCCCACTCTTCATCCCAAGTAGCAGCACCCTCTTCAATTCCTGGTTGCCAGCCTTGAGAATCACAAAAGTAAATAGATAATCATGAAGGGAACCATAACAGAAACTAATTAATTCAGTTGTTCATGAAAAATCAAATACAATAAACAACTTGAAAAATCCTAGAATGTGCCACACATCATAAAGGAGCATCATTGATCTTGTTAATTGAATTGAATTTTGCTGATTGAATCGAATTCAATTCTATCTAACAATAGGATCCAAAAAGGGTATTCTTAAGGAATAGAATTTGATGCGCCTCAGTTATTCCATTATCTAAGAATGTGCACCCTGCCTTTTCTTATCAAAAAACACATCAAGTAGCAAAACCTTTTCTTTGAACTGGGAAGGGCTTGCTGAAATGTAAAGTAAAGCATTAAGAACTCAGAAGCAAAAGGAACACACTCTGACCAAATAAAGGGAATAAAGAGTACCAAAAGGAAGCTCAATCACTGCAGTTGACTTAACATCTAGTCCATGTTTCTTGCAGCGTTCAGTTAAAGCCTTCAATAGCTCATCAAGGTCTGATTGTATACGATCAGCACGAACCTATAAACGGCACCAAAGGATGAGTTTTGGATAAAATCTCCAATTACTCACCACATTAAAACTGTTACGATTTACCTGAAGAATACCATCTGCACTGCCACCTTGTTCCACGTTAGTTATTGCTTGACGTAACTCCAGTTTTCTCCCCTAAATGTTACACAGGAGAAAATTTATCGTGGGATACAATTTCATACACTAGCATTTTACTGTTATAAGACCAGACAAGCTCCATGGTTTCAAATGCCACCAATTAAATCGGCACAAAACATGCATTGTTGACTTCTCGCATCTGGAAAAACTATTTGCCTAAAATCTGAACATGCTAAATAAAAAGATGAGGAGGAGCCATTGTTGAGAGAAAGCGAGGAGCAATTTTGCTTCGTCAACATTAGCATTAGTAAGCACTGATATGCCAAAACATGCTAAAAACACAAGCGGACTGGGAAACCATGTGTTGATGCATCTAATAATAAACACTCATGCATACATGTGCGTATGTGTTGTTTGTACAACAATATATTTCTGCGTATATATAGAGAGAAGGGAGAGGGCTTATCTATGAAGTTTGGATATTCCAAAAGGCTTACGGAGAGGAAATAATACCAGGCTCATCACTACTCAAAAACGAGTGCAGTTCTTACCTGAATGTCACGAAATGTTGCCTCTTCAATTGTTAATTTAGATGCCACTTCCGCAACTTGCTTGTACTTCTCTTCATATTTCTTACCCAGCAACTCTGCCTGTTATGTAATTTGTCAATATAGAACCCCATAGAAGTCAAATTGTTATAAACGATAGAGACCACATCCTCCATATTTCAAAGAATACCTCACGTTTATCTGCCAAAGCTCTTTCTGTGATTTCATTTAGCCTATTATCACATCTGCTTTTATATAGAACCTGATATACACAGCAACAAAGAGAAAAATGAGAAAGGTGATTTAAGAACAAGTCAATTAGGATGTTATATTGTTCAGAAAGGATGACATACTGATTCAATCCTAAGTGTTTCTTTATCAATAGAATTACAGTAGGTATGTTAAAATGGTTGCTGATCAAGGGAAAGAAAACATGAACAGAAATATCCTAATGAATAACATTCATAGAACAATTTTTCAGTCAGAAGTGGGTATTTGAACTACTGTAATGACTCTACGTCCTCTAATGATAAACAATGATCCTAAATGGTCATCGAAACAAACAAGCAGCACCATATTCTTGTTGATATTCAACCCAGATCAGACTGATAATCCAGAACTCTTTTCCACCTGACATATTATAGTGTCACCAACCATCACATATAAAGTAAATAAGCATCAGGCCAGGTCTGAAACTACCCTTTTTTAAAGAGTCGGGATTTTCATCACACATTTGATTTTCATGCATCAAATATTGGCAAATGTTGGGTATCAAAGAAAAGAAAACCAACAAAAAAAAATACAGAGAGAGGAGGAGGGATTGGCAAGAGCAGCTACTCACAAGATCCTGCATTTTCGAGCGGTAAAACTCAATCTTCTCTTTGGAGTCCAAAATCAGCTTCTCTGCTTCATTAATCTGCACCAAATGTAACATCACTGAACTTTAGTAATGAATTTCAAAACTATATGCATCCTTAAGCACAAAGAAAGATATGGGGAGCAAAATAACATGGGAAAAAAAATAGCAACCAAACAGTTGGAATTGGATGAAAAACTATGACCAAACAATTGCAAATTGGATTAAAAGCAATGGAAAATTCATTTTTCTGGACCAAATCAAAGTGGCATTCTTTTTAGCTCTTGACATCCAACTTGTTCCAGTTCAGACTAAGATAGAAACTCATTTTAAAAAAGTTCAATCAAAAGCCAAAACAAATAAAGTATCCAATTCAAACAATATTTTGACGTGTGAACCAAAAGTGGGGAGCATGATGCCTTTTTCTCTGCGGCTGTTCCATCTTGAGTCATTGAGTTCGCTGAATTCTGCTCTCCACCATCATGTTGGTTCAAAAAGGAATCCTCCGACACTGATGCTCCTGACTTCTGCTGATTGTTGACCATTGCACCATCAGGCTGGGGGGCAGTTACTGGAACTGGTGGCCTCATACCAGGGAAAGGGCCCACGGGTCGGGCACCCACCCCCTGCTGCTGTCCAAAACCTAATCATAAGGAGAATGGGAACATCAAGAAAATCTCATCCACAAGAAAGGAAAGTATGAGAAAATAAAGACCTTTTCAAAGAAATTGTAACCCATACCAGGACTGGGACCCCACGCAGCATTTCCATAAGCAACTTTGGGTTGACCTGTCATGGACAACAAGGTCTCATCATACATAACATTGCTTGGAAGAGCTGCTGGAAGAGGACGGCCTTCCCTGTACCGCTCCATCAAATAAAGGGCAAAGCAGAACTCCCTCAAAGAAAGCATGCTATCACCATCTTGATCAGATAAATCCCAGACCTGCTTTAAAATCTCTGCAAAAATAAAGCCTTGATAAGCACAAGCACTCAGAAAATGAAAATGAGATTTGCACAAGGTCCGTATGCAGCAATACACATATACCAATGAAGATTCATCTCAATCACATAGCCAAAATCAATTTTATAGTCCAGAGAAATTATCATCCCAGAATAATGTCAGACAAGGTTCTATGGTAATAGCTTACAAACATTACACATACACCAGTGAAACTATATAGTCTAAAAACCTAAATCAAATTATAAAGTCTAGAAACATATCCTAAAATAATGTCACGTTAGCAATTTGAGTCCTGCCATTGGAAGGAAACTACACAATATGGTTAATTTGCCATTAACACTTTATAATGTATCCAGAGAGAGACATAGCCATGTGGAAAAATGAAAATCCATTACCTCTTGGTAGCCTCCAGCTCAAAAAAAGATTCCGTGCCTGCTCACCAGTGATTCTTCCATCTCTGTCAGTATCCACTTCCATAAAAACTTTGGTATATTTCTGAATGTCTGTCGGTTTCATCTTTGGCCATGAAAGCTGTGTGTTATCAGTGGAATTTCCAACTCCAACTGAAATCCCAGGTGACACAGGTAAGGGAGAACTTGAAGCAGAAACTTGTGGGCCAGAGCTCGGTAATGATTGGGTCCGCTGAGGCTGACCACCTAGAGATTGCATTGCAAAAGCACTCTGAAGTGAATCAAGTGAGCTGGACTTAACTGGACCTTGGCCTCGTGCAACACTAGAAACTGGAAAACTAGAAGATGAGGTCGGTGTGCTAACAGCTTTCAACAGTGAATCAAGCGAGCCGGACTTAACCGGAGGTTGTGCACCACTAGTAGCAGAATAATTCGGCAGAGAGGGTTCTTGTTTTGTTGCAGTAGGAATTGCAGAAAACGCATCACCACCAAAAGACGAGTCAGAGGCAAATCCATTTCCAGAAACAACTGGGCCTTTAGAATCATTAGCAGTTGTGGCGGGCGTGGATGGTCGGACCCCTCCAGGCCCAGTTGGAGCTCCAGCAGTGCTTCCAACAAGCCAATCATTTGAGATGTTGGAAACGCTGGGAGTGGGACCAACAGCACCACCAGCAATGAATTGAGGTGGACGAGAAGCAGTTCCAGTAGGCATTGATGGAACCCCCAGACTACTGGGTGGCATACCCTGAGGGGGACGGGAAGCAGTTCCAGGATGGACACCCTGAAGTGGTCTCGTTGTCTGACTTTGCTGAGGAAAGTACTGTGGGTTCATAGTAGCATTTGGAAGTCCTGGTCCTCTAAAACCAGGACTTTGCAATGCCGTCGGAGCAACAGCACCCATTTGTGGGGCAGATGAAGCAACCATTTGAGGCGAAGCCACTTGAACTCCTGGTCCTCTAAAGCCAAAACCTTGAGATGTTGTTGGGGCAACAGCACCCATCTGCGAGGCAGATGAACCAACCATTTGAGGCCCAGCCGTTGGAACTCCTGGTCCTCTAAAGCCAAAACCTTGAGATGCTGTTGGGGCGCCAGCACCCATCTGTGGGGCAGATGAAGGCGCAGCTGTGGCTTGAAGATTAATTTGTGGTGGTGGGATTTTAGCTGCAGCTGGTCCATACAATGCCGCCTTGACAATGTCCGGTGTCAAGTCTCGCTTACTCTGTGCAACAGTTACAAGTCTAAGAGCATTAAAAAATTCCGGACGGCCAAGGAAGCCAGTACGACTCTGATCAGCATGCATCCATATCTGCACCCACATCAAAAAAATAAAAATTAAAAAAAATAATCTCAAATTAAATATCACAAAACCTCTCATCTACTATTCCAAAAAACAAATAAAAAAAAAAGCAGCTTTGACCTAATTTAATCAAATTTCAGATTTCAATTATTCCCAAATTGATCTAAGAAATGAACTTCTTCCCTATCAGCATCTAATTAGCGACAATTTAGACCCGTTTTGGATTCAACAGAATATAAGGCATTCAATAGTAATTTAAATTCTGAAATTCAAACAAAATCAACAGTAATAGAGCGGAAGAGACAGATGACCTGAGCAAGGACTTGTTTGGGCAAATTGGCTCCTTGAAAGAAAGAGACAGCTTCAGCTCCACTAATTCTTCCATCTCCGTCTAAATCAGCTCTCTTAAAGTAAGCTTCGAATAGATCCATGTTTGGCACCGCCATTTCTATTTCCTCCGATTTAGATCATATGAATTGAATTAAGGAGGTAGAGTAAAAATGAGTAAAAATTATATATCGGAGAATTTGATTTCGTGGAATCGAAAAGGAAAATAGAATCTTGGTGGTTAGATCGAGGAGGAGATGTAAAATGATTGGGATTTTATTTGAGTTTGGATTTGGGGAATTAATTAATTAGAAGCAAAAGGAGATCTGGTTTTGCAATTTTTGGTACCCAAATCGACAGGAAAGCAAAAGGAGACCGTGATTACAGTTTTTGGAGTAAATTTCAAATTGGTACTTCTGGTTTCCAAAAAGGAGTCACATAGTGCTTTTAGTTTTAAAAACTAATTAATTAGTCTTTTTATTTTTAAATCTATTTATAACTTAATCATGTTCATTCATTTTCAATTTTTCTTTTATTTTAATAAATAGATATGAAAAAATTGATGAAAAGATAAAAATATATATAAGTAAATTAATTATCATCAATACTGATTAAAAATTAAATAATTAATTTATGAAAAAATCTATTTAATTCGCTTTTAAAACTACAGGGACTAGTTCATAATTTACTTCAGTTTTGGGGGGTTTGGTGTTAGAAAAAGAAAAAAAAAGAATTACTTGAATTTATGAATTTTCGTTAATAAAATTAGTCCAATTCGGGGCTGGTTTTCGGATCGGATTATATGGGTCAGGTGAGTCCGTAAAAGACTACAGCGAGCACTTGGTTGCGAACATAAGAATTTTTTTTTTTTTTTTTGGCTTGCGTTAAAATTTGATAAGTGATAACTGATGTTAGTTTTACCACTGCCAAGCATATTATTTAAATTTTTTGTCATTTTGTCAATAAATTTTATCTTAATCTATAATTAATTAATAATACTTATAATATAGAGATGGAGTTAAGGAGGAGAGAGAAATAGAAAATATTTAAAAAAAAAAGAATTAATTTTTGGTAAAAAGATTTTTCTCGTTTTTAATGGATTTAAATATATTTTTATTTTTTTTACATTTATCTTTGTCATTGAAGTAAATTTATAAAATAACTAATGTTAGTTATTTTTTTATTTTTGAGTATTTTATAATTTCTTCATTTTGTCCTATGATCCTACTTTTTTTACATTTTAGGATTTTGGTATTATCTCTTGGTTTTCTTTTCTTTTCTTTTTTTTTTTTTTATTCTTAGTTTTCTTAATAACAATCTTGAATCCCCATTCGCATTGAATGGTGATTTTATAGGTTCTGACTGTCGGTTCATGGGTTACGGTCGAGCCCATGGTTTCTTGGGCTACTTGTTTCGTTCATGGGCGTATCTTTTGCTTTTACTTCTGCTTCTTCTTCTCGAACTGGCATTGGCTTATCTTGGAGTAAATTATAAATTAGGCTCTTTAGTATTGAGAAATAAATTAAATAATTCTTTTTATTTTAAAAACTAGTTATCTATTTTTCTTATTTGATGCTATTTTCTGATTTATTTTTTTCTGTTTTAAGAAGTAGAAAATGAAAAAAAAAAAAGATAGATATCATGAAAAAAATTAATAAGAAAAAAATATATTTTTAAAATAATATAATATTAAATTAAACATAATCAACACTGATTAAAATATTAGATAATTAGTTTCTGAAACAAAATAGATTAATTTATTTATTTTTCAAAAATGACTAATTTATAATTTACTCGCCTATCTTGCTTTGTGACTTGGTTTTTCAACAATATTATTGAAATAGTATTTAAACATGATTGTAAAAAAAAAAAAATTGATTTTGATTCAATTAGATGGATAATAGAATGTTGTTTAACCTAATTCAATCTTCTTCTTTTTTTTTCTTTTTTTTAGTCAAGTGATATTTTCTGTTTATTGATATAAAAACTAATTCATGAAAATGTATAGTTAATTAAATTTTGAATCGTGAGATGATTTCATGAACTAACTCGATGCCTTGCTTGAATAAATGTTTAAAAACTAATAAAATCAAAATTGCTCTAGCTGATAATTTTGGGAAAAAAAATATTTTGATATTTAATGGTAATAACGTATGTCGTGGCGAAACAAAAGAGCTGTAACATCTATTTGTAAATATATGCAGACCCAACTTCCTCTACCTCATACAAGTAAATATAGTTTATCAGCTGTGTGTCTAATAGTTTCTTCCAGTAAAACAAGTTCAAATTTTAATGATTTAAATTTATTTGATTATTATGTTATAATCGAGTAATTACGTTCGCGTGAAAAAGAAGCTGCCGCCTAAACCCAAATAAACAAATCAAAATCTCCCGCCAAAATGTCACGATTTACCCAAACAAATCCCCCCCTCCTCAAAATATTCACAAAAGATAAAAAATGGCGACTCCAATTCCTACAAAATCGACAAACCCTAAGCCTAAAAAATCCCACCTGATAGGTGGAATTCAAGTGGAATTCCCATACCAGCCATATGGAACGCAGCTCGCATTCATGGGCAGAGTCATTTCCACACTCGATCGGGCCCAGAGAGACGGCCATTGTCACGCATTACTCGAATCCCCAACTGGTACCGGAAAATCGCTCTCGCTTCTTTGCTCAACTCTCGCCTGGCAACAGAATTATAAATTAAAGAATCAATACGCTAATCTCACGCACTCCGTACCCAATCCCGAAGCGATCGCCGATCCTCTCGCTTATGGCGGTGGGTTTGTTCCAGAATCACAGCCTTCAAGTAAGATTGGGACTGTTAAAACCTTAAAGTTTTAAATTGTGTCGAATTTGCCTGTTACTTGAAATTTTTTGATTATTTGTGCTGCCTGGGGTGTGTGCTGATTTATGAATTGTTGTAGCCAACGAACCTGCGGCGGTTATGGAGCCGGCTCAACAGGTAGCAAGCAACAAAAGGAAAAAGGCTGCACCGACAATTTATTATGCGACGTAAGTTTTTTTTTGAATTAGTTCTAGTAATGGATTGGTTTTTCTTATATGGCGATAAACGAGTACTGATTTACAATGAGAAAGGAGAATCTTTTAATCGAATGTGTAATTTTTATTTTTATTTTTTGTTAATCAAAGGAGGACGCATTCGCAAATTTCCCAAGTGATTAGGGAATTTCGTAAAACTACGTATAGGGTGCCGATGGCAGTGCTGGTAGGTTTATATCTTTCCTTTGGTTATGGCTATTGATTTGATAATAATTGTGTATTGATGTATTCCAATTATAAATTCATGCTTCGATCCGGGTTGTTTTTGTGATCGTTGAAGACTTATTGCTTTTTTTATATATTTTTTAGGCTTCAAGGAAACATTACTGCACAAATGCAAATGTAAATGGGAGAGAGAATATTGATGAAGAATGGTAAAGTTTTGAGCTTTGGGGACTTTTTTATTTTTTCTGTGTTTACAGAATTTTATTTGGCTCCGTATTTGAAGTATGTTGTGAAACTTTCAGTAAGCTGCTTTTGAAGGATAAGGAGATTGGATGCTTACAATTCAAGTGAGTTACTTTTCTTACAGTATGTGGTTACTTTCGTCTTATTATATTTGACAATAAAATTATTTTTCACAAACAGAAATGCAAATAGAGTCAGAGGTCATCCTTCACTTCAAAAGGGAGGTTGCCATGAGGTGCATGACATCGAAGATCTTGTGAAAGTTGGACAAGTTGTTAAAGGTTTATGTTGAATCTTTTGTAATTCACACAGACTGGTTAAAAGTTTTGCATGTGGCTTGTTAAAATGCCTGTTTTACTCCCAACATCTCAGAAGCTTTCTTCAATTTCCTTTTTCCAGGCTGTTCATACTATGCAGCTCGCTCTATGGCAGATGATGCACAGTTGGTTTTCTGTCCTTACAGCTACATAATTAATCCAGTCATTCGAGGAGCAATGGAAGTAGACATTAAAGGAGCCATTCTTGTTCTTGATGAAGCCCAGTATGTATTGCAATTTTCTGTTCAATTGCTGAAATATTACACTTAACCTGCCATGTGATCCTGAATGGCAAATTTGGGGTTGAATTTGTTTCTTCAAACGAGTTTCTCCAGTTTTATTTCTGTATTGGCACTACATGATACTCTGAATGTTTATGGACATCCAGCAACATAGAAGACATTGCTCGTGATGCTGGTAGTGTGGATGTTGAAGAAGATGCCTTGGAAAGTAGGTTATTGGCGTGAAAACAGTTGATTGATTTATTTATTTATTTTATCGTTTTGCTGCTTATTGTTGTTATATTGCCAAAGTATTGCAGACCGAATTGCAAAAGCTCTGTTCAATTGATCCCATGATTTACCAACCATTATACGAAATGGCACAGGTAATTTTTACAGTTATTGTACTTTGTGATTCTGTGTCCGGATTTGTATTAGTTATTTTCTGGCCATTGATATATACTATGAATGCATAGGACTTGGTAAGTTGGATTGAACGGAGGAAAAATAAGCTGGAGAAGCGTGAATTTCAACACTACTGCTCTTGGTAAGTAATCTTGTCTAACTTTTTTATCCTTGCTCTCTATTTTTCTACATTCAATATAACCATGTTAAATTTGGTCTTGCATGTATTTTATGATATCTGTATTCTTGTATTAAAAGTCATCCAGACTCAACTGCCCCTCAGTGTAAAATACAGTGCAGGGCATCTTTAAAAACTCAACTTCCTGATTTTTATTTAGATTTGAATTTGGAGATGTAGACATTTTGTGCTTATTAATTGCTCATGTTGCCATGTGTTTTAGTTGGGCTGGTGATAAGGCTTTGAGGGAGCTCCAAGAAGCCAATATTTCACAGCAGTGCTTTCCAACCTTGCTGGATTGTGCTACAAAGGTTTTTTTTTTTTAATTTTATAATTTCTTTTGGATTTTGACACACATCATTCACTTTCTTCTTAACATTTACACTGTTCATCAATATAATTTGCTGAAGGCAATCAAAGCTGCTACAGATAAAGAAGCAGAGGGCTCTCATTTAAGTGGCATGTCAGTGGTATTATTGGAAGGTAGAGCTTCATAATCTTTGCTTATTTTACTTACCCAAAAATTGTGATATTGTACTTAACTGCTTCTTAAAATGCCAAACAGGGTTTTTCTCTTCACTTACGTATTTCTTTTCAAGAAATGGATGTCATGTATCCGATTTTCAGCTTGCTTTGCAGCGATCTGTTAAAAAAGATGGAAGTAAGTGGTCAGTTTTGGTTGTTTTGTCAACTTATTGTTGGTTTGTGCATAATAGGTTTGTTTATCAATTTGTTACATAGTGGTATATTTGTTAGCTTATGAAGATTCATAGGTTAAATTTCTCATTTAATATTTGAAAGGATCAGGATGAAGACATAGTTACTAAAATTTAGTTTAATTCCAATTGTTAAAGGCTATCTTTCAAACAGCATGTGAGTAATCACTTGGAGAGATGATATGTGCAGGTTATAAGGAGATATTTTTCTTGAAGTACTTGGCATTCCCCTGAAAGCTTTCTGTTTTAAGCTCTGCTTAGTATAACCTATGAGAAAACTTTCAAAATTTTGTTGTATGAACCACATTTCCAGATGTTGCATTAAAAGAATCCACTGATAGTACTATTGCAACCATTGTTGGTATTAGTAGAAAACAAATTCATGATCTTATATAAATTTTATAGACAACGAGTTAGAAATAATCCATTATTTTGCTTTTTTTCTAATTCTGCATGCAGAAAAGTCAGGTGACTGGACACATACTTTAAGTTTGTGGTGCTTGAATCCAGCAGTCGTATTCAGAGATGTAGCTAATCTTTCTTTGTCAGTCATTTTAACATCAGGGTAAGCATGAGAAATTAAACCAAGTTCTGTGCCAGCAGTTCATATAAGCCAATTAATCAAATTAGTATTATTTAGGCAAACATTCATGTATAGTTTCTGTTATTTTAGGACTTTGTCACCAATGAATTCTTTCTCGTCCGAACTTGGGGTTCAGTTTGGAACTTGTCTGGAAGCTCCGCATGTAGTTGATGTTGAATCACAGGTTTGACTGCCCCATCCTTTTGCTTTTTGCCGTTTTAGTTGGTTCCATTTCAAGTGCAAGTTATCAACTTTTTACTGCAGGTGTGGGTTTCTGTAATATCCACCAGTCCCGATAATTATCCATTGAATGCAAGTTACAAAACAGCAGATAGTTATACCTTCCAGGTCTTTGTGCATTTTATCATTGATTTTTGATGATCCAGAGTGGATTTTCCTTTCCATATGTTAATAAGTTTCCATGATAACCTGTGCAGGATGCTCTTGGCAAATCTTTGGAGGAAACCTGCAAGATTGTTCCTGCTGGATCTCTTGTGTTCTTCCCAAGCTATAAACTGATGGAAAAGCTGAGCAATCGTTGGCGTGAAACGGGTCAATGGTCACGATTAAATGCAAGAAAGCCCCTCTTTGTTGGTAAGACATTACTGGTTATGAAAAAAATTTTGTGAAACTTTCAGTAACCTTTCTATATTGTGTTAGAGATTCCTCATTATTTGGCATCTGTGCTTGAGCTCTGTATTCCTGGCTGTCTCTTTGGAATTCTTTTAGTTGGTTTTGGAAATTGTAAGTTTGCATTGATTAGTGCAGAGCCTAGAGGAGGAAGCCAGGAGGATTTTGACTCAATTTTGAAGAGTTATTATGACTGTATTCGTCAAGGCAAAAGACCTGCTCTTGAGAGAAAGAGAAAGGTAAAAAAAATGGATGCTGGTCAATTAAACGAACCTGAGTTGACCAACAATTCTAAGAAAGAAGGTGCTGCTTTTCTTGCTGTTTGTCGAGGAAAGGTATGCCAACTTTTATTGGGATAACACTTGTCATCAGCCTGTTGGGCTATTGGTAAAAGACTTAGGAGCTAAATCCATTTTGCTGGCATTAGCTGGGAAGAACATTGCTACAAAATACTGACAAGGTTTTGTTTTATCTTTGGATTAAAGGATTTGTAACCTGGGCTTTAACATTTGCATTGGTGGAATTTTTGTGAGCATGGTAGAACAATCTACAAATGATGTTTTTAACAAATTAAGTTATTCAAAATGGTTGCAGTTCCAATGACTGCAAATCTAAATAATGCATTCTTTTCAAGTTCTCGAGAGTCATATATGCTATTATATTGCTGCTAAGCTCTTTCACGTTCATATATTGTGACCTTTGGCCTCCTGCGTATGGTAAATTGCCATGTTATTCTTGCAGGTTTCAGAAGGAATAGACTTTTCTGATGATTATGCTCGGGTTGTTGTATCCTTTGTGCTGTTTGAAATAAAATTACTGCAGTTCTCTGGTTTTTCTTAAATCTAAGATGGGATCTTGGTGCTACTTAAGTTCATGGAATCTCTGCCATGTGTGGGATAGTTGTCCTTTTTGGATAATCACAGTTTCAAGTTAACTTAATTGTAGGGATAATAATGGTCCCTGCAGTTGGTGTTCAATGGCATTTTAATATCATCACCCTCTGTCTTATTGAATTTGAAGCACTATTTCTTTTCGACATGGATGATTGTTTATCTTTGACTATCAATATCTCAGATAGTAGTTGGCATTCCATTTCCAAACATGTAAGAATTCTTACAAGGTCTGGAAGCTTTTAAAAATAGAGATTGCTATTTGTTCAGGATTTACTTATCGATACTGACAATTTTTTATCAGATATGATATTAAAGTTGGTTTGAAGAAGAAACATAATGATACATACAAAACGCCCAAAAACCTTCTCAGTGGAAATGAGTGGTACTGTCACCAAGCCTTTCGAGCTCTCAATCAAGCTGTTGGTATGCCATTTGATTAGTTTTACTACTAATGTCTGCTATTTTGCATGAAATAGAACATACATATAATCCACAAGCCTATTCTCTTTCTCCAATATCTCCTCTCTGACTACACCTACTATCTATCTCCTCTTTTTCCTCTTTCCAACGAGTAACTTTTTTTGTTTCTTCAGTTGTATATTCTCTGTTTTCTCTTGCTTCCTCATTTTGTTATCTAAAATTCAAGAAATATCTGATAATTGCAAATTGTGATTACTGAATTTGGGTATTATTCTTTGTTCAAACTCATGTAGGACGCTGTATACGGCATGAGCTTGACTATGGAGCCATCATCCTATTAGGTAATTCATTTAAATTGACTATTGATCAGTGTTTTTATTTTTCTTCCTTGTAGTGAGAATGCCTTTCTAATTTGACTGTACTTTTCTGCTTGTAGTCTTCCTTCAAGCAGTTTTTAAGGTTGGTCTTTCTCTTTTGGATATCCATCACTCTTTTATAGTTACTTTTTTTTTTTTTCCATTGGCAAGCAGATGAGCGTTATAAGGAAGAGAGGAATAGAGTGTACATCTCAAAATGGCTAAGGAATTCAATTCGACAGTACGATAGCTTTGACATGTCTCTAGAAGGATTAAGATCCTTTTTCAGGAATGCCAAGGTCTTCTGTTTATTTTCATGTGTTCTGCATTGAATTAAGAAATTCGGTTTTCTTACCATGGGCTAATCAGCATATGAATGATGATAATTACATTACAGTCTCTGCCTCAACTTGTTTGCAGGAGAAGGTTGGCAAGAATATGGCGGATGTCTTACTGAATTCCGATGCTAAAGAGGAAAAAAATATCTCTCATAAGGATCCAATGAAACAGCACACAAGAAACAAAAGTCAGAAATCGAGCAAGTCTGATCAGTATGGAGAGACAGTTGTCTCTTTGACAAAGTGTGAGGTTGTTGCTTTAAAACTGAAGTCCCACGCTGAGGTTGAAGTACAAGCTTCTATTCAAATAGATGAGGACATGGAAAGTTGTAAAGAAATCATTGACCAAGAATGTGATTCTCTTATAGGTTCAAGGTAAATCGTGAGCCCCAGAATTTTGTCATGTTTTTTGTTATCTTTGCAATTTATTTGACTAACTACTAGCTGAAGATTTCAGATCCAGTATTATGTTGTACTATCAACTTAGGTATTCATATTGCAACCGATAGTATTGGCTACAAGCATTAATCAAGTTTATTGCCCATGAACGCAGTCTCATGATGCGAGTGCCAACAAACTCAAGGAAAAGATTTGAAAAAAAAAAATCAGAAAACTTCAGCTAGTGGATTGCATTTTAGAAACTACATCCAGCAGATAGAATAATACAAATCCTATATGCTCATTCAGCTAAGAAATAAACTAAATGCTTGAAGTTCCCTTGCAAATAAGATGCTCTAGTTGAACTTTACAGGGTGCCCTTTTTCAGGTGCTCTGAGGTATCTTCCTATGAAGATCCCGAAATAACCCTTGTCAAGGAAACCCCCGGCATTGGTGACAGAGGAGCCTCAGCTAGTCCAGGATCCTTCTCAAAGGATAGCAACTCTAGCTCAACCATGATTCCAGCCCTTATGGAGCTTACAGATCAAGAGGGGTTAGTCTCTTTGGTGTCTGTGACAAACCAAAGCGCTGCTCCAGACAAAACTCGGTATTCAATTGAAGTTACTCCTGAAAAGGAGTTAACTGCAAATACCTGCAACCTGAGACCAGAAGTAGAGTCATCTTTGAATTTAAGTGTTAATTCTCATACACAAAAAAGGAGGAAGTCCATGGACTCATCATTAATAAACCTTATAGGAAAACAATCTGATATCTCCTATGCCGAAACTCCTGGCTGTATTAGTTTCACCAGAAGCTCAGTTACTAATGGAGACATCAATCGCAGGATTGAATTTGATTTGGAAACAAACTGTACAGGACATCAATCTATGAAGTCCAATGCTTCTCAATTGCTGCCACATACTTTTGGTACTTTATGTGCATCTTCTGATTCTCACATGGACAAGAGATTGCAAATTTCTTGCTCCCTCTGCAAAAGCCAATTGGGTCGTCCTGAGAACAACCTGTATGTTGGGTGTGCATTGACTTTTTCATCAAAGGTTCACTTAGCATCTCTTGTGAAAGAAAGATTGGAGCATTGCTCCGAGAACACATCATGTATACCAGTTCTCATGACCGACATCTCATCAGTTGATCAGCATGTCTGTAATGGTACTCTTCAAGATGCCCAGCGAAAAGGAGTTTGGTGTGAAGAAGATGGCTGTGTTTTCAACTCCATTTTTTGCCCTTTTTGCAGTACGTCTAACTGCCTTGGAGTGCAAATCATGGCAGCAGATGCTTCAAATGTTCAGTTACTTAACAAGGTAGGTTTTTAATTGGATCCTGCATTTATTTGATGCTCCAAACTAAGAATAACTTGTCTTTATCGTCTCTTGGTCCAAAAAACATAACCCCTGTTATTCTGAATATTGTTTCTCATGCAGATATTATTCTATATGGATCGTCTGGAAATTCAGAACTTTGAAGCATTGAAGGACATAGAACCTAAGGATAAGGTAAAGATGGGTTGTTGCTTTTTTGTAATACTGCTTTGGATATAGGAGAGCTGACAAGGTAATTCATGAATCTGTCTTCGACTCGGTTAAAGAAAGAAATAATAAGAGTCAGAGGACTGCAAAATTGAAGATGTGTTAGTGTTTTGCTTGAATTCCTTGTGAGCGTGTTGCCTGGCAGTTTCACTTACGCCAAGAAGTGTACGGACTGCTCCAGTTCAAAATGAGATTGTGTTTGAAAAAATAAATAACTAGTTTCAGCTCTAGTGATGAATGCATGCGATGGGCTCACATACATCTTCGGAGCAAATTGTGCAACTGAAAGAAGTTAAATATCACTAAAGCATGATAGGTGTTTTTTTTCCTTTATTGTTTTAGTGGTTGAATTATGTTTCTTAACATGGCTGCAGGATTTGTTGCCAGTTACCTGCTCTAGCATGGATAAAACTGCCGTCTTGAACTCCCTTGATAAATTTGCATATTCTCCGCAACAGAATTCTGGAGCCTCTGGAGCCTGGAGGACTACAAAGTCAAAGGTGTGTGATTTAGAAATGCGTTGAGCTTCTTGAGCACATGGCATTTTACCTGTGCAAAACTTCCATATCTGAATATCATTTCTTTTGTCTTGCAGTTGAAACTACCGAAGAGAGGCATGCTTTCTAACACGCAATGTTGATGTTGCCCTTAGCGGTGGACATTCTAAGTTCCACCTTGAGCAGTCTATCACATATTTTTACATTCCATGTAAATCATTAAGGGTCTAGTCTGGGATATAGCTTCTCCCAGAAATGTATATCTTGGGATTAATATGGATCACAATAAATTAAGTGTATACCGACCATAACCGGATTCTGAGTTTGACCTCCCAGCAGCTGCATCTATCGTGTAACTCGACAGATAACTTCATGACCGTCAGCATCCAGTGTGATGAGGAAGTCGACCTTGGTTATAGATAGCTTATCGTGAGTGGGATTATTGCTTGTGATCAGCATTAGTATATTTTTTGGTGGGTGACTGGATACTGTTGTGGGGGGCTGGGGGCTGAAATTACTTATGTTGGCTTGGTCTTTGTAGCTTTTAGCCATGAAGAAGACGAAGCTGATCATTTTGTCCTTGCAGGTCACTTTTGATTAATGTCCCAATTTCCCTCGGCAAGAGTTCATCATGGACATTGTTTAGTTGAGAATCATATCTGCATTTCGAAATGCCCTCCTAATAAACTTCCTATAAATAAAAGATGCATGCCATTCAGGTTTATAAATAGGAGCTAGTATAAGGCTCAGTTCCTATTAGATCAATCAATTTTTGCACAAGATGAATATAGTCTGGGAACTATAGAATCATAATGACTCGATTGAATGGATGAAATACAAAGTTTGACATAATCAGAAATAAAAAATTTACTGCCACAAATATTATGATGTCCACTCATCTAAAAGAACCCAGTTGGTTGGAATTAGGCAATCAGTAAAATGTACGCCATAACAATAGACCTAGGCCTTAAACAAGTCTTGTGAATATACTGTTCTCCATGCTATCTTTTCCTGTATAAACGTTCTCTCAGATATTACCATCCATCATCTTTCTCAAACTCGACAAGCATATACAAGAACATCATCACCATCATCCTCAAACTCGACAACCTAGCTCCTACTAGAGAATCTCTACAAATCTGGAAGAGACATCATCCAAACAAGTCATATTGCTCCATCTGCCAGTAAGGAATACAGCTCCCTGGAGATTCCATTTTCCCTACAAACTGGTCAATTCCTGCAAGCATAAACCAATAGGTTAAGAACATTGGATTGTTCGAAGATGGCAGTACATGCTCGTATGCCTAAACCTCTGACAGTACATGTAAGAAACTGGCTCAAGTGTTGAATAGAACTCTTAATGCATGAATCTTATGAAAAAACAAAGACAAAATATTTCAGTACCTATATCTGGACTATGGAAGTACATATGGTCCGATATAGTCGTAGTGTTTTCATCGGGTTGGCCGTCTTCTGGCTTGGTCTTCTTATCTTTACAAGACTCAATTTCTGCCTCCACTTCAGATTCTCCATTATTTGGTCCTGTAGCCGATTGCTTTCTCTTCGAACGAGCTCTCCTGTTCTGGAACCAATTATAGACATTTGTTTCAGAAATTTGGCCATGTTGTTCAAGTTCCCTGGTTATCTCTTTGATCTTCTGCCTGCCTGGAGTCGCATTGCATTGTTCGAAAATCTCTTCAAGGATTTGAAGTTGCGCTGGTTTCGGAGTCCACCGCTGCCTCGACCCTATCTTGTGGACAGCAGATGACAGTAATGGATCACAAAAGTATGGATTTCCAAGTCGCATGCCTAAATCGGAAACAAAACATAGATGATTTACCTCTACAAAACCCAAGTAAAATGTATGTTTGTAAAGAAATTAACAGGACATTCCATAGGGCAAAAAACCCATAATAAAGATAGTAAAAAGAAAAAAGAACATCCAGCAATAGAATGCCACGAACCCAGACTGTTTTGGGTTGGTGGAAGGACAGATCAAAACAAAAAACAGAACAGAACAAAAGTCACAAATCAACAATTGCCTAGTAAAATTTTAAGAGACAGAAATGGCCAGTGGTGCTTTAAAGAGAGCAAATTGAACAACAGTCCACAAAAGTAAAGTAAAATAACATAATTTCTCCATATCCAAGAATTCTCAGACTCTACTGAATTCCCTCATCGATTCAGTTAATAGATACACAAAACAAACCCATTAAAGGAGAGAAAGAAAGAGACATACCAGCAAAGTCCTGTTGGGCAGAGAGAGCCTTGTGCATCTCAACAAGCTGCTCACAAATAGTGGCATAAACAGAGATTTGTTTCCTTAACATCTCCATTTGCTCATCCGTCATCACTTTAACACCTAACCCACCGCCATTTTGAAACTTTCCCTCCTCCATGAATTCCCACTTCCTCTTGACTCTATATCTAGCTAGCAAGCACTAGTATAGAGGCTGCCTCTCTCTCTCTCTCTCTCTTTCTTTACCTAATAATGTTTCGCTATCTATAACATATGGCTGTAACTTTAAACACAGTTTACAGGTAGAAGAAGAAGTAGTAGAGTTGAAGTCTTCACAAGACAAGAAGGGGACTCTGCATAAAGTGTAGAAAAAGGAAGGAGGGCCGGCGTAGTTTAGAGTCGGGATGCTGACGGGATGCGCATTTTAGCATGATTGAGCGGGTTTCGCGCGTTCTATGTAAAGGTAAGATCTCTCTTGCGTACCGAATCTTTCTCTTCATATAAATCATACTAATTGTTATTAAGTAACGGTAAGTTCCATATTTATATCTTTTTTATCATAATTCAAATTCCATTTTCCCTGATCACATTTATTATTTATTATTTATTCGTTTTGGGTTAAATTTGTTCAAATACTCTTATCTTTCAAATAAATATTAACGTGGTGGTGGATAGATTTCCTAATAAAAAAGATTTATATGTTCTTTTAGTTTTTTTCGATTCAAATTTGAAATAATGTGAAAAGCACATTATTAAAATCGTTTTAAGAAAAAAAAACTCTTATGAATTATGAATATATCAATTCAAATTATTAAAAATTTTAGTACTAAAATACAGTATTTATTTTTAAAAAACAATAATTTTTTTACTCATCACATCCTCTTTTATTACATAATAACCAAAAAAAAATTTAAAATTATTAGAATTTGCATTTTATTTTACTAAAAAAAACTATATAAACATATAATCGTTACAAAAAAATCTGTTTGTGTATTTAATTTTTTGAAAAGACATCAGGTCTTAGATGTTTTATTTTATTAAATGAAACAATAAAAAAAAATACGTGTATGTCATGAATTGAAATGTAAATATGCATCCTGACTAATTTCAACATTCTTTTAATAATTAATGCCGGATTCCATGCTAAACGGTCCAAAACATGTGGTTGAGTAAGAAAATGGATGTGTTGGTCAAGTCATAGACAAAAGTTGCATGCCCTCCTCATCCTCGTGCCTGCTCTAATCTTTGATTAGTACTAAATCCATTAAGTCTCAATCCCATACGTACTGTCTTCTTCCGAATTCAATCATCTATTCTAATCTACTAATCCTCTTGAAATTAATTATCTCTATAGGTGTCAAACACATATAGCTTGTATTTATTTTTAACAATTAATCAATAATTTTTGTCAAAAAATGCGACGACTCAAGATTACTCGACTATAGTTTTAGTCAGACAATGTGACGGCTCAAGATTACTGGAACATGACCAATCTTTTCAAATGTAAGCAAGAATTAAAAGCAATAAGAACATAAAAATAAAATAATCACTACAAGATTAAAAAAAAAAAAAGAAAAAGAAAGCTAGCAATTTCTTTATGAGGTACTTTAAGAGTAAATTATAAATTAGTTCATCTAATTTTAAGAAATAAATTAATTAATTTCTTTAAAAAAAACTAATCATTTAATTTTTTATATATTTTTTTATAATTTAATTTTTTTCGCTCTTTTTTAATTTATTTTGAGTTTTTTTTTTAAAGAAATGAAAAAAATGATAAGAAAAAAAGATATTTCATGAAATAAAATAAGTAAGTTAACATTGTTAAAGAGTTAAATAATTAATTTTCGAAAAAAGAGGATTAATTTATAATTTATTCGGCACTTTGATTGAAAGGGGAGCGACAAAAAAATGTGGCCTACGAAACCGCAGCACAGCTCATAATTCTTGGCATGGAATTAGGAAATTTGGCGTACCTGACTGACAAAGAGAAACAAAGTCGAGGGATTGTAGGGTGTCTAAACGAATAGGATGAGAGATTAGACCATCCTGTCTTGTTTGGAACACAAGGGAAGCTTCAAAAACTATACTGGTTTGCATATTCTGAGATGCAGTGTGGGTCTCGAGACAAGAGATTTTGTAGAACCCACTAAAATAGGAAGATCTTCAAGTGGCCTCTTTCAATGATTTGGTCTTGCACTTTCTATATTGTCCCTATGCTATATTTTATGTAGAAAGGAATCGAGTACGCATTGTTTAAGTGACTGGATTTTTTTATTCTTGAAAGTAAAAAGGAGAGGAGAAAAACACCGAACTGAGGTTCAAACTTGACAGCTTATGAATTTGATAGCCCTACCGGTTCTGTGAGGCCCATTTACCTTGTGTTCTATGATTTTGTCTTTTGAATCGACAAATTTACCATTAAGAAAACCGCATTTCAATACCCAATCTTTAATTTTTATTCTAATTGAATCTCTAACCTTATTTTTGTTCGATTTGGATGCATTTCGCCACCAAAAATTATTAAACGCTAACACGGCTATTCTACAAAGCCGATCGGTTAGTTAAATTAATTAGTTAAGGATTGGTTTAGTATTAGCCTAGTATAAGTATAACTTGTATTGTTTTAGAAACGAGTTGAACAAAGCAATTTTACAAAAAAATTTCTCTCTCTACTTTACCAAATTTTCTTCTTTCTCTATCAATGTTTCTTCTTTTTTGTTCAGCCATGGAAATCAACACAATATCGAGCTTAAATCATTCTAGGGTTTGTAGCTCTATTGATTTCATTTCTCTTCTCTCGATTCATCGATTTCATTCTTCCTCTTCTTTAAAGTTGTTACTCTAATCTTTTTATACTTCACCATGGCTACTCGAATCAACTTCATTTCCCGATGATATTTGTTTTCCATAGTTCATTCACCATTTAGATCATCATGGTTCTCTTATAGTTACTCCTAAGCTAAGTACGGAGAACTATGCTATTTGAAGTAGGTCGTTTGCTTTTGCTCTTTTAATTCGAACAAACTAGGTTTTGTTGATGGATCTATTCCAAAACCTAAAGATGATGATGTGCTTATCAATTCTTAGAATCAAGGCAACAATCTCATAGTAGTTTGGTCGTTAAGATCCATGTCACCTTCAGTAACTCGCAATAATGTTCTCTATAAACTCAAATTTGAAGATTCGAGAAATTTTGAAAAAAGGATTTTCTCAACGGAATGAATCTAAAATCTGTGATTTGCAATGATCCTTATGTTCAATTACATAAGGTACTAGATTTGTCAATGTGTATTTTATTAAACTAAGTGGAGTATGGGAAGAGTTAAGGAATTTTAGACCTCTACCTCATTGTATTTGTGGAGCGTGCAATGTTGATTATTTTGATAAATATGTAAAGATTTATGAGAAGGATTATGTGTTCAAGTTTCTCAATGGATTAAATGAATCTTTTTCTTCTCCGAAATCTCAAGTTTTGGTTATGAAGTCATTTCCTAGTTTAGATGAAGTATACAACTCGGCTATGAAGGAAGAATCTCAAAGATCGAGTACACATTCCGCAATAACCTTTTAATAAATGTTTTGTTATGGTTGTTTTTTCTAGTAATAAAAAGATGTTAGACATTTCTTGTTCATATTATGGAAAGATAGGTCATGGCAAAGACAAATGCTATAAAGCTTATAGGCTTTCCTACGGATTTCAAGTTTACAAGAAATAAGAAGTTTTCTTAGACATTAGACATACTACTTTGAATTCTAGTTTCGATCATAACTATGGTAATTCTTCTCATCATATCAACAATGTTACATCGAACAAGAAGAATCTCGCTCAAAGTGTTGCTCCGTCCGGACGTGTCACATTTCTTAGTATTACCTTCACTCAAGAGTAAGTCGTCGGGCTCATGAATCTTTTGACTACTCAAGATTTACAACCTTCATCTTCACAATCTTCAAATCATATCTACTTTTCTACTATCACTCATCCATAGCCTATTTCTAATTTTGCAAGTAGAATTTTCATTATGTTTACTCATTCATAAAACATTGTATTTTCATTATCTTGCAAGTAGATAATTCATTATGTTTACTCTATTCACCATTTCACTTTCTATAAACCTATTACCAATATGTCGGTCCAAATGTCGGATGGTCAAAAGGCAATTGTCACTCGTATTGGTAAAATTGCTTTGTCTTTTTTTTTTATCTTACATGAAGTCCTTTATGTTCTTTTTTTCAAGTTTAATCTCATTTCGTTAGAAAACTCACCGCCAATTATCAATATAAACTAATCTTCATTAGCAATTCTTACTTGATTAAACGAATAACTCTTTAAAGACAATGATTGGAACTCGCTAATCTTTAAGTAGGATTCTTTCTATTCACGTCCGTTCCAGGTTGTCTCTTTTCATCTATCAAACACCCTTGTGATGTTCAAACATTCGAGTGGCAAATTTATGAATCCCGTAGTCCGTGATCTATGGTATTGTTGTTTAGCTCATATATCGTCTAATAGAATCAAGTTGGTTAGTTAGAGAAATCCTAGTATCCAATAAAATAATCGGACTTGTTTTATTTGTCTTTTAGCAAAACGAAACGCCTACCATTTCTTATTCATAATAAAAACACTTATTTTACTTTTGAATTGGTTCATATCAATATCCGATAGCCATATTTTACTTGTTTCTCTTCATGGTTGTCGTTATTTCTTAATTTTAGTTAATGATTACATTAGGGCTACTTGGATTTTTTTCCTCAAACATAAATTAGATGTCTTGTCTATCATTTCATCTTTTTATTAAATGATCCTTACCTAGTTTCATTTGCCTATCAAACAATCGGATCCGATAATGGTTCGAGTTTCATCTTCCACTCTTTTACAATTCTAAAAGAATTCTTCATCAATTATCTTATGTAAGAACTCCTCAACAAAATAGAGTTATTGAAAAAAAAAACACCAACATTTGTTAAATGTACCTAGATCCTTTTTTTTCAAGCTTCTTTGCCTACCAAATTCGGGAAGATGCGGTTGTTATTGCTACCTATTTGATCAACAGGATTTCTTCTCCCTTGTTAAATAATTTAACTCCCTATGAACTTTTATTCCAGTCACCTCTAGTTTATGATCACTTGAAAATGTTTGGATCTTTATGTTTTGTTTCTACTCTTGTTTATAGTAGGAACTTGTATTCTTCTAGAAACAGATTGAATAAAACAAGTTTACCACATTTCCTTCTCTTTCTACTTTCCCAAATTTTCTTCTTCCTCTAACAATGTTTCTTCTCTTCCGTTCAGTCATGCAAATCAACATCGGATTATTTCTTTTCGATAATTTTTTTTCTCGATAATTTTGTTTCAAAATGTCCAAATCTAAGAGACTCGAGAATAGCATTAAATGCATTCCTAGCAAAGAACATAACGAGACAAGCCGATCGATTTTCCATACAAAATTAAAAGAAAAATATAAAAACGACCGAAGGCAAGAATCGAGTGCATATGGTTCAAAAAGCCACAACCGATATAACATTTGCCAATCAACACCACCAAAACGACCATGGGAGGTCCTCGGAGGAGAGGGGCTCCTTTTTTTCCAAGTGACTTGAACATCTAGCAAAACATGACAAGAAACCTTCTAAGGGAAAGAATTCAACTAATCAATTTCAAAACATGACAAGAAGAAGAAAAGAGTAACAAGCCGGAAAACACAATGCACTCAAAATGGTCCCTTTTGATAGCTATACAAACATAAAGACAAGCTAACTTTACTCGAACCATGAGGTCAAAAAATTGGTGATTCATAACCATAGATGAAAGATTTCTTGAAGGATAATATATATATATATATATATATATATATTGATTTTCCATTCGATTGTTTGATCTCGGACTAAGTCATGAATAATGCCAAATTGCCGACTATCCTTAAATTATTGACGAGTAAAACCATCTTTCATACACATGAAAAGGAAGAATATTAAGGAAGACATGACTTAACAAAAGGAAAATAAATCAACAAATAGACCTCAAACAACGAGTTACATTTTAGTTTTATTTCAAAGAAAACAACAATCGAAAAGATTAAAAACTAGTAAATGGAAACTCGTTTCGCTCACTAAAACCATTCCACGTCTTCATCTTCAAAACCTTGTTTATTGGCTAAATTGCGACGGAAATCAATCCCGAGGTGCTCTTCAATATGAAATTCTTTCTCAACTAAATTCAATTCAAAAGGTAGAGACGCTTTCCGGATTCGCATAACCCAATTTTCGACAGCGATCTTAAGTTTTCTTTCGAGCAAATGATGGTCGGCTTTTTCAAACCTTTTGCAATCTTAAGCATATTTTCCACTGCAACAACCTGATGACCTTTTCCTTTCAACTCTATTTCTATGGCTTGTAGTTGATGACCAATTAGGTTATGAAATCCTTCATTACAGAACTGGGATACACTAAACTTCAATGTCTGAAAAAGAAACAAAAAACAAATGAAATGATGAGGTTAAGGAATATGTAACCAAACTTTGAGAGAGGAGTTCTGTTGATTTCTCTACTACTCACCCTGGCATACTTAGGTAGTATTACATTTTCACTACACGAGAGGGATAGAATTTCTAAATTAGGTGATCGCGTGAGAATGGAAGCTAAAACTGGAAAGTGATAGTCCATCAAACAACCATTCGCCGTAACGACCAAGCGATGAAGATTATCGAACACAACCGCAGGGCAATTGTGAAGGAACTGAGTCTGCAACATAACTAAACATTAGTCAACATTCGAGCTTCAACTTCTGCTATTTAGATGTCTAGAAGAGCATGCATCAGTATGACTTGACAGGTTATAAAACAATTGAATTTCAGTCTAAGCATTACAAAAGAGAGTGCGTGAATACCTCGAGAACATCACTATTTAGTTCTAACACTCTTGTACAGCACACAGCCTCGAGAAGCTCGGTTATGCGATTGCGAATAGTTACCTCGTCGACATAGTCATTGAAAGTACCAATGTTCAGAGTAGCATTGTTCAGAACATTGAACTGGCTCAAGTAAACGTTATTCGCAGTCTCGGCTGTCCACTCCAAGTCTTGGAGATTAGGAGCATTAATTTTCATGGTGCAGGTGTATCCAGGAAACAAGGAATCCAAGTCTAAAGATAACTTCTGCAGCCTCTCAGTTGCAATGTCAATTTCCAAGAGATCATATTTGAGACCAAACAACGTTAATTCTTCAAGACACGGATGATTGATACTAAGGCTGTTTATGTCTTCTAAACCGAAAAGAGTCAACCTTTTAAGTGACGGGCATGCGGTTGAAATCAGTTTTTTCAAAACATCTTCACAATCAGAACCTACCATTTTAGTCAGGGAGAGTTCCTCAAGAGAAACCAAAACTCCCTCGGGCTCTTTGAGACGCTTATAATCCAGATCTAACTTGAGGACTCTTAAAGTTTCAGAACTATACAGACACCGCGGCAGCTCAAAGATGGGAATTTCCTCCGACTCAAAGAGAGGATCTTTTTCTACCGCAGCCTTGAGGTCGACCTCCTGAACTCGACAATTCACTGCAACATCGATCCATTTCTCAATAAGATTTTCATCTGCATCACAGTTATTGTTGTGGCAATACCAGTCTAGGCAAAGACACCGTATCTCCAACCCATTTCGCTGGCTCAGAAACCCATCCACTAGATCACTAAATTGCTTACAGGAATTCGGGAGACCATTGTACAGACATTTTGATACAAACTTCAGATATGGACTAGAAACAAACAATTGTCTACCTCGTTTTGATAGCACACCAATTCGAGCTATGTCATCCATCTCAAGGAAGGAGAAAATGTGATGAATAATGGGTTCTGGTAGGTTCAAGAACCCATCCGTCTCCCCGGCATTACTTCGTTGTTTTTTCCCACTGCTTTGTGTGACTAACAAAGCCATTACTATACCTAAAAAAGTTTAATGACTTTCAAATCAGAGATTTATCCAAAACTAATTCCACCAACAGAACTCAAATAAAACCCTGAGTATCATGCTTAGAAAAACCATCAAAAACTCTACATTCAAACACCCAGCTCTGGATTACATTGACAAATACACCAATAAACGCTGAAAAATAAGATTGAGAAAGAGAAGCGTGAATTGCAACTATATAGAGTTATTCAAAAGAAAACGTAAACATAGAGAACGAGAGAAAGCGGACCTGTGGAACTCTTATTTTTTGAGAAAACGAATAGAGATAATATTATTGGTTCTGGAAATTGGAAAATTTCGCTTTTTAATCATCAAATCCAATGGATAGTGACAGAAAACCAGGCTAATTAATTAGGAAACTTGAATTTTTGCCCTCACTTGCCTAATTAAACCACCGCCGAAGTAAGACAGTTTGTATGTTTGCTTAACCCAAGCCCAAATCCTGGTTACACTGGGTGTACTTCGACCCATGAACCTCTATCTGAATTCTGACGTACATGGCTGAACGTAGTTTCCTCCAACCTATGATTAAGAAAACTTTCGGTGGCTTAAGCCCACGAACTTAGTTGCTCTTGGACTGGTTTATTTCCAGCTAAACCTGATTTACGGGAGAAGATACGAATAAAACCGAAACACGTTCTATACCAATAGTCCTTCTGTGTTGGAGATTCCCAATTCAAGACTTTTTTGACTCGGTTTAAGATTTAAATGTTTCGAGTTTAAATTTGTCATCACCTTTGCTGCTTGCTTTCACTGTAAAGACCACCCAAAAAGCGCACCTCTCGTAAGCACGGGTAATTATATGTTTCCACTCATCGTAACGCGAGACAAAAGTTAAAAAATCACCACGTTAGTCAAAACAGAGTCCAATCAAAAGGACTACCCAATCGAAAAAGTGCATTAAATCACTCGAAACCATATAATAGCCTAACTAAAGGATGACGCTTTGGTTACAAGAAAGACCATCTAATTTTAAACCAACATAAAAAGCTAGCATGACAATTACTGTACAGAATGATTGGAAAATAAAACACCCAACATAATAAATGTAGACAAATCTACTAGAAGCAGTGCCAAGTTCCATCGATTGCCATGTCATCCACAATCTAAATCACGCTCAAATACTTGCATTCAGTTTTTGTTGGCAAATTCCACGCAAACCTACAAGGCTACAACAATACTTATTTGCCAAAGGACCACTAACATTCAGAGGGAGTGGAGGGAAAATGAAAATGCAAACAAACTACAATGACGGGAAAAAAAAAAAAAAAAAAGAAAGATGGACACAGATGTTACGAGACCAACACGGAGACACAATATCAAGCTTAAACCCAAAATAAAGAAATAAAAAAAAATCTAATCACACTATGTAATAGAAATAGTATAGTACAAGAAACAGGAGAGGAAAGGCATCAAACCAAATAGACGACCGCACCCACATAAACATCATCAATTGCAACCTAATTCTCGATACAAGCATCAAATTATTCAAAACCTAAAGATGACAATACACAGCAGGAGCGAAAGGATGATTGGCACCAGTAAAATCTCTCTTCAGACGCCATTCGATCAAATTCCTTCTTCAGACAAGGACAAAAGGCATAGAAATGGAATTGAATAAATGAATCATCAAGCAGAGAAAGAGCATAATCTACAGAAGATAAGCACTTATCTAATTCATTAAACTTTGATTCAAGTACACATAAGAGGCGTTCTCCCTTCTACAACTATTAACTTTTTTTCCCTTGGAAGGAGGACAAAATAACAAAGGGAGCGGTACGCATATCCTTCCCTTTAAAGATAAAGAGCAACTGAAACAAAAAATTAACATGCAAATACCCAGCCGGTAACATCAAATGTCCAAACATGTCACAACCTACATGACTATGCTATTCTCCGGGTACAAGTCCTACTCGTCATCATCATCCTCCTGCACCAATTTGCAAATAAAGCAAAATTAGACAAATCAAAACCATCAATTACAGGAAACAAACAAACAGAAGGAACATTTCCAGTCACTAACCTCTGCGCTGCCCTCCTCATCATCTTCATCTTCATCATTGACCTCAGACATTGACTTCTCAGACTCCTCTTCCTCCTTTGGTCCTTCAGCCTAATAGTCATAGAGAAAACAAATCAATTTCAATCCCCAAATGATTAAAGTTAGATAGCAAAACAAAAGGGTCAACGCAATTACCTGCTCCCTATTGTAGGCTTTCATCTTCTTCTCATATTCAACTTTCCTTTTATCAGCCTTCGCAACATAGGGTGCTTTCTCCTGTAATCAATCAATTGTTATCAAATCAACAAACTCAAAAAAAAAAAAAAAAAAAAAAAAAAAAAAAACCATAATTACAAAATAAACCACAAATAGTAAATTAAATTAAAAAAACACTTACAGCATCTGACAGTGACTTCCATTTATCTCCTCCAGCTTTCCCAACCTAAATAATTAATTTATCACATTAAACACAACAAATAATCAATCACAAACTAGAAATTCAAATTAACAATCGAATAATTACAAATTAAATAAACAATAACTGAATACTCACAGCAGCAACTGATTTGTTTTTAGGGTGCTCCTTCTTGTACTGCTCTCTAAACTCCTCCCTGTTGTCAATAAATCAATATTTTATTTATATGCTCTCGAATTTTTTCAAAAATTAGCTACAAACGAACAAAAATAAATAATAATCGAACGTTAGAAAATTACATGAAGACGAAGAATGCACTGGCAGGCCTCTTAGGCTTGTTTGGATCCTTAACTGCCTTTCCTGTTTTCCTCGCTCCTCCTTTGGCAGGTTTCTTGTTCACAGAGAGCCTGATCAACCACGTCACAAAACGACATAAGTACATACACAAAACGACAATGAAAAACTTGAAAACCCAATTTTATAGATCCAAGATCTGCGCAAAAGTAAAACACGTGTTTCACAATTGACAATAGCAGAAACAGAGAGAAAACAAGATTAGAAAGACTTACTTAGTACTCTTGGTATCTGACTTTGATCTACCTCCTTTCATAGCGAATCCTGCAGTTTTAACACCAGATCAGCTCAAAAAACGGTGTGAATCAACGAGAACCGATCAAAAGAGACGAAAACCCGTTCGAAATCGAAGTGAATCGGCGAGACTTACCGGTTTGGTGAGCTAGGGTTAGGCTTCCAAAGAGAGAGAAAGAAGAAGAGAGATAGGCAGAAGATATTATGTGTGAGAATGTGAAGAGAGTCCAGCGAGAGGCGGAGATATTAAGTGTAGTAGAGGAAATTGAAATTCAATTGCGGGTGAAATGAAAATTGGATAGGTGGAAGGGGTTTAGGCGGGATTTGGAAATTTCATGACACGTCATCGATCTTTGTGCTTTTAATCCACTGGCTGCGTGGGTGTTAAGCTTTGTACGCCTTGCCCCTTGATTATTGCCATTCCTCTTTGTGTTTCTCCTTGTGCTTCTTTGCTCTCACACAAGCAGTGATTTGTGATAATGTAAGGTTGGTTGGATTCCAGGGACGTCAGGCCTGTATGGTATTTCCTAAATGGGCTGGCCCATGGACCAGCTTAAGCTTAGATTGGATCCAGGGCATTTATTTTATTATTATTGTAGATTTGCCGTATTAATTAGCAGATTTGGTGTTTGATGCATAATTTTATTGTCATTGTCGTATTGTTTTTAGAAAATTTAATTGTTTAAGTTAACTTTGAAGAAAATAGGTTACCTCTACACATCTAATCAAATAGAAAAATACTATTTATTTTTCTTATCTTGATAAAAAAATTCATCATTTAATTAAGTGTGATAAAGACCTGTAAAGATAATGTATTTAGTGAAATTGTAAATATTTCAAATACCGATTCATCATTTAAATTTTTTTTTTTAAGTGTGCAGAGGTTGAAATTGTTATAAAAAATCAGTTATAAAAACCCACAATTTGTCACACTTGGCAGGAAAAAAGTAATATCAAAAACAGCATTGACCCAGTCGAGAAATAGTAAATTCATTCCCAATTAGAATATGCTGTCATCCACGTTCAATGATTTGTTTTGTAATAATCTAATGCGATCATGTTAGTTTAATTCGCCCATGATTTCTATTAATCTAAACAAATGCGTAACGTGTGGAATTAATTTGCTAGACAAGGAAAATATAAGGTAGTCAGATATTCAAACACTTAAGGTGACATATTGTGCCCTTGAGGTTCACACCTAAACTCAAAATAGATCCTTGTATTTATTGGTCAAAATATTTGTTCTTTATTTTAATTTTACAAGTTTAGATTTTGAGATAAATATTTAAAATTTATTCATTTTAATGAAACAAGTAGATGCAAGAAACACGTTTTTAAAATTATTATTAAAAAAAAAAACATTGTCTTCATTAATATGAAATCATTTGAACGATTTGTACACAAGATAAGACAACGAGAAAAATCAAATAATATAACATGGCCCGTCTCTTTTGTAATTATATATATACACACACATATAACCATCTCATTTATGTAGTGAAAGGTCACGATGAGGTTTTTTAAAGAGTCTTTTAAATTCACGTTAGAATTATCAATGGACGTAAATAATCAACTAATTGGAACAACAAAGCATTAAAAAAACACAAAAATACAATCATGAAGTATTTACAGTAGACTTGTTACTTAAAGTTTAGCTATAGTCATACTCGTTCAAATAAGTATCGAGTTGTAAAATTATTTTTTTTTATATAAAAAACATCTGAAATAAACACAAAATAAATATTAAAAAAATTGAATTAGATCATTACTATTGTCGTTGTGTGGTTTTTATGTGTTTCTTCACAAGACGTTTTTATATGCATGGTGGTATTTAGTTCCAATGCGTAATTTTTAAGAACATGACAATTAAACAATTGTTCGCAACCAAAATTTCGTTAAATAACAAAGAATTAAAGACGGTAAGTATTTCGTCTACGATATGGTGATTGCTTTTTTCTAACCGATCGAATTTTTGTTCCAACACCAAATAGTTGAATTTTCATCGCTAAATCGATCTAAATCAATCATTTGTGATATCTTATATCCGTCACCAACCATCGTTATTTCTACTTATATCTCGTCTCTAAATAACAACAAAATGGGTTGTCACTAAATTATAGTTGTTAATATCCTTGCAATTATTTCGTTGTTTAAAGACTCGTTTATGTATCCGTTGTTAATTGTCCTTTTTGTTCCAAGCGAGTTGTTTGTTGTATTAGTTGCACAAGCTTCTAAGTCATCGAAATCATAACAATATTAAATCATAAAATATATTTTTAAGATTATATCGGTAGATGTACATATATTAAAAAAAAATCATAAAACCTTACCGTTACTATCTACGATCACTTGTCAATGAATGTCTCATTTTTTCGCTTGTAAGTGGTCATAAACGACTCGTAAGGATTTCGTTTACTACTCAACTTATCACGTAGAAAAAAAAAAACAAAATAATATGAGATGAAATAAATACATAAATTAATTTATAACATAGTGGATAATATAGGATTTACCAAATGCTCATTGTACTCGGTTAAAGAGATAGACCCTCCAAGTATGCTTGAATGGGCCAACACCGATATCACTTATCTTCGACATGTGGTTTCGAGACGCCTCGTTGAGATATGGCCCGATACTCGAGAATGGTCCAATCATAATGTCATGCTTTTTCCAAACCTCCTATTTAACAAATATAGATCCGTTATCCTTACACTTCGACTTGTTACACATGTCATCGTATCGCCTCTACGCTAAAATATTCCACACATCTTTAATCGGTGCATTGACGTCACATTCCATCAAAAGTACTTTTATATGAAGAAAAAAAACAATACTAGTACTTTCATGTTAAATTAACACTTTCAATGAAGTATAAAAAACTAATTAATATGTTATCTTAAACTCATTAAAGTATAAATCTTTTATCTCAATGGAGATAGATTTTCATATAGAGCCGACAACGTCCAATCGTTTCTTGAAAATTACGATGATTTTTGTGGAGCACTTGTTTGATGGAATCAAATTGTCAAACAAAACAAACAAATAATAAATGATCGAATTAATGATTCTAATATGATTTATGAAAATATAAAACTAATTGTCGCATGTAAAACATAGTACCTATTAGTTATTCATTATTCAAATGGTCCGTCTATCATCGGATCCAGGTAGACCACTTGGATTTGAGGAAATCGTATAAGGATCATTCACAACGAGGGTGCTACCAACAAGGGCACTAATTGCGGGGGCAATACTCAAGGGGATGTAGTCGTGGAGGCATCACTATCAAACCTCGCGACTTTGGACAATTGGACTAATAGTGCCGCTTTCGCGTACATCATCACTATCAGTCACACGATCAACATTAGAGACAAGATCACTAACACCACGATCAAATCCACCCAATCCATGAGCCATGATTAAAAAATAATACCTAAAACGAGTCTAACAAATGAATAAATATTCGATAAAAAATATATTATAAATTAAAACAAATAAAATTCAACATGTCCAAAATGGACAACAAAAATCAAAAAAATATTTAATTAATAAGTTTCCTAAACAATTAATAAAATTTTGACAGAGTATTTTTGTAAATTGCATATTTTTCAATGAACGAATACTTCAAATGATCGTAAAACAACAAATTAAATAAACCAACATTCAATTTGTATACATCAAGACCAACAATTGTCTCGGATACTCTATTAAAATAAAATCACAAACTCTTCCTTAGAGCTACTTTGCAAAAATTAAACTAGCCTTATTTTCCCTCAACCCTCATAGGTCTTTGATCCCTCGGAGTTCGATATACTACGATGTATATCGACACATTTCAATAATTATATGCAAAATAATTAAATTAATTAATTCTAATTCTAACATAATTAAGTTTAAAATAACAATAAATTAATAATTTATAATATAAATAAAGTTTTAATTCAAAGAATTAAACAACATCAACCAAATTAATTAATCAAAATAAATCAAACTAACTTAATTAATTATAATTCTAATCAAATTAAATTTAAAATAACAATTAACTAACAATTTCTAATATAAATAAAGTTTTACTTCAACCAATTAAAAAAATTAACCGAATTAATTAATTAATCATAAATAAAATTAGCTTAATTAATTCTAATTCCAACCAAATTAAATTTAAAATAACTATTAATGAACAATTTCTATCATAAATAAATTTTTAATTCAACCAATTAAACGAAATTAACCTATTTAATTAATTCTATTTCTAAACCAAAATAAATTTAAAAAAACAATAAACTTCTAAATTACAATATAAATAAATTTTTAATTCAGCCAATTAAACAAAATTAACCTATTTAACTAATTAATTATAAATCTAATTAACTTAATTAATTATAATTATAACCAAATTAAATTTAAAATAAAAATTAATTAACAATTTCTAATATAAACAAAGTTTTAAATCAACCAATTAAACATAATTAACCTAATTAAAAAATTAAATATAAATCTAAATAACTTAATTAATTATAATGCTAACCAAATTAAATTTAAAATAATAATTAACTAAAAATCTATAATATAAAAAATATATATAATTAAACATAATTAACCTAATTAATTAATTAAATAAAAATAAAATTAACTTAATTTATAAAATTTAAACAATTAATTAACAAAATTAATATATTTCAACCAATTTAACACAATTAACCTAAGTAATTAACTAAATTTAAATAAAATTAACTTAATTAATTTAAAATAAATTTTGATTAAATTTAAATTACAATGAATTAACTAGCAATTAACAAAATTTAACAATTTAACAAATTAATCAACCAAATAACCTAACAATTAACAAAAATTAATAATTTAACAAATAAATCAACAAATAACAATTAAACATGTACATAATCATAAATCAAGTAATTAAACTAAAATTAACCTAACAATTACAATAAATTACTAACTTTAATTAAGAAAAATAAAAAAGAGAAAAAATATACCTAATTTGAATGAAATTACACCAAGAAAAGGGAAGAAAAAACGAGTTTTTTTTTTAGAAAAGATTTTAGAGTGGGTGTAGATCGATCGAAAGTAGAGGAGTAGAGTTTAGGGGTGGTTTGGAGGGGGTGGGAGAATGGCAACGTGGCTAGAGATGGAGATGGAGAAGAAAATGGGGGAGATGGAAGAAGAATAAAGTTAAATTAGGATTAAAAATAGCCACCGATGAGATCCCCTTGCTATTTAGTGACGGACATTTACGTCTATCGATAATTCGTATTAAAATGTTTGCTAGTTTTGCGTAGCCGGCCTCCATTTTTTCACATATAGTGATGGATGCAAGTGTCGTCGTTAATCCGTCGCAAATTGACGGTGTTCGTCACTAGTCCATCACAAATTAAGCGAGTTTTATCTTTAAAAAAATCCATCTAATTTTGCTAAAATTCTCACATTTAGCGACAAATTTTTCAGTCGTTATATTATGAGGGATCTGTTTTTTATTGATGGAGTATTCGTCGCTAAATCACAATAAAAAAATTAACAAAGGATTTGCCATTTTGTCGCTATTTTTTTTTTTAAATTTGTTGTTAAACCGTGTCTAAAACTCTTATGAAGATTTTATTGTCAAATTTAGCGACTTATTAATGTCGGTCGCTAATAAATCGTCGTTATTTCATCTATTTCGTCGATGATTTTAACGAGTCGTTATTTTGTCGTTATTTACTTTTTATTTAGCAACGAAAGTATGTCCGTCCCTATTTAATGAAATTCTGGTAGTGGTTGTTATGATTAAAATATTTTTATGTAAAATCAAAATCTTTATTTCACAACTTCTAACATTTAGCTTTAAAAAATTCCAAAACAATTTGTAGAAGTTTATCAAATACTTTTAAAAAACATTTAAAACAAAGAATTAGAGTTTCCAAACCGACACTAAGACTTCATTAATGTTATAATGAATAAGCATCAGTATGTAATCTCCTCGTTAGACTAAACATTCAAATTTATTTTTCAATGTTTTTAACACACACACCCGAAATTTCTCTGAACATTCAATTAATCATATATATAAATCCTCTTTATATAATTATAATCATTCATTTGCTATGTAATTTTTTTCGAGCTACCACTGACTATATAATGGCTAAACTTGGAGTAAATTATAAATTAATTATTTTTGTTTTTCTAAAATAAATTAAATAGTACCTTTGGTTTCAAAAAACTAATTAAGTAGTTTTCATATTTTTATATTTATTTGTAACTTAATTATTTTTTAATCAATTTTTTTTTAAAAATAAGTAAAAAAATATAAATGGATCAATGGATAAATACATTTTTAGAACAAAACAATATTAAAATAACAACGACCAATACTCAGAAAAAATAATTAATTAACTTTTGAAATTAAAAAAAGACAATTCAAATTGTTTTGAAAAAAAAACCATAATTACAAAATAAGTTTTTAGTTAAAAATATGGATAAAAATAAATAAATAATGTTTTTTAATAAAAAATTATAAAAATATAAAGAATAATTAGTCAAAGATAAAATTTTGATTAAAAAATAATAAAATTGAATAATTTTTATTTAGTTTTGATTTCATATATTTTAGTAGATATATAATATAATAAGAGATATTAAAATAAGATAATTTTTTCAAAATAATTTTATTTATTTTATTCGATCATTGCATAATACGGATTAAAAAAAAAAAAATGTTTACTCGAAATGAAAGGGCCAAATCCCTAAGGCTGAGTCTCGATGGACCCAAGCGCAAAGATGATGAACCAAATTAACCAATGGAGAGCCAGAGCTAGCGAGTCTTCCTTTCCGTTTTCCAGCTTCCGCTCATGCCTCTCTTAAAAACTCGAGCATAAACAAATCCCTAACTCCGTTGGCTGCGAGGGAGCCAGCTCCGGAGTCGTCCTTTTTATTTGCAGCAGGTATTATTATATCTCTTTTAAATAATTTCACTCCTTAATTTTTTTTTCCAATCAGTTTGGCTGCGAGGGAGCCAGCTTCCATTTAGGGTTTCTCGCTGACCGTTAGCTTGAAAGACCAACAATCTATTACGAAATTACTCTTAGATTAAATATTCCCGCAGCTAGGGTTCTTATAGATTCCATGGCTTTTTAGAAATGCTTTCAGGAATTATTTTTGTACTTCAAGAGAAACGGAAATTTTTATTTTTTAAGTTTTATTCATAAATAGATATAATTGTGCAAAGTTAGGGTAAATGATGTCTTACACTTGATCTCTGAACTTCAGGTAAGTTCATTTGTTGACAATTTCATTCACTGATACCCGTGTCTTTGCACTTTTTTTTTTTTTTTTTTTTTACATTTTGATGTGTAATTTTTATTTTTTTAAAGAGGAATGTGAAACGTGGAATTTATTTTACCGTTGTGGTTGCTAGTAGAAAAAAATGATCTTGCAGCCATCTGTTTTTCTTTTCGGGTTCAATACTATGTTTGATTTTGTTTGGAACTATAAAGGAAAAAAAGAGCTGATTTTAAGCCATCGTAGCTCATGATAGTGCTAAGACAGGGCAAATGATGTCTTACACTTGATCTCTGAACTTCAGGTGAGTTCACTTGTTGACAAGTTCATTACTGATGCCCATATATTTGCCTTTTTGTTTGGTCCTCATTCAGCTCTTTACGAATAAGTTGAGAAAATTATGAACCTGAAGTTTTGAAGGAGTGAGACTATTGTAATTGCTCCGAGAAAAGATTGACTATGACAAAAACCAAAGAACAAGGTTAAAGGGATGTTTTGTTAATCTGCTGTGATGTTTTAAGCATGGTTTTATTCTTCTTATGCTGCTCTGTTGCAACTATAAGTAATTATTTTGAACTTGTTATTGACACTGAATGATTTGTTAAACAACACGATGGTTTTAAAATCAATGTAGCAATTCTCTGCAAAGGTGACAATATTTGTAGCTGTGAGTCATTTGTGGCATCTGTACTTGGAGCTGAATGTGAATTTGCTTGCTTGCTGTTGTTGTTTATTTGATGCATTTGTCCATTTGCAGGCAAGAGAAATGGGTGATAAATCAAAGAAGAATTATGTGGCCAGGCGGGATGTGTTTAAATGGACAGAACGTATGGATGATGCCTTCATTGATGCACTCATTCGCCAACAAAGGCTGGGAAACAGGGTTGATAGTGTTTTCACCACTGCAGCCTATGATAATATGGTGAAGGAATTGCGTGAAAATATTGGCATGCCATTTGAAAAAGATCACTTGAAGAATCGTTTGAAAACCCTCAAAAATAATTTCAAAGAGTGCCTTGACATTTTTAATGGTGCAAATGGTTTTGCCTGGAGCCCTGAAACTAAAATGTGGAGTGCGGAGCCTGAAACATGGATAGCTTTTGTAAAGGTTTGTTTACATTTTCTCTCCTGTCATATATCTAAAATTTAATTGCATCAGTACTTGTGGAATTGATGCCTCAAGTATGCTCCATCTTAATATCAGGCAAAACCTAATGCAAAAAAATGGATGACTACGCCAATTGCCCATTATGATAAGCTGTCCCTTCTTTTTGCAAAAGATAGGCCCAAGTCAAATGGTGCTAATACTGCGAAAGAGAAACCAGGCCGGTGGGATAGTTCTGAAAGTCCGTACTTATTTGATGCTTTTAACTTGCCAAACGAAGTTACGCTTAACCTGGAGGACTTAAACGAGATGAATGATGGTACAAGTCAGTTAGCAACTCCTGTAGAAGCAAATTCCCATGCAGATTCTCAAGCGCTTTCTCATTCTGCAACATCATTGAAAGGCAAAAAACGTAAGGCATCAAGTGTAGGTGCAATTGAGAGAGAGTTTAAAAGAATAAAGGATGCAATTAAAGATGTTGCACAGGCAATCAGGGAGGGAAATCTGATTGCCGAGAGAGGACGCCCTCATGTTTACTCCGAGCAAGAAGTCTTTTCAGAATTAACGAAGATAGGAGTTGAAACACATCTACGCTACAAGGCCTACTCTTTCCTTGTTGCAAATGCTTGGAGGGTAAGGGCTTTCTTTGGTTGCCCACCTGAGGAGCGCAGGGAATTTTTGCTGCACATTATGTATAGCCCTGATGACTCTTGATAAAGTTTGTGTTCCTGTTAATGTTTGCAGTGTTGGTAGGGGAGAGTTTTTCATTTTTTCAAAACAAGTAACTCCGTTCAATAGTTTTTTGCTTTTTGCATTTGGTTGGGGATTAGGATAGAGTAATTGTTACCCAATCTTGTACATACACGATGACTGATAATTGGAAAAGCTAGTACAGTGCTGCTGTTTGTGTTTCAGTTATAGAAAATAATTAAATTTGACTGAAGGCATGGAGGAAAAACCTATCCATTCACCACCAAAGCAGAAGTGCCATTGTTTCCCCATGCTCACGGTCATATTGATTGTTTTTCTGTTGATCATGTTGATTGTTAAATGGTGTAAGTTAAAAATTAGCTTTTTTTATTTTTGATAAAATGAATTAATTATTTTTTTCGTTCAAAAATTAACTAATTAATTAGTGTTGATGGTGTTATTTTTATATTATTTTATTTTAAAATTTTCATCAATTATTTCATATTTTTATTTATTTTTTATCAAAATAATTGAAAAAGAAAGAAAATGATTAAGTTATAAGAAAATTTAAAAATTTAGAGATTGAATAAGTAGTTAGATTATTTAATTCGTTTTCTGAAACTAAATAGATTAATTTATAATTTACTGTTGTTAAATGTAGCAAATTCTACGGTCTTAATTTGTAGTTTGTAGCCCACCCCATGGCATCGGTAATTGTCAAAAATAAATTATAAATTAGTTTTTTATTTTAAAAATGAATCATTTAATTTTTTAACCGGTCGTTATTATGTTTAATTTAATATTATTTTATTTTAATTTTTTTTTATCAATTTTTCATAATTTCTATTTGTTATTATTAATTTTTATTTTTAACAAAGAAAATTAAAAAAGAACATAAAATGAACAAAATGATTAAAGAATTATTTTTTGAAAAAAAATTAATTCGTTTTTCAAAATTAAAATGACTAGTTTACAATTTACTCAGTAAAACCAAGGTCTATAAACCATAAAGCCGTGTTTGGTAATGGGTTGCCTCTACAGAGCAGATTTTGGCAGCTGATATTGTTCATCGAGCAGAAATGTGAGCAAGTCATATGAACGACATGTCTTTACGCCACAAATGAGAGTCATTCGCAGGTGATGAACTTATCCTTTGTTTTAAAGGAAAACGACATGTCGTCATCACTGTTTTTCGCACCAAAAACAGGCATACCTTCAGAGAGAAAACAGAGAGAGAAGAAAATTCTGTGCAGAAGAAAGATTCCAAGAGAAAGGGAGAGGAAGAAAGTATCGATAAGTCGAATGGTTGATGCTCGTTAAGCTCTTACTTTCCATTTCATGAAGTGGCTCTCTGTTGCTGAGAAGTTCTAGCCGGCAAGTCATCTAGAGTAGGTGGTCTACCAAATGTTCGACGAAATTTCTGAGAGACACTGGGACACATTTATCGCATTTTAATGTTTTTTGAAATCCAATTTCAAAGACAATGGATTGCAATTTCACGCCCATCTGTTTATGCCCTATATTTCCAATGGCAAGTGATGTTTCAAAGAGGAGTAGCATAACTTTGATGGCCCATTCCAGTACAAGAATCTGCTACAGAAAGATACCTAAAAACATTCGTTATCCGCGACGCTCCAAGCTTCCTCCGGATTTTGGGGTTAATCTGTTCTTGAAGAAGCCTCAAACGGATTCAATTCAAGATCACAGTAATGAGTTAACTGAAGAGGAGGAGGAGGAGGACGGAATCGAAGAAAATAGTGGCGATTTAGTTTGGGAATCAAAAGAGATTGAAGCAATATCATCTCTTTTTCGTGGGAGGATCCCTCAAAAACCTGGGAAATTAGGTAGAGAAAGACCTCTCCCTCTTCCTGTTCCTTACAAGTTAAGGCCTTTAGGACTTCCTACACCCAAAAAACATGTTAATAAAAAGGTTTCTTTGAGACGGGCATCTGTATCCCGTCAAATCTACAAGAACCCAAGTTTTCTTATCGGTTTGGCCAAGGAGATTAAAATTCTTAACCCGGATCAAGATGTGTCTGTAGTTCTTGATAATTGCTATCGTTACTTGCGTAAGGGGTCATTATCGTTAACCATTCGAGAGTTGGGTCATTTGGGTCTTCCTGAGAGAGCTCTGCAGACGTTCTGCTGGGTTCAGAAGCAACCTCAGCTTTTCCCTGATGATCGTGTTTTGGCTTCCACGGTTGAAGTTTTGGCGAGGAATCATGACTTGAAAGTGCCATTCAACTTGGAGAAGTTTACTAGTTTGGCTAGTCGGGGCGTGATTGAAGCAATGGTTAAAGGGTTGATTAGAGGTGGTAGCTTAAAGCTTGCCTGGAAGCTTATTTCAATTGCCAGGGATGGTAAAAGAATGTTAGACCCCAGCGTTTATGCAAAGATTATACTGGAGCTGGGGAAGAACCCTGATAAACATGTGCTTGCAGCAGCATTGTTAGATGAACTTGCGGAAAGAGAAGATTTGAAGTTAAGCCAGCAGGACTGTACTGCTGTAATGAAAGTTTGCATTAAGCTTGGGAAATTTGAAGCTGTGGAAAGCCTGTTTAATTGGTTTAGACAATCTGGGCATGAGCCAAGTGTAGTTATGTACACTACTCTTGTTCACAGTCGTTATATGGAGAAGAAATATAGGGAGGCTTTGGCTGTGGTTTGGGAAATGGAGGGCTCAGATTGTCTCTTCGATCTCACAGCTTATCGTGTGGTTATAAAACTTTTTGTTGCGTTGAATGATCTACCGAGGGCTGTAAGATATTTTTCGAAACTCAAGGAAGCAGGTCTCTCTCCAACATATGACATATACAGGAACTTGATTACAGTTTATATGGTTTCTGGACGGCTGGCAAAGTGTAAGGAAATCTGGAAGGAGGCAGACATGGCAGGATTCATGTTTAACAAGGAAATGGAAGCAAGGTTGTTGCAACTTAAAAGAGAAACGAGGTTAGTTGAAACACACTCAGAAAAACACTGGCATTACAAATTTAGTACAAGAATGAAGGAATTACTTGGCAGCTAATAATTTCTGATGTGCAAGATTTGAAACAATCCACTGCTAATTTAATTAGGATGACATGAATCAGCTTTTTATCGTTTAATTATTCATGCATAGAGGTTTACCCAGTTGAACAATATTACACGAACACATTGCTAATGTTAGTTTGAACTTATCTTGATACCTGGTAGAACAATTGACAAACTCTCACCTAGATCAAGTAGCTGGTGATTGTGATTTAAGGTGATTGTTTTTGTAGCTTCTTGGATCCTTCAGATAGTAGTATTACATTGTTCATAAAAAAATGACCTTCATTTTTTGTTCGTATTCCATATATGGAATTGCGTAACTGACATAAATGAATGTGATACGCCATTTTACCTGCCAACCCACATTGACAGAATGCATCAACCAAGCAGCACAGACAAACATATAATTAATGAATGCGCCACCTCTTATTTAGATACTCTTAATCAGTCCAACCATTTCTATCTCATTCTAATTCAGCTTTTGAATGTGATAGTTCACAGTGCGTTCTTTCCAGACGTTCTTTTCCAGATAAATTTCATAAAAGCTTACTTCTCCACTTGCTCTTATGGTCAATGCAGCAGTGCTCCTTGTGCCATAAAATCCCTGTTCATCAGACAAAATAAGTATTAATCAATGATTATAAGGCCAAGGGTTTTCTTGGAGTGATTATGTTATAAATCAAACGTTAATTTTTACCAGTGGGGTGTCTATTTCAACAAATATGGAGCTTAGATTGAATTCCCAATCAATAGAGCAAATACCCGGCAACCTGCTTTTATCAGCCTTAACTCTGTCCCTCATTAGTTTTTCCAGCACCTCTTTCACTGGTATTTCACTATCACCATATTTGTCAAGCAGATCCTTAAAATTCAGTCCCAGGCGCTGTACCTGCAGAGGAAAAAAAGGGCCAATTGAATATTTGGTACTTCAGAAGTGGTGTCCTTTCTTATCAAGAATAACCTACTTTAATAGACTCTTCCACATGCCAATTTGGCCTTCTTCTTCTTTTTCCCCTGCTTTACCAGCATTTTTAGTTTTATCAGAGTATTAATGAAGTGCAATGCACTTTTTACCTTGTGCCAGGGGGAGTCCAGCTTTGCATTTGAAAGCACGTGAAGGCCAGGAGAAACCTCTTGAATGACAACAGGTTCACCTTTGGGCCTGTTAGAGAGATAGACCATGCTTTTCGATGAAATGTCAGCTAAGATCAGGTTGAACCCATTGTACTGACGGGCATCTTTCACCAGTCCCTCTGCAAATTCCTTTGGAGTCTTTGTGCTCTGCAATGTTTTGGAGAAAAAAATAAGTGGGGAGTTGGCAAATCTGTAGAATCAATCTTCCGGTCAATTCTCCACATCTTCTACATGTTCCTACAATTATCCTTTCATGTGCATGTCACTGCCCGGATCTTAGGTAATGTATCTAGTCTGCAGTTCTCATTTCAAATCAAACATTAAGTATAAAATATTTCCAATTATGCATAAGTTTGCAGAATTTACTTCACCCCAATATGTTGGAGTCAGAAAGGCATGGAGATGGTGAGATGGTCCCATTGTGAAAATTATTCCGTACATCTAAATTTTTACCACTTGATTATGTATGGTATGGAGTAAAAAAGGTAGAAAGTTACCTCCTGTACTTAAGTTTGACATTTATTATTAAAAATAGGGTAAAGTGCTACCCTCGAGGAGGGATGGGTAAAGGAATTTTCAAGGGTATTTTTGTGTACTTTCCTCTCTTTTTTTAATTTAATGTTACCTTATTCTTACTTTTTGTTTCATTCTAACTTGGACCACAAGCATATATGATTCTTTTTTTAAAAAAAATCATATTTAATTTCAAATTAATTTATTTATATTGGGATCCACCATTACTCTTCTTTTTTTTAAAAAAAAAAAAAAAAACTCCTACGAAACATCCTTGAAACCTCACCATTTAACACCTTTTATATTGTTTTTACGCTCTTAACATTTCATCCTTAAATCTTATCCCTTAAACGTTTACCTTCTAAATTTTTAGCCATCTATCAAACACAACCTCAAAACCTAAAATTGCCTCGTCAATTGTCATGCTCATGCAGCCCACATAAAGTACGGCAATCTTTTGGTAAAAAAAGAAAAAGAAAAAAATACAACACAAACTAATGGCCACGGGTTTAGAGACTAAAAGAGTAAAAGTTAGATGTGTAAATCTTAGGTGAAGTCAACTTCCATGACATAGGACCAATGAAAGTGCTATTATCAACTTGATAAAAGCAAACCTTTTTGGTCTGATATATGAATAAGAGTTGAAAGTGTAAAGATTTGGTACTGCTCGTTAATCTTCCATTAGAGCATCTATCTGTTAATTCGATGTTTCCAATGTTGGACTTCGATCTATTGTTTAAGATTATTTGATTCTGAGCTAGGGACAAGACCTTATTTTCTAAGCTAGTTTCTGGAGACAAGCAAAGACAAACTGGATGGTTCAAGAAATGGTATGGTTACCTCCAAGAAAAGAACAGGAAGTTCCCCCCGACTCTTTGCCTCAGGGACTGTATGGAGCTCGAGCACATTTGTAAGGAAAGCCACTCTTCCTGTTCTTGAACAAGCCAGCCATGTTCCTCCTGCTACGGCATCTCTTCCTCCCAGTATTTCACAGCCATCCCACCATCCTACTGCCTCTGTGGGCCTTCATAAAACCAAGAAGGAAACAACCTCATTAGCATCTCCATCAAGTTACTATTCAAAACACGCAAGAAAAAACTAATGAAACCAACAAAGTTGAGCTTGCCTTTTGTGATACTCATCTCTGTTTTGCAGGAGAAGCAGAGGATAGAGTGGATGAGCTTGCCAAATAAAAGCTGCTATGCACATTGTTCAATTCAATGGACTTGCGGTAAAAAAAAATATGATAGAAGAAAGAGAAGAAGAAGAGTTCGATTAGATACAAATTAAGGAGAAGAAAGAGAAAAAATGAGCATCGAATAGCTATGTGCTATGTTTGTATGTTTTTGACAAAACCGATAATTTATAAAGCAAATGCTGCACCGAAAAAAAGTCCCTTTGATCTTGTGGGGCCCATAATTGTTTAGTCTTTAGGATATGGATGAATGTGAAAAATAAAAAAAAACCAAAACTTTTTAGACTAAATTCTAAACTAGTCCCTCTGTTTTTTAGACACGAACTAATCCGTCTTTTTGTTTTAAAATTAATTATTTGTTTTTTAATCGTTTTTTTTTTAATTTGTAACTCACAAACTTAAAGCTTCTAACAGAACTAGTCTAATAATATTTAAACCTATAACCTCTTGTTGTAAAAAATCACTATCACTAGGTTACAAACTCTTTGGTTTTTAATCGATAATAACTATGCTTAATTTACTATTAATTTATTTTAAAAAATATCTTTTTTTCTCATTAATTCTTCCATGTTCCTTACTTATCATTTCATTTTTCAATTTTTTAAAACAAAAAATAAAATAAATTGAAAATATTAAGTTACAAGAAAAATTAAAATATAAAAACTAAATATTTAGTTTTGAAACAAGAGGGGCTTATTAATTTGTTTATACAAACTAAAAGGACTGGTTTATAATTTACTCAACTTTGAGTATACGTAGTTATCCATATTTATGGTGGGCCGTAAACTACAGGCGCCACCAAATGAACCAATGGCGATTTTGATGGGTATTTTTTCTTAATTTATAAATAACGGTCCTCGTTTAATAATTTTGTATGGTGTAATTATCAAACATCAAAAGCAATTGCACGTGCTTAATTAACAGCTAAATCAAGCAAGGGCGAATCTTTCATAAGCAAACAACGGTTTCCAGATTAAATCAACCTACATTCATTAATAGACTTTTGCCCCAAAAAAAGAAAAAAGTTGAGATGGATGTAATTTGTAGGTCTTAAGCTTTATTGAGTGGGACAGGAATATCAGAAAATTCAATGACGATAAGCATTGAGTTTTCGTGGCTATAGCCATGTGCTAGGAAATTAAGGAGTCTCTTTTTTATACGTATAAATAAGAGTTTTATGTACGAAATTTCAAAAGAGAAAAGGAATATGAAATATCATTTGATCTACAAGTTCATTGAACGATATTATTGAAATTCTTTTTTATAATACTCAAACAATAGTTAGCATTTTTGTTGGTATCATCCTTCTCTGGATGTTAATGCTGTTGCTGATATATATATATATATATATATATATATATATATATATATATATATATATATATATATATATATGTTCTAATTTTTTTTTTTTTTTTTTTACCTCTGGAAGAAAAAGTTTATTGACAATAACGAGTTTGTTGAATCATTATCAAGTCTATTTTGCTCCCTCAATTCTAGTTTCAAGATTTGTTTTAAAAAAAATTCTTGCATGATATATATATATAGTGATGATTTAGTTTCGTGTGTACTGAAATTAAATCAAAATTTTCAATTTTTTTGAGATATATTATGCTAATTTTATCGTATTTTATAATAGCTTGTAATTTGACGATGCTTGAAATGATAGATTTGATAGTTAATTAAGACAATTTGCTCAATCTTTAACCGCTCACACATTAAAATAAAAAATCCAAAAAAAATTTCCTTAAGAATTTAATCTTGGATGGCTAAGGTGAAATTTTTTTTATTTATAAGCTAAACCAATTTATATCCTTTTTTATTATTATTTTTGCAACTCCTACCTTCTTTTATTATTATTATTATTTTATTCAGATATTTTTACGTCATATTAAAAGTAGAACTAATTATATATATATAAAAAAATAATAAAATTTAACTGTTTTTAACTCGCATAATTTCAAAATTTAAATTCTACACGGTAAGGAAAAAAAAGTATTTGAAATCAACTTTGCTTAACATTGTACTACCGACTTTTTTATTCTTCATTTATTATTCGAAACCCTATAGATAGGGACAATTTTCTGTAGCCGTCCACAAAAAGCAATTGCCGAAGCTAAAAATTTACAAGCATAAATGCTCAACTATTTTTCAGGCCTGTAATTGTCCTTTGTGAAGTTGGAAACACAATAATTAATGCATAGTTGGTTTTGCTGTGGGTACACACAATAATATGTATTTGAAGCAAAATATGTAATTAATGATTCGATCTAATATTATATAGAGTAATTCTTTAACTTATATTTTTAATATACATTAAATATTAATTTATCATTTTTAGAAAATTTCAAACTAAACTATTCGAATTGATTACATAATTTATAAATAAAAACTTTATATTTGACCGACTTGAAAAAATATTTTACAATAAAATGAAGATCACGTGAATAATTTCAGTTATTTATTTTGAAAATTTTAACAAAATTATAGATTAAAAACTTAATAGATATTTAAAAATAAAATTAATTCAAGTGAGATATAAATACTAATTAAAAAATGATTTTATTACATAAAAATATATCTAGCTATTAACCTAAAAAAAAAGCAAAATGAGAGAGGAAAAAAAGAAAAAAAGAAAGCCATCCCAGAATTTGCACCAACATATGCGGCACTAGGAGGTGGCAATTAGAAAGCATCACGTGTATGGAAACAAAGAGATACGACATCTACCAAACTATATCCCAACTTTTTTCAAGTCGGCCAGCTTAAATTCTTCTTTTCATGAATGATTCAAGCAGGCAACAACGTCCCATCACCTCATTGTGGTTTAATTATCCCCTTAAACTCCTCTACTCGTTTTGTTTTTGTTTTTTTGCTCATTTTTAGCAATTACATCTGTTTCAGTTACTCTTTGGTCCATCTTACGGACTTGAAAAGGAAACTTTAACCCAGACATTTAAAGCTAATCATAACGTGATAATTTATTAATAAAGTTCGTGATTTGATTTTTGTATTTTGTATCCTTAAAAACTTATTTTTAGAATATACGAAATTATAGGTTGGGAGTGCTCTTTAATCATATTTAGGAAAGAATTATTTTTAAGAGGAGCAAAAACTATTTCTAAATGCATCTGTTTCCCAATTTCCTCTTATTTTTCATATGAAATAAATGTAAAATTTCCTTCTATTGAAAAAAAAAAAAAAAAGTGAAACTTCCCTGTATTTTGTTGGTCATACGAACAAAAAATGTAGAGTTTTGTAACTTCAAGGAAACTCCAATCAGTGAGACAGTTGGTGGGGGTTAAATGATGCTAAGGTAGTTTTAGGCTTCAATGGCCCAGTGGGCTAATTCTGGGACTCGAAGCTTATGCCTTGGCCCAGTTATTATCTATTAATTGTTTTTTTTTTTTTCTCATTCAAAATATAAATTAGGTTTCGTTAAGAACTGGCCATCCTGCGATGTTCACAAACCGTTGCATGCTTTTAAGACTTATAAATTGGTTAAATTGTAAAGTATCTTTGTAAATGACATGAAAAAACAGATATCTTTTGGAATTAAAAAAATTTATGTAAACAATATGATTTTTTGAGTTTGACTATTTTATTATGATTCCATTAAATAATTGACCGAAAAATTCATAAAAATTCTCTTAATTTTAATCCAACTTAGTAAAATATGTTTACTAATTGAGAAAAAAATTATTTGAATATACAATGTCTCACTTGCAATTTATTTTTTTAGATCTATGTGATGGTTTGGATTTTACGATTTTTATTAAACTACTAATCTTTTGATACCATATTAAGTTAGGGAATTGAAATTGATTTTTATTCAAAAGATTTAAATGTTATGATAAATGATCATTTCTCAACTTTATATATTATTTATATATTTAACGCAAGATATGTTATCTAATAAAATTTTAATAAAATTTTTAAAAAAGATATATTCAAAATACTATATTGTTTATGACTAAAAATTAAGAAAAAGTTAGTTGTGAAAAATATTTATTTTTTAATTCAAATTCAAGAATATTTATAATTTAACCATATATGTTTATGGATACAACATAAAACATAAGCTTGTATTGCATGTTCAATGTATTGGGGAAGGCAAGTAGAGCAATTAAACAATATTTAAAAAGAAACTAACTACAACAGAAAGAGCGCTCTTATTACAAAGAAAAACATAGCTTTACATTTCTAACCCAACAGTCACGTGATCAAAGTGTGAAGTATACCACAAGATCAAAATCCAATATTAGAAAAGTAAAGTATCTTCTTATAGATATCTTTATCCCAATTCTTTTCATCTTTTACATATAAAAAAAATAGTACTAAAAAAAAATGCACTAAAATCCATTTCGATCACGCGTCTCTCGCACCCCACATCATGTGACCATTTCTCTTTGGCGGGCCGTACGTTTCACACGTACCAACAGTTCCCACAATAAAAAATAAAATACTTCTACTACTCGAAATGAAAAAAAAATAAAAATAAAAAAAAATAAACACAAAAATAAAATAAAAATAACGCCTGTTTGGAGAGAGAGAGAGAGAAAGGGGCAGAAAGAGGGAGAGAGAGAGAGAGAGAGAGAGAGGAAGAGGAATGGGTGAGATAGCGGGTGAGATAGCAGATACAACAATGAAGAAGAAGAAGAAAAAGGGACGGCCTTCTCTTTTAGAGCTTCAAAAACGGTCTCTCAAGCAACAACAATTACAAGAACAAAAAAGCCCTAATTCTCTTAAAAACCCTAATTCTCTCAATTCCGATTCTATCCTTCCTAACCGTCGATCCACCCGCCGCAGCTCTAATTCCTATGCACCAGAGTGGATTGACGGAGACGACGATGAAGATGACGACGAAGACGATGAGCGTAAAGAGAAGAAGCATAAACTGTTGCGGGGATTGAATCCTCAAAAAAATAATGTTCAGAATTCCAATTCGCTGGGTCCTTCAAACTCTGATTCGAATGCTGATGGCGGTAATCACGAGGAGGGAATTAGGAGGCGCAAGATCAGCGACGTTCGTGTTGGATCTGATGATTTGGTGATTATCTCACCGAGAATTTTATTTATTTATTTTTGTTTTTATTAGAAAATTTCAAAAAAGATCTTTTTGTTTTTATTTTGTTTTGTGTTTTGGATTTTTTTAATGGAATTTTGAATGATCTTTTTTGGATTTCGCGCGTTATTTGTTGTTTAAGTGAGTTGGATCGGAGTGTGTTGTTGTGTTTGACTCGGTCATTTCTTTCAGGATTTTAATTTACTAAAAGGTTTTGTATTTCTCTAGTATTTTATTTTTTGGAAATCTTGGTATTGGTGGATTTCAGGTTTCTATTCTATTAATTTATTTTCTTTATTTACCAAGTGCGAATATTACCATAAATATTTTATTCTTAGCTGTTTGTTGTATTTAATCTGTTGTCTGCCCAACATTATAGAAGCATAGACCTTGTTGTCTGAAAAGCTTAATTTGTCTTTTCTCTAATAATTCTAAGCTTGTTTCTCTTTTTGTACTTTCCCTGCTTTTACTGTAACTTTCCATCTTGTTTCTTCAATAATAATTTAAATCTCTGATTTTTGTGATTTATATTGAAGTGAAATTAATTTTTCTTACAGGGTGAAAAGGTTTTGAAAGGGACAGACACTCTTCATGGTATCAATTCAAACTCAAAATTTCATGAAAAGGGTTTTCTGGGAGTTCTTTAAAAAGTGTGTTGGGAAGTAATTAATTAAAACTGTGTCATTTATATATTTATGTGTGTGTTTGTGTGTACAGGGTCGTCGGTGGAGCCTGGTCCCACAACACCTTTGCCAGACAAAAAGTTGTTGGTCTTCATTCTTGACAGACTTCAAAAGTGGGTGTTGTTTTTAGCTGCGTAGATTTTTACTTTTCTTTTTGTAGTCTTCTTCTTTCGATTGAGTTAATTAGTTACTTTCAATTTGGGTTTTGACTGGTTTGGTTTTAAATTATTGATTGCAGGAAGGATACTTATGGGGTGTTTTCTGAGCCAGTGGATCCAGAAGAGGTGCATTTTATGCTTACTTTGCCGTGTTGTGTTTCCTTGGAAGATGATTGAATATTGGTTGATACTGGTTTGATTTTGGTGCAGCTTCCTGATTACTTTGACATCGTTGAGAATCCCATGGATTTTTCTACATTGAGGAAAAAGTTAGACGAGGGAGCTTACACCAACTTGGAACAATTTGAGGTTGGTTTGAGATTATATTCTTTTTTATATTTGATTTGTAGTTAACCTTCTGTTAGTGGAGTCACATCCATGACAATTTGAGTCTATGCATCGGGGATAGATGATCTGAGGATCTCCATGGTTGCCTCAACTTTTCTTAATTCTGTGGTTGGTTAGAGCTCTCTTGATATGTGTGGAACCTGACAGGAGATTTATACTTAAATCATAAGCATATGTTTGAATAAGAAACGAATTTTGTAATTAAGATATGTTTGATACTAAAACAACCGTTTCGCACTGGGATGGAGTCTAACTGAATAACAGACAAGAAATAATTCTACTCCTTTGAACAGTGTTTTGTTGAAACGCGTTTCTGAAGGTCAAAATTCTATGCTGGTATTTGGTTAATTGCTGTAAGAGCTGTTACATTAACACCTCTTTCTGGCAATTTGACAAGTACTACCACAATGAACTTATCTTCTCTGAAGGCTTTTATTTGCATTTCTTTTGATTGTTTGCTTCAATTTGCCCAGTAGAAAGTTTTTGATTTGCCTTGAATAGTTCATGTAGATATTTAAATGTTTCCTGCAATGTGTCCAGACCATTGGTCTTGTTTTTAATAACGTACCAAGCCCAGTCTGTTACTTTTGTATGGATTCCTAGCTAGCAATTACCAAGAGACAAAGAAATGGTACATTATGGACAAAATAGAAATGTGAAGTGAGGATTAGCAGTGATGTTGTGCAAAATGTGTTAAAAGTAATGCAACGAAGATCATTAACTGCATTTATATGAGTATTTTAATCCTGTGGACAAAATGAAACTGCACAAGGATGGATATAAGAAAAATGGCATTTTGTTTACCTGCCAACTAGATATTTGCCTTGAAATCAATTTCTGTATTCTTACTTTGTTTGCAGAAAAAATGTATGGTATCATTCTCACTGGTATTTGAAACTTGTGACAATTCTTTTGTGCAGAAAGATGTTCTTCTGATATGTTCAAATGCAATGCAGTACAACTCTTCCGACACCATTTACTTCCGACAGGTTTCGCTTCGTCTCAATTCTGTCACGATTCTATATAGTTCTACTAGTGTTATTTTTGAAAGCCATCATTTTTTACTTAGGCACGGGCCATGCAAGAAATTGCAAAGAAGGACTTTGAAAATCTCAGGCAAGATAGCGATGACAGTGAACCACAACCCAAAATTGTTAGGAGAGGGAGGCCACCAGGCCTTGGCAAGCTGAAAAAGTCACTTGAGAGGTCTCCTGTTGACCGTGTTGCTCCCGAAGCTTCCTCGGATGCAACTCTTGCCACTGGAGGAGATAACAATAGCTTGTCCAATGGTTACAATCTCAGAAGAAGTTCTTCATACAAGTACCAGCCTGCTGATGCATTGGTCAGGGCCTCTTATGTGTCCCACAGCAGTGAAAATTATTCTACCTGGGTGTCTGAATGGGAAAATGAATTTCCGGGTATGGGACAGCTTGACTCTGCTTCTTGCTTTATATTCTGTCTGCATTCCATTTGGAAGATTTTGCTATCTTTATCCAATAGCTATTGATGTGTTTACTTCTCTTGCAGCTTCTGTTGTCAAGGCAGTGATGAAGTATGGGAAGAAACCGTTTGTGATAGACGAGAACAAGCGTGACACCTATAAGCATCCTTTGGGCTCCCATGAGCCATCTGTCTTGACGACCTTTGAAGGAGAATTAAAGCAACTCATGGTGGTACGTTGGAAGAAACTTTTACTACTTCGTTTTGGTTTTCCCTAATGGAAAGTTAATGTTCTATCTGTTATCTCCTGACAATATGACTTCACAAACTTTTTCACATCCATTTTTTTAGGAATGAGTACATCTCTGCAGCATGTAGCCTTTGTCCATAATGCCATTTGCTTTAATCTATCCTTTTGCTTTACTTTTCAGTTTATAGGCAATTAATGGTTTCATCTATCGGTAACCTGATTTCATTATACTTTGATGTGCATCAGGTAGGTTTAAGCTCTGAGCATGGTTATGCAAGAAGTCTAGCTCGCTTTGCTGCTGATCTTGGGCCTGTTGTTTGGAGAATGGCTTCAAAGAAAATTGAAAGTGTCTTGCCAACAGGACTTGAGTTTGGTCCTGGATGGGTAGGAGAAAATAAAGCAATGGAGAAGCATAAGGTTTCAAACAACCCTGTATCTGATAACCATTTAAGCAGATTTCAACCTGCAACTTCTTCTAGTAGAGATGCAGCATGGAGTAGAGAAGACATACCAGAAACTATTGGTGGATTGAATTCTAAAAATGAGTTAACTACACTGAACAGTGGTGTTGGTGGGATGAAATCTGTGCCCTCTGTCCCGATTCAGCAGAAACTGATGATTCATCCCAATATGAATGGTTTCAGTGGAGGAGTTGGATATAATTCATCTCAAATGGGGATGGTGCGGCCCGTGGCACCTACAGGAAAGTTCGGTATGGAGCACCCTACAGTGCCTCCCCAAATGTTTGGTGTGGTTCCATCTAGCAACAATACCTTCCTTTCAATGCCTGGGAATGATTTTAATTCGAACAAAGCTACGCTGTCAGAAACTTCAAGTGGATTATTGCAGTCTGGAATTTCTCCAGCTGTAGGCTCCAGCTCTGACTCTCGTACATTACGCAATGTGGGATTTGGTGGCAAATCATCTTGGCAGGGATTTTTACCATATAATCAACAAGGTAATGTTCCATTTCCACCAGACCTGAATGTTGGATTCTTGGCACCTGGTTCACCTACTTCTAGCGTGCCAATTGGTTCACCACGGCAGCCAGATTTAGCATTGCAGCTCTGAGGTGGATCAGATCACTTTGCTTCTAATCAGCTCTCGTCGGTAATGTAGTTATTAGGCTCGAACCATTTCTAGAAAAAAAGAATAAGAAATTTACAGTGGCGAGTCATCTTTTAACCGAGGGTGGCTTGCAACTCCTTACTGGAATGATTCATAACATCAAATTGCGTAGGGGAAGAATTTTGTACAGATTAATGTATCATTTTTTTTAGGTTTAAACCACAGTTTTATACTAGTGTGGAACAACTGAACTCTTAATTTTTAGATATTTTCAGGATTATCATTGAAAATGACAGCAATGATATGTTATTTTAGGTGGATGTGTTGTTCCTTTCCCCATGCTGGTCGTGTTTGTTTTTTAACTGTGGAGTTTTTTAGGATTGTGAGGTGTGTTATATACGACTTCAATCATTCAATGGATGCCGATTTTGGTGATATTTAGGAGGTCAGGACACGGCATTTATGAAACAACTTTGATCTATTTAGAAGGTACTTTGGATGAGATACCTTTTCTTTTGCTTTTTCGATCTAGCTCTTCCTTGATCAATATTCTATAGCTTTTCGTTGTAACATGTTTGCCGATAGGTTTTCTCATTTGTAGCAAATTTCCACAAAATTTGTCAAAATTTAGATGCTGAACTTTGTGTAAAACAGAGAGAGAGAGAGAGAGAGAGCAAGCAGAGATTCAATTTTAGCAAGAGAACAATGGAAAGGAGGACTTCAGGTTAGTCTCTCAACTGTGTAATGATTCGTGAATAGTACCTAAACAAATTCCTCATTTGGGTCCTATCATTTATAATTATCATGAATTTTTAATTAAAAAAAAAAGTCTCTTCACTATAGCAGCATAGTTTTGCATTAGTATGTACTTTAAATTAAAAAAAAAAATTAACTATAGAGGAACTCGGTTTAAGAATTATAACAGGTGAGTGAACAAATTGAGAAAAGTTTTAGTTTGGAAGGATTGGTGAATATTTTTTCCAAAACAAAAGCAAGAAGAAGAAAGACGGGGATAAGCCCAATAAAAAGTGGATAGCCTATGGTCAACCATGACCATGCTTAGGGTATTACGTCTCTGTCTGCGGTTATATGTATATATATTCATGAAAGAGTAGATGGTGATGTGGTTAGCAATTAAATTACAAAAAAGAATATCAAGAATTTTGATTTTTCACTTTGATGATAAAATTTGTTTTAATTAATTGGAAATTAAAAAGATATTTTACGTAAAATGAATATAATTAATAAAATAATTTATTATTAGAAAATATCTTTAATTTATACGTACACATGATGTGTATATGTATATTTCTTTACCATGCTAGATAGTGTTGTGAAATTTAATTCATAAAATAATTTTATACTATATTTGAAAAAAATTCTATTAGTATAACTTAATTTTTCGTATGAGAGAATGAATGGGATAGCTATTTAAGATGGAATTAAAAAAAAAAAAAATCAACAAATATTTTTCTAAGAAATGCACTGTTGTGAATTGTGTGATAAAAAAGGTCACGGAAGTTGACTACCATTGTGCTATCAAAATTCAGTGGGTAAAAGCCACAGAAATATGGGCAGAGAGAAATATTGGGAAACCTCAATTCAATCCCTATCGTATATATTCTTTCTTATTTAAATCGTCAACCTATAAAATTCATTAATTGGATCTCAAATGTTTCAAAAAATTAGCAATTCGGTGTTTTTGTTGATCTTCATCAACTTTTTGTCAAATTTTCTCACTTAAATATAATTTATTGTTAAGTGTGGTATTCTTTTTGGTGATACTTGCATGGACAAATTAAAATTATTTGTTTTTTTTTTATATAACTTGTTAAATTTATTGTTTTTTTTTTTATATATTTGTAGGTAGTGGAGTATTTTTGGACAGAAATATAAGTTATTGTTGATGTTCATCAACTTTTTTGTCAAATTTTCTCACTTAAATATAAGTTATTGTTAAGTGTGTTGTTCTTTTTTGTGATACTTGCATGGACAAATTAAAATTATTTGTTTTTAATATAGCTAGTTAAATTTATTATTTTTTTATATTTATAGGTAGTGAAATATTTTTAGACTAGTTTTTTACATCAATCAAGATTAAATACAATATTTTTTGAGTTAACCTAGCACTAGAACAAACCTAATTTTTTTTATCAATTAATGACCATCTTTTAAGTCAAATTAGCCTATGCTTTTTACCGCTAAAGAATAATTATCACTATTTATTGGTGGATAATAAAAATTAAGTTTTAATTTTGATCATACCAAAATAACCCTTGACTACTAGAGCAAATCCCTTGATAAAAAGTTACGTTTTTTTATTTATATAGCTTGTCAATTACCTTTTTTATTTTCGTATTCTCCTAAACTCATTCCTGAAAAGCTTGAAGCTTAATTCTAAAAAATTAAAAAATAGAAAACCTTTGGAATCTATTTTACGAGGGTAAAAATAATTAATGGAGTCACGATGCATGAGGTATTCTGCAAGGTCATGCTACTAAGTAAAGTAAAATCCTCTTTTCTTTTCTTTTTCTTTTTTTTTGCAGAAAAAGGATGGCTTGTTGGTTATGTTTCCAAATTTTTAGAGATAAAAACGAAAACTTGTTTGTTTTGAAACTTTTTCTTTTTTTTTTTTAAAAAAAAGCAATACAAACAATCACTATCATCAATTTCTTTTTTTTTAAAAAAAAAAACCACTTATACAACTAATTATTGGTTTTTTAAATTTTGAAAAAAAAAAGAAACAATTTTTTTACCATTGTTTTCAAGCCTGGTTTTTTAGAACAATCTTTTAAAAACTGCGTATAATTTGAGATGATTGATTGATTCCAACTGCGCCAATTGTTTGCTTAAAAAGCCAAAAACAAGTTGCGCTCTAGCCTTCTCGATTCTTCATTGGTGTATCCATAGCTTAGTCAATGCAAGTTTATGAAAAGTCACATGTCAAGCAAATTAAGCAACACTTCATGTAGAAGATATATAGAACGTGCTGATCAGCCCAACAAATTTTATTTAAGCACATATTATATATGCATCATTATGGAACAAATTAAAGTTTTGAAAAATGAAATGATTTATATGCATTCATTGTATTAACAACACACACACACACATATATATATGAGAGTACACGTATACTTTAATTAAAAAATTAATGTTTCTTTTGTACCAAAAATAAAAAAATAAAAATTGACTTGCATGGTGAGCCAATTGATGTGAAATTAGATATTCATCAAAATAGAAATATAAAGCCTAGCTCCCAATATTAAAAAGGTAGGCTATATATTTTACAATCATTTTCTACACGTTGTATTCCCTCTCGTTGTTTTTTTAATAGTTATAAATAATAAATTATTATAGGATCAATTTTTGCATCAATCAAAATTAAGTCTATTGCTCTTTAAACTAAATAGATTTTAAAGGCCAGCTGGATTTTTTTTGAACTCACAAGCAATTCATGTTCGGTATTACATAAAAAAGATAAAAGAATTTTTCAAAAGTGAAAATCGAATTACTGACCTAATAAATTAAAAACTTTTTTTTTTACCATTTCACCTATAACCTTTAATGACCTTGTAGTTTCTCTTTTTACTCATATATATATATATATATATATATATATATATATATATATATTAAAATGATTTTATGCACAATTAGTTAAAAAAATGCCTTTTCATCCATAGTTTTTTCATTTATCATCTTTTTCTTTTTTTCTCTCAACAAGCATTATTCCAGCTCTCATTCGTATTAGCATAACTTCACGTCATCAATCAATTTAATTTGATGTTTTTGTTTCTTTCTCTCCACATTTATTATTCTACTCACATAAATTCTTATTCATTTGTATTAAATTTCTTAATCTTAATCAAACTAAATTAAAAAGATCTGAAAAGAAAACGCTCACCACCCCACAGTACTAGCTAGCACATTGAAATTGACTAGTCTGATGTTTGAATTAATTTTAATTAATGCCTCCTGTCACTAATTGCATTATAAAAAAAATATTCAAGGCTGCCACTAGCTAGTTAAATCTAGCTTATTAATTCCTTGCATCTGATTCTCTAAAATGCAATAAAATTCGTCAGAACTAGGGTTATGAATTCAAAAGGGAGAAATAGCGTTTTCCAATTGACTTCTGTCAACTACTAAACATGAATAAATGAATAAATCAAATATGATATCTTATGAGATATTAGGGTTAATAATTTAATCTGTTTTTTATATAATACATTAGGTGTTTAACACATGTTTATATCCTTAATTGAATTATTTTAGATTAAGTTATCAAAATTAGCCATACGATTTGCACATTTTTTACACAATGAAGTAATTTTTAATATAACCTTATATCCTTAAATGAATCATTTTAGATTAAATTATTAAAATTAATCATACGATTGAGACACAAATCGTTTATTTGAATTACTTGTAAGAATTTTTTTTTAAAAAAAATAGTCATGTATATAACGTGAATAATTAGAATAATTTGATCTGAAAATTTTCACAAAAGATAAAAATATAATAACATATTAGAGTTCTTATAAATATATTTTATGCCATAACTTGTACATGGGAAGATGTCATCTACATCCGGACACCAAATAAAACAACTTGCAAAACATGTTAAAGAATTTCAAAACGAAGCAAGTTCCTTTCTCTTCGGATCATTACCTAAACTGGCATGCATAAAACAAAGAGCAAAAAACAATGACAAATGAAATAAAATTAAGAGAAGATAAATTTCACTATTAATTCAACAACTTTAAGTTGTTCTGTATTTCTTCTTTCAATCATATTGTCATACAGTTTACAAACACCCCCACCAAATACATCCCCCAAAAAAAATTGCACTAACTAATTGAAAAAATGTGGTTAAATCTAGGGTTTATCTATGACCCCTCCTGTTCCTACTGAAAAATAAAGAGAAAAGAATAAAAGAAAAGGTTAATAATCATAGTTGCCAAGCCATTTTGGTTCCTGTCGTGGTTTGCTTCTTAAACCATCTTTGTGTAAGCAACTTCAACCGATTATCTTCCACTTCACAGAACATATTTTCCCACCCTGCTGGCTCTATTGCTTGAAACCCTAACCCTGGCGTCCTATCTTGCGAAGAGGGATTCAAAGTTTGTGTCCAATCCACTACATACGCCGATACTCTACGCCGAAACTTGGCCTTAAATTCAGACCATGCTTGGTACTTATAATGGTTCACCACAGCAACTTCTAAACTCACTGCCTTCGTCCTATACTTCGCCTTCAATTTAAAATGGTGTATTGCATTATGCACCGAATGATCAATTGCATCTAATAAAACTATAGACTTGTGCCGATTATCTACTTTTCTCCTACAAGTATACCCTTGTGTCACCCCTTCCGATGGATGCGATTTCAGATTCGATGGACCAAACTCATTGCACCGAATCGAAACCTGACCAATCAGCCTCCGATTCGACAACGACGACGATGAGGTTTTCGGCAAGATAGATTTTAACGTCTGATCATCGGCCGGAGGTGGAACTGCATCAACCCAAGATGTTGCAAAAACAAACTCATCAACGTCTAGGTACATCATCCAAGTGCATGAATCTTTAGCATACAAGGAAGCATGGGAGAAGCCAGCTTCCTGTGTCTTGGGCCAAATCCAAAAAAAGGTTTCGATATTATAACCCTCCTGATTAAGCTCCTTAATCACCCTCATCAAATCATCATCACTGTCGTTATCGTATAACACGAACTTTTCAACCCCAATCTTTGAATGGTACATGACCCATTCTCTCAAGAACTTAGCCACGTTATAAACCATTGTGCTGGCGCACAATTGCAATTTCGGCCTTTCATTTGCTAACTTGCGCCACGGAATGTAGTACGCGACAGAAGCCACCATGAAGCTGCCTCTCTCCACGCGAATTTCGAGAGTGATTTTAATCAGTTTGTTTAGTTCGTTATCTTCCCCGCCATAACCGAACGGCGTTAAATCTGGACGTTCGCACCTGAACACTTCTTGAATGGAGCTCGTAACGGCCGTCTTAACGGTGTTATTGTTAACTTCATCAATAAACACGCAACTAAACTCGTGAGGCGACCGATTAATCCCTTGCCGATTATTGACTCCTTTGACAAGTAAAACGACATCGTTTTCAGTCGAAAACGACTCGTAAGCCAAGCGACTCCATCTCAGCATCGGCTCCGGCGGCGGAGACGAAACCGGAAACTCCTTCCCTCCTGACCGAATCAAAACCGGGGACAGGAACGGCAACTGCCGACGATTTCTCATAGGTAGGACGCACTTGAATGTCGTCTGATTGGTTGAAGCCAAAACACCAGAGAATCTCGCGGGAGAAGTCTGGTTGTTCGGATAAAAACACAAGAAATCATTGCCAGAGATTGAAGTAGTCAACGGAGCAGTACTTTCCGGCGAGATAATAACAAGAACCTCCCAAGCTGGTAACAAAACAGAGACCGATTTTATAACCGATGAATCTTGAATCGACGACATGTGTCGCGTCCGGTAATTGACGTCTTCTTTAATGATATGAGAAGAAGAGGAGGAGGAATATTCTGCTATCTTCGGGTGGGCGGTTAGATTAACGGACGGAAACTGGATTTCCGTCGAGGTATAAATTGGATTTCGGAAGGAAAAATAAAGGGAGAAAGAGGCAAAAACGAAAACGGAGACGAAGAGAAAAAGAAACGCCATAGACACTCTACGACGCATCGTTTCAGAGAATTCAAAAGGCCGATGAGAGATTAAGAGTAAATGGAGAAGTGGAGAGGAAGGAGATTTCTTTATCTTCATATTTGTCTTGTCAATTTCATCAAAAAAAATAAAGAAGAAGAAATTGATTGAAACTGATGAATTTGTGCTGGGTTTGGAATTTTGAGGAAGGAATAATAATGATAATAAATTGTAGGGAAAAAAAAGGTAGAGAATCAGTGGCGTATTAAAGAAGGCAAAACCAGTCTTTAAGACAGAAAGAGGAAACACAGTTTTTGCTGGCAGCCAGAGAAAATAAATATAGAAGTACTAACAATATAGGGGGAATTTCAGATTTGGCGAGCTGGATCGGGTCCGGGTCACATAAGATGGCGTCGCGGGCGGCTTCCTGTTTTGTGTTTAGGTATGTTATTTTTGTGAGTTGGAAATTGGATTGGGAATATTTATCTATTATATTATGATGCTGATTTTATTTTATTTGTTTAATTAAGAGATTCTTCTCCAAGTCACTTTCTTTTTATATAAATAAATATTTATTTTTTACCGAATAAATTATATTACTCGTGGAATTTTGATGCAAGAGTCGTGATTTATTTGGCAATGTTTGATGTATTGCATCGTCTTAGACCAGATAATTACGCGTAAATTATAAATTAGTCCCTTTAGGTTTTCCAAAAGTAATTAAATAGTCTATTTGGTTTTAAAAATTAATTACCTACCCTTATATTTTTTAATCTATCTGTAACTAAATCATTTTTAATTTTTTTAATAAATAAAAAATAAAAAAGATAGTTTTTAAATAAGATAATATTAAATTAATCATGATCAATGCTAGTTAAAAGATTAATTAATTAGTTTTTAAAATAAAAAGGATTATATAATTACTTTTACAAAATTATAAGGACTAATTTATAATTTACTCAATAATTGCCTGTCCTTTACTAGCTTTTTCAAGTCCTAGATAGGATTAGAGGGCAACCTTGACCGTCTCTGTCTCTTTGATAGTGATATGATTCTTGCGTGCCGTATAAATGGATTTAGCAATATATATATATATATATATATATATATATATATATATATATATATATATATATATATATGTTAATTTCCGTATGAAATAGACTGAATATGGAAACCATTTAGGTTTCTCAAGCTGGCAAATTGATGAAAAATTCAGGAACGCGTATATTAATTAATTTGCTAAATATATCCATGGGTACTTAATTTTTAATTAATTACCAAATATGTAGCAATGGTAAACAGTCAATTATACCAATTACGTGAAAAAAGTGCGGATTTTTTCGACTAATGTATCGATTTTTTACCATCTAAAATTGCTGGGGTTTTTTTTTATTGTCCCACGAATTTGCCAAATTAAAGAGAATATATTTCTTGATATCTTGTATATGTTTTGGCTTGCATGAACAAAATTTTGCGAGAAGCTAACTAGTGATCTTAAGGCATCCATTGAGCAATTAATATTCAAGTATATTTATTAAACTTTATTTATTGTTAAGTTGTGTTAAAAAAGAAATAAAAATTAAATATTTAAATAAAAATCAACGATCTTAATTTATTTTAAAAAAACGATTTAGAAACAATTTTTTTTTTTACATTAAAATTCCATATACACTGATGTATCAAGTAATGCGTGATAATTTTTTATACAAATTTTATTTCTACATATAGCGTTACTCTTATTAAAAAAATATGTCATTAAATAAATATTATTTTATACGATAACATTTTTAAGGGTTTACAGTAGATTCTAAACAAAAATGAAAATATATATATATATATATATATATATATATATATATATTTGGTATATTTTTCGTGAGATGTGGATGCTACCAGCCAATTCTTTAATTTAATTTAATTTACTTAGATTCTTAAGAAGCAAGGATTTGGTAGAATCCCTACAAGAATAATTAAGAGGATACGTTGAGCGTCTCTTGTATTTGCATGCAAGTAATTAATTTGTTCGCTTGTAATTTTCTATAGTGGCAATCCACTAAGCCTCCAATATTAACCGTTGCTCGATATACTTCAATTGTCTCTGTGCACTCGACCTAGTACTCTAAAATAGCCATCATGGAGAAGAGAATAAAAAAAAAAAAAGTACCAGAACTGCAGCCAGGTCAAATCTGATGAGCAGAAGAAACAAACACCCAAGCAAAGAAGGAAATAACAAACATTAATTTGTATGATATGTGAGTTGTAGTTCAACTGAAATATATATATATATATATTCCGGAATTATAATTTTTTATTTGTAACAAAAACAAAGAAACAAATAAAGAAATATCCAACTAATTTCTGATCAGCAAAAAAATAATATAGTACTAAAACAAGCAAATTTACAAAACTCACAATACACGTGCCATTTCATAATTCTTTATCACAGAAAATAAAAATAAAAAATAAAAAATTTAACCTGCCATGTATTAAAAGTTTGGAAATCCAGTAAGTTGGAAAATATTAAAATAATTGATATTCAAAAAATTGCTAAAAGGGTCAAACCTTCTCTAAACTTTAATTCATTTAAAAACCAATCTCTAAAATTTTAATCTGTGTTTGGCCTCTCTTAACTTTTTTTTTTTTTTTTAGATTTAATTCATCCTGTGATTTTTATCAATCACCTTCCTCTTTAAAAAAAAATAATAATTTTTACACATATATTAGAAAAAATTCAATCTATTTTCTAAAAAAATTCTATAATTTTTTAAGTTTGAAAACTATATTTATTTATCTTGTGAACATAAAAAATAAAAAATAATCCACAATGATTTTAAGTTTTTTGAGAAAAAGTAGATAAATCTGACCGAATGATTATGTAATTATTTTTTTAAGATAACTAATAAAAAAACTGAAAGAAAAACTAAATCTAAAAAAAAAGTCTGTCTTTTTAACCTCAAAAGATTCAACAAGAAGAGTCAATGCTATTTTGTTTTCCAATTATTTTTCCATACGATAATGACTTGGCTGTACGAGAATCTTGATTGTAAACGTCCAAGGGGACCCAGCGGGTCTAGCACGTCAAGGATAGGAAACGAATTACCTGGCAGCAAGTGAGCAGAGAACCGTCAGGCATGGCCTTACACATTTTCTCAGGCGCAAGTTTGGCCTTAATTCTATTGCACACAAAGTTCATTCCTTCAACTTTATGCTCCAAAATATTTCTACAGCATCTATAATTTTGGATAAAGTCCATCCCATCCTTTAATTGCTTCAAAAGTTATCTTTAACCAGCATATTCTGATCATAACAAATTAAGAAAGACAAAACTTTATCTCAAAGTTCTCTAATATTCCCACGTGTTCGGATGTTGTGCAAATCACTCATTCAATATTCTTGCATTTTATATTAATAGTGATCCAAATCAATTATTGTGAATAACATTAAAAAAAATGTATAAGTTTAAAAGGTTGAGTATTTAAAACCCACAAAAAATAGATATAATTTATTTTTTATTTAGTCTAAGAAACAATAAATTTAGTTTTAATTGATTCGAAAGCTGATCCAGAAATATCTATTATTTATAAATATCAAAAAATAAAAAATTGATGTAACCTGGGTTGATTTCTCATAAAAAATAATATGATGGCATAAAAGTAATTGAGTGAATTTAATCACTCATTGCACACCAGATTCAACTTTCTATTAAATCTTTTCAAACTTTTGGATATATATCTTTTCAACGATAAAAGCATGAATTTAAGATTTTACGCACATTTTCAGTGGAAACTATACATTGAATTAAACATTCCTAATCGGATTGCTCGTCCTCGTGATGGGAAATATTAAATCGGCCCCTCGTGATATATGGAAAATATTATTCTATCTTGGGATTTGATGAAGTTAAACCGATATATTTTTTTATGAGAAAATAAATATTTTTTTAAAATAAAAGTTAATATTAAAATAATCACAATCAACACTAATTCGTTTTTTTCAAAACTAGAGAAATTAATTAGTTAGACAAACGAGGATTCGTTGAGCTCATCCGATCAATAATTTCTCTTCTTCTATTTTTTTTTTTTTTTTTTTAAGTTTTGATGGCAATTTATCTTTTTCTAACATGTCTCTGGTGAAAATCATGCATAGCGGTCATCAACACTAATTGATTTTAGCAGGCAATAACAATACAGCCTGTGACGAACATGGGAGCTTAAGCCACATTTGTCTAGCTATTAAAGTTGACCCGAGCCCATGATACCAGCGGGCCCGAAACAAAGAATCTGGCCTCGAAGTGCAAGTAAGAGAAACATCTAAGTAAGGCTTACGGCTCTCCAGCCTGTTAAACCACATAACCAGGGCCCATTAGCACCATATAACAAATACGCCGACCATGTACCGTTCTCAATTCTGATATTTTACGTGAAATGGTAAAATTCAATTTGCTCCTCTGAGTTTGAAGGTTTTTCAATTTTTTATGAAGTTTTGTTCATATCAATTAGCTCTTGAACTTTTATCAAAGTTTTAATTTTTCATTTTCATTTATTAAGCGCGCATTCTTCAACCATAGTAAATACTTACTTTTCAATTAAGGTTACGTTTTCTCTTTTGATTTCGTATTTCTCAAATTTATAAATTTTAACGTATAATAAACTATTGATAGAAACACACAAACTCAAATTATAAATATTTTATATTTTAATGAAATCATAATAATTTAATACTAAGTTGACATATCTTACGGATAAAAAATAAAAAAATTAACATAATTAGTATCATCTTTCTGTAATCTTGTTTTCAAGAAACAAAAAACACATCTT